AAATAAAAAATAAAAAAAAACGAAGTTTATAATAAAACGTTCGCGTTCGTATAATTTTTAATTATTTTTTCATTTATTCGTCGTAAATTTATTTATTTAAAGTTTTTAATTAATTAAATCGTATAAAAAGTTTATATAATTATTATTAATTTTATTACGCCGGTTTAATAATTAATTAATTAATTTTTAATTTAAAACTTAAATTAATTTAATAATTAATTTAATATTTAATAAATTAATTTAATAATTAATATAATAATTAATAAATTATTTTATAAATCGGTTTTTAATTTAATTTTAAATTAATTAAATAATAAATTAATTAATTTTTTAATTAATTATTTAATTAATTTTAAAAAAAATTTAACGATTAATTAAATTAATTTTTATAATAATTTAATAATTAATAATTTAATTTTTAATTTAATTATAAAATTAATTATTTAATTAATTCGAAAATTAATTTAATAATTAAAAAATTAATTAATATATTTAATTTAATAATAAATTAAATAAATTTTAAATTTTATTTTTAATTTATTTTTTAAATTAATTTTAAAATTAATTCGAAAAGTAATTCGAAAATTAATAAATTAATTTTTAATTTAATTTTTTAATTAATTATTCGATTAATTTAATTAATTATTAAATAATAAATAAATAAATTTTAAAATTTATCGAATAATTAATTTAAAAATAAATAAAAAAATAAATAAATAAATAAAATCGAAAATTAAATAATTAATTAAAAAAATATATTTAATTCATTTTTAATTAAATAAATAAATAATTAATTTTTAAATTAATTATTAAATTAATTTAATTAATAATTTATAAATTAATTTAATAATTAATTTAATAATTAATTTAATAATTAATTCGAACGTTAATAAATTAAATAATTTTTAATTTAATTTTTAAATTAATTTTTAATTTAAATTAACGATTAAAAATTAATTTTTTAATTAATTTAATAATTAATAAATTAATTTTTTAATTAATTTAATAATTAATAAATTAATTTTTAAATTAATCGAATAATTAATTTAAAAATAAATAAAAAAATAAATAAAAAAATAAATAATTAATTAAATAAATTAATTAAAAAATAATAAAATTAATAATTAAGTTATTAATAAAAAAATATAATTAATTAAAAAACGCGGGGATTATATAAAAACTTACGTAATATAATTAAATAAATAAAAAATTAAAATTATAAATAATTAATTTAATTCGATTAATTTAATTCGATTAATTTAATTTAATAAATTTAATTTAATTAATTTAATTCGATTAATTTAAAATTAAATTTTTAATTTAAAATAAAATAAAATAACGTTTTATATAATTAAAAAAAAATTAAAAGTTTAAAAATTAAAATTATTTAAATAATTAAATAATTTTAAAAAAATTAAATAATAAAAACGAAATAAAGTTTATTTATTTAAATAAATTATTTTATAAAAAAGTTAAAATTTCGTAACGTATTAATTATTTTTTAATAAAAAGTTCGAATTTATCCGCGTTTTTTTTTAATTAAATTTATTATATAAAATTTTATTAAAATAATTATTAAATTAAAAATTTAATTTAACTTAAAAAAAAATTTAAATAATTAATTTTTAATTAATTATTTAATTAATCGATTTATTTATATAAAAATTTAATTAAATTAATTTAATTAAATTAAAAATTAAATTTTTAATTTATTTTAAAAATATTTAATTATTTATATAATTAAAAAATTATATTTAAATTTAAATAATTAATTATATAAATAATAAAAAAAAAATTAAAAAATCGTTAAAAATTTATAAAAATTTATAACGAAATTAATAAAAAAATTAAAAAAATTAAAACTAAAATTAAATTCGAATTTAAATTTAAATTTAAATTTAAATTAAAAAAAATAAATAAAAAAATAAGTTTAAATTTAAGTCCGGGAAAAACGAAAAGTTTTATCCGGGAAAAGAAAAAAAAATTAAAATTTTAAAAAAAAAAGTTTCATTATTAATAATATAAAAATAATTAATTAATCGTTTTTACGAACGCGAAATAATATAAAAAAATTCGAACGAATAAACGTATCGAAAAATCGAATTTTCGTATAAAATAAAATAAATAATAATTAAACGTTAAATATATTTTAAAATTTAAATTATTATAATTTTTAATTAAAAAGTTTTTTAATTTAAATTAACGTTAAATTTTATTAAAATAAAAATTATAAAATTTTATTTATATTAATATTATAAATTTTTTTTAATTTAATTAATATATATAATTTCGATTAATAATTTAAATTTCGTATTAAATATTAATTTAATTTAATTTTTTATAATATTAATCGTTTTTATCGTCGTTTTTATTTTTATCGTTTCGATTTTTATTTTTAATAATAATATATTTACGAATATTATAACCGTTATTTTTAAAATAAATATTCGAATAAAATTATTTTTATTATTTTATTATTAATAAAAACGTTAATGTTTTTTTTACGGCCGGTAATTAATAAATTTCGTTTATTAAAATATATTTATTAAGGTTGAAATTTAATTACTAATAGTTAATATTAACCATGATTAAAATTAATTTAATTAATCTTAGCCTTAACTAAAACTAAGCTTAGTTAATACTGGCCTTAACTAAACTTAACTAAGCTTAATTAATTAATAATTAAGAAAAAACTAAAAACTAAACTTTTACCTCATTTTTATTTTAAAAATTAATTTCTCACCCATTATTAAATATTTTTAAATAAATAAAATAACTTTAAAATCAGGAAATCAAGCTTTATTTAATAGTATAATACATATATTATTATATATTTTATATAAATTATAATATCGATTCTAAGAACTTTACCTTGTACGAGATTTTCATGACGTATTACTAAATCAGGAAATTAGCTATGATTACATAAAATATATTACGTAATAGAGAATTATTTCAGAATTTTAATAATATATTTTTTATATTTATAGCTATTTTATTTAATTAGTTATTAAGGATTTCCTGCAAGTTCAGGGTAACGATATTTTCACTTGGAAAGTTTTTCGAAAATGAAATATTTTTAAGTTTTTTTCGAAAAAGTCAAAGTTTTCAAACTTTTTTTATAAATCGAAATAAATACATAAAATTAATCTGTTTCAAGTTTTTACTTAATCTTTACTTGAAATAATTAAATATAATTTCTTTATATATATAAGTTAATTATATAAAAATTTAAAAATTTTCGAAAAAATGAAAAATAAAAAATTTAATTTTTAATATTTCTTTAATTATTAATTAATTAATTAAGTTTAGTTTTTAATTAATTACAAGTTTAATTAAAACTAATTTAATTAGTTAGTTTTCTTACGTAAGTTTAATTAGTTAATTAGTAATTAAAAAAAACTAAAAATTATTAATATTTTTTTTAGAGTAATATTAAATTTGTAGTATACTTTGGTTATATTTGTAATGTTAACTATATTATGGCGAAAAAATGCTTTCAAACGGTACATATATTAGTATATAAATTTCCATATAAATTAAAGTATCTTTAAAAATCCCGCCATAATATAAAAATATTAAAAACATTTAATTTTTAACCTATTTTATTTTAATTAAAACTTATTTAAATTTTTTTAAACTTAATTTATATAATATTATATTTAAAACGTAATTAAATAAATTAAGTTACATTATATATTAATATAAATTAAAGAAAATATTACTTTTTAAAAATATACTAAAAATAAATTACGGTGCGAAGTAGTAACGTAATGCAAAATACCGGTCGCAAAACCAGTCCAATATAAATTCCGGTACATTTAAAAAACCGTCAATCCCTTAAATCAACCCTAAAAAAAGTACAACTTATTTTATTTAATACGTAATTAATTAATTAATCCTTTATATCGCCTTTAATTAAATTAAATAATTTTTAAAAATAAAATAATTAATTTAAAAAAATAATTATTATATTTACTTAAATATAAAATTTAAAGTTTTAAAACTTAAAAAATACTTAAATTTATATATATAATTATATAACGAAACGTATACCTTTTACGCTTGGACCTTCGGGAGAACTTCGGGTCTCCAAAGTGGCTTAACACTATAAATATAACCAAATTATACTATAAATTTAATATTACTCTTTTTTTAACCTTAATATTTATAATTTTTTTTTAATTTTATAAAACGTGTTTTTATTTTAAAAAAATTTAATATTATATATATAATAATTTAATATATATATATATTTCGTAATTTTAAAAAAATTTTAATTAATATTATTAATTATTAAATTCGAATTTATTATATATTAATAATAATTATATAAATTTTTATATATAATAAATTTCGTTTATTAAAATATATTTATAATTTTTTTTTAATTTTATAAAACGTGTTTTTATTATAAAAAACTTAATATAAAATAATTTAACGTATATATATATTTCGTAATTAAAAAATTTTTTTTAATTAATATTATTAATTATTAAATTTAAATTTATTAATATAATTTAATTAATTAAAAATTTTAAATAAATAAATTTATAATAAATAAATAAAATAAATAATTAAAAATTATATTATTATAAATATTTTATTATTCGTTTTATTATAAAATTCGTTTTTTATTTATTTTTTATTTTAATAATTTATTAAATTTAATTAAAAATTTTTTTATTTTTTTTAAAATAATAATTTTTTAAAATTTAAACATTAAAAAATATACTTAATTATAACATTCAACGTTAAAAAATGCATTTAATGAAAAACTCTTATAATTAAAGTTAAAGCTACGTTAAAATAATTTCGCGGCATTTAAAGTGGTTAAAGTGGCTTTTTGAGCCAATTGGCAAGCTTGGAGCTCGGGATGTGTGTTCCCGCCGCGGGGACCTCCTGTATTTTAACCTTCCACTAAAAAGGGTCTTCCAGTTATGTACTTGAAATGTACTTAATTTAACATGCTTAATGTGACTCAGTTTTCGACCTTGTCTTATCAACTCTCAACCCCTCCCCCTCCCCCCCTCCAAAAATAACATCAAGTAACAAAAAACATATTTCGGTGCTCCGCCACTTTCCAAACACTAGATCAGCGCCCAATACTGAGAACTGCGTCACGATGGCCGACGCAGGGTCCGGGGACGTTAAGAAGGTTGTGGTTGGCGGGCAGAAACCTACGAAAAAAGAGAAGAAGAGCAAAGCCGGCTCCGATGCTGCCAGCGCTGGCCCCGTCGAGATGAACCCACCGCCCGATTTCCTTAAAACGCGACTTGACTTGTTTGACCGCCTGAAGAAGAAATACGACGACGATGTAGCTAAGAGGCCGCGCGAGCAAATCACCATCACCTTGCCGGACGGATCTATCAAAGTTGGCACTAGCTGGGAGACCACACCAGGAGAGATCGCAAAGGGTGTTTCTAATAGTTTATACAAGCGCTCTGTTGTCGCTAGGTTGGATGGTGATAAGAATAGGCTATGGGACCTCGACAGACCTCTAGAGCAGAGTTGTAAGCTCGAACTCCTGACATTTGACGACGATCAGGGAAAGCAGGTTTTTTGGCACAGTTCTGCCCACATTCTCGGTGAAGCCTGCGAGAGACGATTCGGCTGCTCCCTCTGCATCGGTCCCCCAATTGACGATGGTTTCTATTATGAGATGGCTCTACCTGGAGGCGCCGCTGTCCAGCAGAGCGACTGGACGCCTCTGGAGCGAATAGTGACCGACATCGTCAAGGATCGTCAGCGGTTCGAACGCCTTGAAGTTACGAAGCAGGACCTTCTCGATATGTTTAGCTACAACAAATACAAGCAGTACATTATCTCTACCAAGATTCCCGACGGTACCTCTACCACCATCTATCGTAACGGTCCGTTGATAGATCTATGCCGCGGACCGCACGTCCCGGATACCGGTCGGATTGAGGCCTTCTCCATTATGAAGAACTCGGCATCGTACTGGCTTGGCTCCCAAGAGAATGACTCGCTCCAGCGTATCTACGGAGTATCCTTCCCAGACAAGAAGAAAATGGTAGAGCATAAGAAGTTTCTGGAAGAGGCAGCCAAGCGAGATCATAGGAAGCTCGGAAAGGAACAAGAGCTTTTTATGTTCCACGAGCTCTCCCCTGGCTCGGCATTCTTCCTGCCTCACGGCACAAGAATCTACAACACACTTCTCGAGTACCTCCGAGATCAGTATCATAAACGGGACTACCAGGAAGGTTTGTATTTTAGCCAACTAGACCCATCATCCTCCCTCCCGCTGTTGACTGACTCTTCTGATTTCAGTCATCACCCCAAACATTTTCAATTCGGAACTCTGGAAGATCAGCGGTCACTGGGAGTATTACCAAGAGGACATGTTTGTCATGGACTTAGAAAAGGAAAAATGGGGCCTGAAGCCCATGAATTGCCCGGCTCATTTTCTGATGTTTGGCCACTCCCCGAGGGTGTACAACCAGCTACCTCTACGCTTCGCTGACTTCGGCGTCCTCCATCGGAATGAGGCGAGTGGTGCCTTATCGGGCTTAACACGCGTTCGCCGTTTCCAGCAAGACGACTCCCATATCTTCTGTCGACTCGACCAGGTCACCGCCGAGATTTCCGACTTATTCGACTTTTTATCTGAGATGTATGGCTTGCTGGGATTTACCTTTAAACTTCAATTGTCCACCCGCCCGGAAAAGTTTATGGGCCAGATTGAGACGTGGGACAAGGCCGAGAGTATGCTAAAAGAAGCTTTAGATGGGTTTGCGGCAGGTCCCGGTGGTGTATCGTGGACTCTCAATGAAGGTGATGGTGCCTTCTATGGACCCAAGGTACTTATTATAATCTTTCTCCCTTCCCTTCCTTCCCTTCTTTGACCGTAGTCGATCTCGCTAATTATCTATCAGATCGACATCAAGATCTTGGACTGCTTGAACCGGGTCAGTCTCTGCCTACTCCTTAAGACATCTACAATTTTGAAACACCGAGCATGGCATTTTTGAAAATTCCCCTTTCCAGCGTCGAAAATCTTCGCTATTCTAAACGAGTACGAGTACACTAACTGGTACTTTAGGAGTGGCAATGTGCTACTATCCAGCTCGACTTCATGGGTCCTGAGAGTAAGCAATGTGTCTTTGTGTCGCTGGTTAATATGACTCCCTAACACATAGACTAGACTTTGGCCTTGAGTATATCACTTCTGAGGCACAGCCTACGAAAACCAAGCAGGAGGAGCCTGCCGTGCCAGCTGCAGATGTAAAAATCAAAGACGCTCAACCGCTCGACGCGGATTCTGCGAACCCCAATACAAGCGACAGCGGAGCCAAGCGAGGAAGAGTGATCAAGCCCCTAAGTCCCGGATGTGCTCGTCCGGTAATTATCCACCGCGCCATGGCTGGTTCCATTGAGAGATTCATGGGTAAGAAAGACGACGAATAAATGGGATGGATAGATCGCTTATACCGAGTCATACAGGCATTCTGATCGAGCACTTCGCTGGCAAGTGGCCTTTCTGGTTAAGTCCGCGACAGGTGATGGTGATTCCCGTAGGCATGGGATTCGTGCCATACGCCCAAGAAGTCAAAGAGATTCTCAAGCAGGCGAGGATATTCGTAGACATCGACACTACGGGAAATACGCTTCCCAAGAAGGTGCGAAATGCACAGCTGGCGCAGTACAACTTCGTGTTCGGTAAGCATTTGATCTACGTAGCTAGTGTTTCATTATCCTATTCGTTCCCTAGTTGGCGACCTGCTAACGGAATTGATGTCTGCCAAATATAGTCGTCGGAGACGAGGAGATGAGAGGCCGACAGGTAAATGTACGATATCGGGATGACACGTCGACCCAGGATCGTGGCAAGCCTGTATTGTTGGAAGAGGTGGTCGGGAAGTTGCAGAAGCTGCGAGCGGATCGGGGATCCTACAACCCCTTCCCGTCATCGAAGGAGACGGATAAGAATGTTGCCTGAGTTGTGGCTTGAGCTTGTTAGCAAGACACGATAGATCATGCCCGGTTGATGGACCCGGCTCACTCTACGAGGGTACTCATAATAAAAGGAATTCCAAAAAAAATCTGACCTACCAGATGAGATCGACGCTAAAGAATTCACCTCTCTAGAATATACAATCAATTATATAAGCCCAAGTCTGTCCTCTATGAAAAAGGGGGGAGGGCGGTGGGGAGGGCAAATGATTGTAAGTATTTAACACTTGGATGCACGTTCGAATAGGCGCGGGAAAATGCATTGATATTCCGCCAGTTTGCTGACAATGAAGCCAGACCTTCATATTCTTTAGGTACCTAGGTAGGTTATATCATAATGACCCCTGCGATTCTATATGATTAATTATATTCGATCATTATGTGATCTTATAGACTAGCTTCTCTGCGCTGACATTGCCATCTTGCTGTTTCTCGAAGCCAGACAAGATATCATCAAGTCCCCCGAGCTCTCTTGCCCTGTTAGGCTTGAGCTTGCCACTAGAGAGCAGTTCTGGTAGGATGGCCAAGTACTTCTCCCATAACGCCTTGTCACCCGGAGTTGCGTATCCGCAGTTGTCGAAAGCGCCGAAACTCCGCGGTCGTTCGAAGACAGTGTACACAATGGTGCTTTCTAGCTTGATCTTCTCGTTCTCGATTTTATCCCTGATCTCATTCACGGGGAGGATAGCGACGACGTGTCCTCCTTTTTCTGGCGATAATGACCTTACAATAGCTTCTGTCGTTCCATTCTCGGATATGCAATCGAAAGCAAATTCCAGATGATCGTGGGTTAGCTTGCGTACATGTTCTGGCCAGTCCGGGTCTTTATAGTCGACCACAGCGTCGGCTCCTAGCGATTTCAAGAGCTCGTGGTTTCGAGCCGATCCCGTCGCGACCACAAATGCACCGGCCATCTTAGCCAATTGAACAGCATACTGGCCAACGCTCGAGGTACCGCCGCTGACAAGGAAAGGGAAACCGTTCTTGGCTGGGCTGCTTGGCTCGGGTATCTTTAGCCTGCCAAAGATGGCCTGGACGGCTGTGGCAAAGGCCAATGGGATGACGGCAGCATCCTGGTAGGATACTTCGTCTGGGATGGCGTATACGAGACTGGCTTCGATCACGGCGTACTCTGCGAATACTCCTCTCGTCGGGTCGACCGATGAACCCTGAACAAAACCCGAGACGCGTTCACCATTGTGCCACCGGGAGCCGTTGCCGTCTTCCACAATACCAGCAAAGTCGCACCCGATGATCCGACCAGGTTGCACCGATTTCATGGCCTTCCAATCAGTCGGATTCTGGGCGACATAATGAATCTTGACTAGTATCTCGCCTTCCCTGGGTTTTGGGATGTCAACTTCCTTCACCGTTGCAGTCTTGCCCTCGACGGTGACCAAGGCCTTCATATACGGTGCCATCGTGTCCCTATTGGCAGCCTGGCGGATACGTGTTTGAGGATGAGATTTTGATGAGATTTTGATGAGGCGTTCGTATAATGAGTGGCTAATGTGTAAATAATTATGCAGTTTAGATGAGACCTTTACCCTCGCGCTTCTTCGAGAAGGTAGGCAATTTATATACGTACTTCGCCCGGCGGTGGTTTGATCTGCAGGTGCTGACAAATTCAACCATTTGTAATGAATATGAAGGCATAGCCAATGGAGTATCGAGGAATTGTTATATAAGCTTTCCTCTAGGAATATCATTAACACGAAAGTAATCGCTTAAATCATCAATCTATCAAGTGCATTTTTAATTCTATATGTAGGTAGCTATAGTTACTACGCAGCGTAGGTCACTTATATGAAGTTATATCTCATCCTATCCGTTGCTATTAACTTGGCTAATATTGGCATGAATTCGGGTTCATATCTCGGAGTGGTACTCTCATCATATAGAATACTCGATACCTACCTACCTACCTACCTAGGTAGGCAATGCTTTCATACCGTAGATATTATACACATTTCTGTATATCTGTATATATCACTCATTTGACCTCTTTTAGTCTCTTTGACGATTTTCTGGGTAACAAACGTAGGTATAGACGAAGAAAAACAGCAATGCTGTCCTATTTGGGATTAACTACTGGTACAGGTTTCTGGAATGACCTGATTGCGTAGGAAAACGTCTGGTACATGCAGGTTGCCGCGGCTCCGACAACAAATCATTGTCACATACACACCTCCCATGGGTTACGAGAACCAGTCGAAATATTTAAAATATACTTCTCCTCAGCTGTGCTGTTTGCGTTCCTTCTTCTCTTAACAAAAATCAATACCCGTCTTGCCAACCTCCTTCCAACCTCCTTCCAACCTCATCGTCTTACCCCCTGAAAGTAAACCATGACGAGTGCCGAGGTAGACGATTCGTGCATTGTATGCAATACGTCTAATGCCCGCTTTTGCGATCGCTGTAAAGATACTCGCTACTGTTCAAAAGCATGCCAACGTGTCGATTGGCCCACCCACAAGCTTCTCTGTACAGCATTTTCAAAATTTGACATTACGAAGCGACCTAGCAAGGATCACCTCCGAGCAATCTTTTTCCCTGTTGACAAGGAGAAGCCCGAACTTATCTGGCTTCATTGTCCTTGGCGCGACGATGAGGAGGATGGGTGGTATCAGCATCCCGACAAGAAGCCATTCCTAGGCGCAGACACGTTTCCTAGCACGACAAGTATCCAGCGCAATAAGATCTTGGAGAGAAACCTTTCTCATACAATCGACGTATGTTATCGAGATGGTTTCCTCGTCGACGGGTCAAGTGCCAATAAGAGTATCGGATCTATCACTTCCACGAAACCGTACCAATCTCATGATTGGCGAGGCCCCGTGCTGGCCTACGGAAAGAAGGGGCTTGGTATTGACCAGATCGCCTGTGATGACCTTGGTATGAATGACTTCCGACATGTTGCTGATTTCTTCATCTCGTATGGTCTTGATCCGGTGTCTTTCGATCGGCAGTTTGTTGGCGAGAAGATAAAGGGTATCAGGATTAATTGTATCGGCGACCAGAGGATGTGCGGGAGGCCCAAGTTTGAAGTAGTCGAGATCACACCGACAGATCCGATCTTCCTCATCAACGACGTCTCTCAGATTATGAAACGCGTTGAGCTTCCCATCATTACACGACGTTGCCTCCCAGACCAAAGGTGGGCCAACAACAAGAACTACGGGCCCTTCGAAGGTATCGATCCCTTCACCAACCAGGAAGCTACGTACCTGCATCTATGCTGCGACCCGAAAGGCGACGTCGACCTTGCAACGGGGAAATTGGGTTGGGGATTTGCTCCCCTGCAATGGCAGAACAGCGTAGGGAGCGTCATCGTCGCACGTCAGGATAAGAAGCCACTATTTCCACTACACATGGAGGCGATGTGCAAATACTGCCGTTACGAAGCAAATGATCTATTTCGTCACTCCAGCGGAGAATTCGCACCGGAAAAGCCAATAGCAAAAAGTGATGTGTTGACTATGATTTGCCGGCCTGCTTTTGTCATCTTTTGGTATAAGATGCTGGAGGAGAGGCGAGAAAAGGGGCAGGATGCTAACACTCCATACCCCTATTACGATATGCATGTGTAATCTCACGTATAGTGGTTCTGTACCTTCAAACCCCTGAATTCGAATGACGTCCCCTCGCGCTTCTCTAGAACGGTCTTGTAGTGAACATCCTTGACCCGTGCTCGCACATACTCAGTTCCAGATACTACCGGCTTATTGGGATCCCTGTCTCCAGGCGGAACAAGGCCCAGTCGGTCCAATAGAGGGGATGGGACCGTCTTCATCGCTGTGCGAGCACCCGGTCGGCTGAAGTAGAGCAAGCCAAGACGTGGTATGTTGATCTGATCTTTCGGCGGCGTGACTACGCGATGGATAGTGGATTTGATAAAGCCTACGTGCTCACGTCAGTTGAGCGTGGGATTCATCGATCCGAGATGTGGACTAACCGTTGGTAAGAAATGTCAACGTATCCGCCGCGTTGCAGGTAACTGCAATTCTCTAGATTAGTAACTCGTGTCTTCTACGTCGGCCTATCGTCAACAGGTAGGATCATCGCATGCATATGCTTATAGGGTACGGTACCTAGGCAGCTAGGTAGGGGTACGTTTAAAGAGAGCACAGAAAGTTCAACTTACTACCACCGTCTACAGGGCTAGCATATTTCCATTCGCCTTCTGGTGTGCGGATTTGCAAACCGGCAATATGCTGCGAGAAAAGAAGTGTCAAGCTCCCGAAGTCAGTATGACCCCCTTTCTACATGTGCGGATATTTGTCTATCAGCGTCTATTCTTCGTACCCAACGGAGTATGCGTCGCAAGGACACGATGGGTTCTCATACATACCGAATAAGCCTGAGCTTCGTCCCATTCTTCCTGGCTTCTGACATTATATAACATGTAGCGGAGGTGGTCGTCGGATTCTTCGTCATAAGCGTGTGCATCGACGAGGTAGCTCTCCGGAAGCTCGAGGATAATAGAGATTAAGACGAACAGCTTCCGGACTACCTTATCGAAAAGCTCTCTATGAAAGGACGCAATCTCCTCCCAATTCTCCTCAACTATCCTGTGTCTTCCTACGTTGTCGTAGGCCGGTATAGCTTTGGGGATGTTCAACTATCATACCATGAGTCTAGAAGTGGGAAGTTTCATGGCCATGCGCATACCATCTCCACGTTCTCTTTGATTCCCGTGTTGCCGATCCAGCGCGAATTCTCCCGATATCCGAAATATTCACCTTCGGCAAAATTACAGGGGAATCTTCGCTTCTCCTCTAATGGCTGCTTGAAGAAGGCATTTCCGATGCTAAATTGACGGAGGACGCGCTCATCATCGATGCCGGTGTTGACCACGGACCAAAACCCAACCCTGGTGACAGCATCGTAGAGTTGCAGGGCAAGCTCTTGCTTACCTCCGGCTTCTTCGAAGAGTGATAGGTCAATCTTGGGTAATTCTGCCCATTCTAGCTTTTCTGATGTCTTCGCCGGTCGATACCACGGCTTCAAAGAAATCTTGTCAGTGCCTAGTTGATCTGCTGCAGATGTCTTAACAGCGACGGGTGTCATTTTGATCGATCGATCTAATCTCAGAAATTTCCTCTCATCGAAAGGAACTCCGTGTAATAGTTTGATGTAGACAACTGCGTCTTAGATTTACTTGGAAAGGTCTCTATATAATCAAGAGAGGCAATCAACCACATCCGTCATATGTAGGTGTGTATAACATAGTCGATATTATCTAGATTTAACCATGGCTCGCGATTGATATCTTGATTGGCCACGTTGGTCGTACATTTTGGAGGCGGGGGTAGTTGCGTGCTTGGTGTTCTCATCGACCTCATCGTAGGCGTGCTTAGAATCCCAGCAACGAGATTGGAGAAGTTTCCGGGATGCCTGAACCGGTTCCGAAAATCATCGGATGCGCCTCCGTAACAGCTAGATGTTCGCCAAAAAATATAGATAACGCCAATGAAAACCATCTGAATGCGGTTGTTTTGTATACCTAGGTAGTAGTCACATGGATTATCTGTCGTTATAATGTATCCCCGGAACCGTGAACGTAGGTTGAATCTGGGGTTGACCACTATGTTACAATTTCCAATGATATGGTGCGATACCGTAGCAAGTACAATGCTCGGACTAGCTGTCGTTAACCCATAGATCCCTACTTCGGGGTGATCTCTATCGTCATTTATATAGGTAGTCACCAGCAAAGAGCCTGGATGGAGGCCTCTCCTATCCTCTCTCCCTAGGGCATGAGCTATCTTGTCCAAGACCCCATCAAAACTACGATTCCCGAAATACAGCAAGCCAACCTGAACGTACGTTGGCATGGATTCCAGCCCAAGCAAAGTCGATGCAATAATCGACAATACAGAAATCTCGGATCAGAGCAATGGCGCTGAAATAACTCATGATCGGGAGTTCTCGGAAGCTGATAATGGGTTCGAAAAGGCTGTTATGAAGAAGGTAGATCTATGGCTTGTCGGGTTTTACTCGTTAGTCTATATCTTCAGGGTTATCGACTCAGCCAACTACTCGAACGCAGCAATAATCAACCTCGAACATGGGACAGGTATAAAAAAACAGCTGGGACTGAGTCCCTCGCAGTGGGCGGTGAGCAACACGGCGTTCAACCCCTTTTATAACTTGTTTTAATCCTCGGCTACTTTCGAGGTCCTCGTCTCGAAGATGTGCCTAAACTTTCGAAACCTCCCATGAAGCGGAAGAATTGCTGACTTTGGTTGATATACCTAGTGGACGTTGTCTATTTTCTCATACAGCTACATGATATTTGAACCGACAAATACCTTGGCGATGAAAGTATTTTCGCCCTCGCGGTGGATGTTCGTGCTCATCCTCGGCTGGGGCATATCTGCTTGTTCATCATCCGCGGCTCAAGATTTCAAAGGTGTAAGCGCACCCTGTGCCATGACGCTGGAGTGATAGGATGGCAGTTGCTGATGAGGTAAATGTATTCAGATGATGTGCGTTCGCTTTGCCATCGGCATGGCAGAGGCGGGTTTCTTTCCGGCTGTGCTGTACCACATGGCTTTCTGGTACAAGCCTAGTGAGATGCCGCAACGAATTGCCATCTTTTATTCCGTTGGACAGCTTTCTCCGGCCGTGAGCGGTCTGCTTGCCTACGCCATCGGATTCATGGTAGGCCATGTTATTTGTATACCCCCTTAACCACGTGCCTAATTATGGAATGTTATGCTACACTGTGCCATGCCATCGCTAATGCATCCTGTGCTTTTTAGGACGGGTTAGGAGGACTCGCTGGCTGGCGGTGGCTCTTTTTGATAGAAGGTCTGCCGGCCATTGTCCTCTCGGCCATTGCGCTGTGGCTCCCTGACTACCCAGAGACGGCACGCATGCTCACGGACAAGGAGCGGGTCACGCTCCAGGGTCGTCTCGCGCGGACTGCCCCGACGGGCAAGCAAGGTCACTGGGACTTCGAATCTCTAAGAAAGCTCTTCAAAGATCCAACCTTCTACACCTTTTCCGTTTACTGGATCTGTCATGGAATCGGAGGATTTGGGATCGGGACCGCACTGCCCACGGTCATTTACGAGCTGGGATTTACAACAACATCCAACTCGCAGTTGATGAACATAGTAAGGAATCACTCACATCCATGGATCTATCATTAGACTCATACCGTGCCTAATGTTCAATGGCAGCCTCCATATGTTTCTGCCTTCGTATTCCTCAACATTGTTGGTTACTTTCTACATAGGAAAGCCATCAGGCCATGGACGACCGCGGTAGCGAGTAAGTTAACAACTGACCTAAAAATAACTTGCACTTAACAGGAGCTGATTAGTGTGCAGTTGAGTCGACGATCATCCTTTGCTACATCGTTCTCTTCACCGTCCATAATGTAGTGGCGAGATATATATTTCTGATCATCGCCGTGTCGTGTGCTGGATCGGCATATCCGGTGATATGGCCCGAACGTATCCGAGATCTCGAGGGGACCGTTGGATCAGGGCTCGGTATCGGGTGGACGAATGCGATGGCCCAGTTTAGCGGTATCGCGGGTCCTCATGTTTTTAGCACGGTGTTTGGTCCGACATACCACGTATCATATGGGATCTGTCTTGGTTTTCTGAGCGTAGGAATTGCATCGATACTTATTTCATGGCTTCTCGTTCGGCGAAAGGATCGGAAGAGGCGAGTAGAACAGGTTTGATGGAGGGTTTGAATGAGAGAGGATCTGTAACTCTGTAAGTTGTGAGCCTGTTACTTATGGGCTATTTATCATGAGTACCAGTTATGAATCCTCATATGTTCCAGTTCGGTTCCTGAATATCGTCAAGTCTTTTACATGAAGAAGTTGCCCAGAAATAATGATGCATAAGTATCCAGGTCCTTTTATCAATTGATGATGTTATACTTTTACGGTTAAATTTTATTAGTATATATATAACTATATATATAGGTATATTATGTGTTAATGCACAAAATGTAATGAAAGAAATGTATGCATATACGTGTAAGGTGTTGTGCAAAAAGATACCTGGTCCTAGTGGGGATTGAACCCACGACCTATGCATAACTCATATGTTCAATACAATTGTATATAAGTATAAGAGCACCATGCTAACCACTGCACCATAGGACCATTCCGGGTTTTATCCATACTCCAGCTACAAAGTGGCGCTTGGATAATTGTCGGCTGATTGGTTATGTTATATTATATCCATTGTATTTCTACCTGTCTTGCTCATTAATATACGTACCGGGCAGATTATGAACCTTGAACCTTGTTCCTTGTTGCACATTCAATTGAAATTTCATCTATTAATCAGCTTTTCATTTTCCCATCCCTTCAATGCTGCTGATACCGTAGAAATTATCTTGCGATTCCTGCGATAATGAATCTGTAATTAACATGGTCTTACATATATGCTTTGTGCATAGGTACCTAGGTAGGTAGGTAGGTAGGTAAGCAAGATGGAATTGCATCGTCCAGGTCGCCGTGGCTGATCGACGTCATGTTCTAGACCTTTCTCGTTTCGATATACTCGGAGGCAAAGTGATGGGGAAGTCGGCAATGCTGAAGGTATGTACCTAGTACCAGCCTACCTAGTACCTAGTACGTAGCTACCTAGTACCTATATGCAGGCAGGTACCTAGTAGGAAATCAGATCAGATTATAAATCATACGCTCGGAAATTCCACACATTCCACAAATTCGGGGCATGTCACGGATTCGGAAATCCCATACCGGAGGGTTACCTATTGTTTAGGCAATCTACTACCTTTAACCTAGGCTGTTGATTTATTTGCCTAGGTATGTGGGACCCGATGAATTCGCTGTTCGGATATCTTCAACCTGAAGCTTGTTTTAGGGGTGGATTCGTTTATTTAGTCGTAGCTCGTTGACGCCGTGAGACGTCATCTTTCTAATTCTCTGACTTATAGATATAGAATGAAAACACGGATTTTAGGTATGTACTAGGTAGTGAGAGATATAAGAGCGGGATATCCTGCAGAAAAGGAAAGAGAAAACAAACACAAAACGAAAGAAAAGAAAAAGAAAAAGAAAACGAAAAAGAAAAGGGGGAAGAAGAACAAGAAAGACAAGAAAATATCAGGACTTCCGCAGCTGTTTAGCCACATTTGCATATTACTTACTTGTCGACAGCACCCATCTAACCTTCCTTTGACTAGGTATTCTATTGAAGCTAATCAATATCTTTAACGTACCTAGTGGGAGACAATAAATGCTTGGAAAATGACTTCGAACAAGACGCTCATTTTCAAGAAAGTCCCGACCGGGTTTCCCGTGCCGGGCGAGCATCTCGCTGTCGAGGACCGGCCGATAGATCTAGAAGCGGACGCGCCTAGAGGAGGTCTGGTTGTCGAGATCCTCTATGCTTCTTATGATCCTTACCTTCGTAGTAAGATGCGCGATGCCAGTATCAAATCCTACTCGCCACCTTTCGCGATTGACAACCCTCTTACAAACTACACCGTCGCTCGGGTGCTCAAGTCAGACAGCTCCGAATACAAAGAAGGAGACCTTGTCGTTGCTTTCCTCCCCATCGCGGAATATGCCAGAATCCCGGACCTTTCGGCAACAAGTGTCCGCAAGATTAACAACCCACACAACCTGGACCTCGGCTTGTTCCTCGGCCCGCTGGGAATGCCTGGCCTGACCGCCTATGCCGGGTTGCATAGGATCGGGAAACCCCAAAAGGGGGAGACAATATTCATCAGTTCGGCGGCTGGTGCCGTTGGACAAGTTGTCGGCCAGCTTGCTAAGAACGAGGGACTTAAAGTCATTGGCTCTGTTGGCTCTGACGAAAAGCTAGACTACATCACGAAGGAGCTCGGGTTTGATGGTGGCTTCAACTATAAGAAGGAGACCTCTTTCGAAGCGCTTCCTCGTCTTGCGCCAAACGGCATCGACATCTATTTCGAGAACGTGGGAGGGGAGCAGCTTGATGCTGCCCTCCAAAACATGAATACTCACGGTCGGATTCCAGTTTGCGGAAGTATGCAGCCCTTATAAGTTTTTGCCCCCAAACCCCCCTTTTTTTTCTAATTTCTTTCATATTACCTATAGCTCTTTTCGATAGCCACAATTCTCTTAGATACCGGGCGAGGGGCTTCTACCTCCTGCTCCCTACCTAGTAGCTTTGAAGTGTCATTAATTGAGAAGTAATTGCTAACTCGTATTGTCGCAGTGGTGCGATCAACCCCCAGGGCCGAAAGAATCTTGGGTAGTTTTCTGTGCTGACGTTCGTCTAGATCTCGGGATATAATCTCCCCCCTGACCAAAGATACGGCGTCAAAAGTCTCTTCCTTCTTATCTCGAAGCTCATAACGATGCAAGGGTTTCTGGTTGGGCAACCAGAATTTGGACCTGCGTACTTCCAGGAGCACCAACAAAACGTTCAAAAGTGGATTGCGGATGGTTCTTTCAAGGCCAAGTTAGATGTTACTGAAGGTATTGAGAAAGCCGCCGAAGGATTCATTGGCATGCTCAAGGGTGAGAACTTTGGAAAGGCTATTCTGAAAATCAAATAGATGAGCCGCGGCGGCCGCGACAGCTGTCTGTAGATGAGGTTGACTTACGTGACCTCATGGGAACTTCATAGTCAAGGAATCAGCCAAGACAGACGGGAATTGAAGACCTATATTAAAGGTGATATTGGAAGTGACAAAAATTTCATAACTATTTATTTCATATCGCCCGGCTACTTCATTTCCTTCCGTATCGGATAACCTAAACCCAGATATAACAGGCTGATTCTCATTTTAAGTGACATGATCTTCAAAACTTTCGAATGCTCCCACGTGAATAATACATATTACTCTAGGCTACAGTGATGCGCAGTAACTACGCGGATTATCACCCTCGACTATCGATCGTTCGATCGCATGAGTAGTTTGCACGAGACACCATAGTCTGAAGCTCAGGGCAATTAAGTCTAAACATACATACCCACTGTTAGGTAGGTAGGCAATTATCATGACATTTCCGAATTCCTTAGCAGTGGACGAAACAAGCTGGGGTATGTAACCGACGCCACGAAAATGCACTTGATCAAGTAGATGTGACCCTGATTCCCGCCACCGCCCTCTCCCTCTTATTTTTTTCTCTCTCTTTCAACTTTGGTCCCTTAACCAACACCATTTCGTGGCGACTAGACTCTTGGATGCATCCGACTTCACGGTCGGTTAAATCCTTGTTTGGCCTTGAACCAGTCAGCTAAATAATACCGGATACTCGAACAGTTACGGCCTGGAAACTTACCTTCATTTGCTCTATCCTGGCCTTGAGCTGGCTCGTGACCTCTGCTGCCCTCTTCCAACTTTCCACACCATTACTGCTGGCTCCGCCTGGGGCCGAACTCGTGCCGGGACCGGTGCCGTGTCCGACTCCTTCTTCTACTGGCGCGCTCCTAAAGCCACGAGCAGGGCTGCCTCTTCCACTCGATCCGCTATTGTATCGCAACTCTGGACTTAGCTTGCTCCTCGGGTAGTTGTGAGGCGCGTCGCCATTCTCCTTCTCCTCCGATAGAGTGCTCGCGAAGCTCATCCTATTGTTTTTCGAACCCGAGTAATTTGCACCATCGCGGTAGATGCCCATGTCGTCTGGGGTAGGGCTTGTCATCCCTGGACTGACGACACCCCCAGATATACCCAAGCCCTCGGCCCGGCTAAGGGCGCGCTTGAGGCGTTCTAGTTCCCGGCGGAGTCTCTCGTTGGTTTGCTCGGTCGCTTCCGCGTCGCTTCTTGCTCTGACGAGTTGAGTCTCTTTAGCCTTGATGCTAAGCACATCTCGCGTGTGGTCCTCAATAAGCCCAGCATTCTGGTTTTTAAGTTCTTGGACTTCCGAAACGAGTTTATTTCGCTCGTGCCGCATCTCGTCTACCTGTTTAGTGAGCCGATCGTTCGCCGCGCGCAGCTCTTCGAGCTCTGCACGCTCCATGGCCGCAAGGCCGCTAGACGGAGGGGGCGAGGGCGCCGAAGTTACTGCGGCAGATGCTGCGGCAGGTTTTGTTAAGGAGCGCCCAGCAAGACCACCTCGGCCGAGCCCAACTCGCGGTTTTGGCGGAGGTGATGATGCCAGAGGTTCCTCATCCTCCACGGGAGGTGGCGGCGGGGTTGCAGCAGCTGGTGCTCGTCGGGGGGATGCGATACCTGGGGGACCAATGCGTCTCTGCGGCGCCTTGAGCCCGGTAAGGCCAGAGGTTTTAGGCATGCCAAGTTTGCTGCCTGCGGCGGGTCGGGATGCTTGTTGTGGTGTGGGCGTAGGCTCTGATGCGGGCTGAGTGGGTGCGGAAGCAGCTGGCGCGGCCTTCTTTGTGGCGCCAGGAGCTTTCTTACCACCGCCAACGATCTTCTTCGGACCGCCAGGTGGGCCTCGTGCAGCCGGAGCTGGCTTCGGCTTCGGCTTATCTTTAGCTTTGACCTCGGCTTTGTCGAAGTACTCCTTGATTTTATTCTTTCGAATATCGTCTAGGCCTTCGAGATGAGGGTTCATGGCACGCTCGCCAATTATCTTCATGACCGTACCTAGAACCTCGGCTCCTCCAGACCTCAAACCCTCGCTAGATTCCGAGAGCAGTTTCTTCGCAGCTTCTACGATGCTGGCGACCTCTTGCTTGCTTGGAGGCTCCCGGGTTGTCCTTAGGCAGCGGACAAGAAATTTCATAGTTCCCTCTTTGACCTGCGGGTTTTTGTGGCCAAGAAACGAGAAGATATCCTCTAGACAATCGGTAAGGCCCGTGGAAAGGAATACCGAATCTAAGGCGACGCCTAGCGCGTCTGCAACGGACTGCTTCTTCTCCTTCAGCCGCTCCATGATCGGCGCCATGACGACGGACCGGTATTTGCTATAGCTTTTCCGGAGGCCCTTCGCGAGTACCTCGATACACTGGGCTGCTTGGGTTACGACGGCAATGTTGGCGTCTTTCATACACTTGGCAAAGCCACGATTGATCTCGCCAAAATCGCCGTCTTTGATCCTTGGTACGTTAAGAACGGCGTAAAGCGCCTCGAGAGCCTCCTTGCGGTCTTTCCATTTCGAAGAAGCGAGATTGTCGTGGAAATTGGCAGGCACTTTTGACAAAACGTCTTGGGGCTCCGCGAGATCAAAGGCGTCAACTTCGGCCGGTTCCTCGGGACCATCGTCCTCGTCGAAATCCTCCCCTTCGGCACCTGGCGGCGGCGCGCGGGCCATCGCCGCCTTCTGAGATCGCAAGAGCCGCTCCTGTTTCGGCGACGGTTCTGCCTTGATCTTTTCGAATTGTGCTTCCAGATCGGACTGCTGGGTTGGCTTTAGATCGCTCCAGAACATAGGTTTCATCGCGTCTCTTAGCCATCTGTAGAACTCGACTGCCAAGTTGGTAGCCTCGGCTCGTACATTCTTGTCCGCATGCCCGAATGCCTTGGGGAGGATCTTGAGGACAGGCTTCGGGTCGGCGACTTTGCAACCATAATTGTGGAAGATGGTGGTGAGAGCTGCTAGGGCGGCTGCAATAACTTTAGGCTGCTTCGCGGATATGGCAGGGAGGATATCCTCGACTACAGGGCCGGCGACATCGAGCTCGATAAGCAGCAATAGCGCCTCAACCGAGGATGCTTTGGTAGCGGGTCTTGTAGACACAAGGCCTTTTTCGACGATAGGGGTGACGACTTGGCCGCGCGAACGTACGCAATTTTCCTTCCCACCAAATTTAAGGAATGCGCAGAATGCAGCGATGCCGTCTGATTGTGCGGCAACGTTTGAATCCGCCACGGCACCCTTCCATAGACTAGGATCTTGGTTGAACGGCCGAAATGCGGGATCGTATTCGTCTGGAGTGAGTTCAAATAGTTTCGCTGCTTCTTCGTATGCTTGCTTGCGAGCTTTCCAAGCCTGTTAATTTCGGGGTTGTTTAGTACAAGGAGATCAAGACAACGCAGGTATACATGTTGATAATACGCACTTTATGCACCCATCTCTCTGTTAGTGGTAGAGAGCTGTAGTCTGGCTCTCCTTCAGCCATATTGGCGGTAACAGGAGGTCAATTTCTTTTGAGCCGTCAGCGACGTAGATATCAATTTCGGGGTCTAGCAAATTTATTTTGATCGAAGGGTGCGCTGCTAGCCTTCTCTTTCGTACGGCTAGACGATAGAAGCGATACTATCTTTCTGGATTAGTTTCCGCGAGGTTAATTTATTAGGGAAGCAAAGACGACTTTTGTACATGTATTGTGAGAAACGTAGGGAAACGAGGAGTTCAGCATAGAGTTGAGAAGGTGATCTGATATGTTTCTAGCTCCACGTCTTTCGATATAAGATATGTAATTTATAAGGAAACTAGTCAATGCTCTGCATAAGGTTGAGGAACGGAGCGAAGAACAAGTAGTGCTGGCTATATGATGGTAAACGATCAACATAAGAGACCTGGTGGACACACATTGTTTCCATGAAACAAATTAGAGCATAAGCAAGTCGTCAGTCGTCGGTCGTCGATATTCGGTTGCCCGCGGATACCCGTATTTATCCTTTGTATTTACGTTTTCCTATTCTCGGAATGGGTGATCGAATTTGCGTAATATTTGTTGATGGGATGAGGTTATGGTCGAGGTCGAGATCGAGGATCGGGATTTGAGACTTGGGACTTGGGATTAAGAATTTTGTAGAATGTAGACGGCAAATGCTTTCTTTCTTTAGAGAGATTTCCTAAGGAAAGTGTAAGATAAGACAATTACAATTACCCAGGATATCTGATAAGGGGGGATTCTATAAAAAAGTTATGTGCATCTGAAGTTTAGAAGTTGAGGGGTGCGAAACATAAGATGCGATGCTGAGCTGCTAGGTAGGTACATACTTTGTAGGCAGGCATTCGCTGCAGGAGCTAGAAGAGTAGGTACTGGGTATGTACCTAGGTATCTATCTAGGTACATGTATGTTTTGACATTAATCCGGGCTTTATGCCCTTCAAGTATACATACATATGGCGTACCACTATTAAGTAACATCCATGCACAAAATTAAAAAACATAGTAGGTACTGTGTACTTATTTATCCACTTACCGTTTTCTTTTAATAATTTTACAGCTTGGCGGGCCTATTTTAATTTCGTTTTAACTTTTTTTAGTTAATAAAATTTAAGGTAAATTTAATAATATATTATTAAATTATTTTTTATTTTATTTTTATTATTATTTTTTTATATATATTATATTATATATTATAATAAATTATATAAAATCGTATAAAATAATTATTATTTAAAAAATTAAAATAATTTATAAATATTTTTATTATTATATTTATTATATTAATACGAAACGTTTAATTAATTTATTTTTATTATTTTAAAAATTACGTTTAATTTTAATAATAACGTTTATTTTAAATTTAATATTACGTATAATTTTATTTTTTAATAATTATTTTCGTTTAACGAATTTATTAATATATTTTTAATTAACGAAAATAATTAATATTATAATTAATTAAAAAAAAAAATTTAAAAAAGTAATTTTTTTATATTAAATAAAAATTCGAAATAAATTTTTAAATAACGTTAAAATTATTTATACGATTTAAAAATTAAAATAACGTTAAAAAATATAAAATTTAAAATTAAAAATTAATTAAAAGTTTAAAAAAAAATATAATATTATTAAATATTAATTAATTATCGTATAATTATTTAAATTAAATATTTAAATTTAAATAATTTTTATTATTACGTAATAACTTTTTTATTAATTTAATTTTATTATTTTTTTAAATTAATTATTTATTTTTTAATAAAAATTTTAACTTTTTATTAATTAACTTAAAATAAAAATTTATTATAATATTTATTAAATATTTTATAAATTTAATTTTATTCGTATTAATTTTATTTAATTTAAAAATTATCGAATTAATTAAAATAATAAAATTAATAACGTTAATAATATTTTTTTATTAACGTAATATATTTTAAAATTTTTAATATTATTTTTTAAATAAATTTTTAATTTTAATTAAATTATTTTACGATTTATTAAAACGTATAAATATTTTAATTTATATAAATTTTTTACGTATAATTTATTAATATTTAAATTAACGAAAAAATTTAATTATTTATTAAATAATTAAAATTATTTTAATTTTTTATTTATTTATAATTATAAATAATAAAAATATTATATTTTAATTTTTATAATTATTTTTTTAACGTTAAATTTAAAAATTATAAAAGTTTTTAAATAATTATTTTATTAATTTATTTAAATATATATTAAAAACTTAAATATAATTAATTATTTTTTTTAAAATTATAATTAATAAAATTTAAGTTTTTTTAAACATTTTTTTTATAAATTTAATATTATAAAATTTAATAACGTTTATAATAAATAACGTTTTATTTTTTTTAATATACCACGTAAATTTAATTTATATTTAATTAATAAATATTTTTTCGTTATTATACGTATATTCATTAAATAATATTAAAATATTTAAAAAATATAATTTTTTTTTTTTTTTATATTTAATATTTTTATTTTTATAAAAAATAATTAAAAATTTATATATATACCCGTTTATATTAATATAAAATAAAAAAATAATTTAACGTTTATTTTACTTATTATAATTAATTTTAATTATAATTATATATGTTTTTTTTATTTTATATATATATTTATTAAAAAATTCGAAAAATATAAAAATTTTATTAAAATTTAAAATTCGTTAAATAAAAAAATAATAAATTATTAAATAAAATATATCGTTAAAATTAAATAAATTTTTAATATAATTATTAATTAATTAAAAAAATTTTTTTAATAAAATAAAATTCGTTATAAACATTAAAAAAAAAAAACTTCGTAATTAATTTATAAATATAAAATTTTAATTCGATTTATCGTTTAAAAATAATAAATATTTTTAAATAAAAAAATAATATTATATATATATTTTTTTAATTTTATTAAAAACTTTATTAATATATTTCGTTATTTAATAATAATTAAAATAATATCGTTTTAAAAAATTCGTAAATTATTTATTATTAAATATAAATAAATTATTAAACTTCGAATAAATTAATTTAAATAATTTAATTAAATTAATTTTAAATTATATTTACGTAATAATTTTATTTTTTATTTTTTTTTAAAAAAAACGAAAATATAATTTTTATTTTAATTTTAATTAATAAAAATAAAATATAAGCTTTTTATTATAATTATTTTTTAATATATAATTTCGATTACGTTATTAATAAATAATAATTAACTTAAAAATATCGAAAAAAATTAAAACTTTTTAATAAATAAATCGTTTAAATTTTAACTTTAAAACTTCGAATTTATTAATTAAAATTAAATAATTAAATTTAATAAAATTTAATAATATAATAAATTATTTTAAAAATATTTTATAATATATTAATTAAATTAAAACTTCGATTTTTTTTTTTTTTATATTATATAATTTATTATTAAAATAAAATATAAATTAATAAATAATTTAATTAATAAATATTTTAAATTTATAATTAATTTTTTTAATAATTAATAAATTAATTAATAAATTATTTATAATAAAAAATAATTTAATTAAAAAAAAAATTACACGTTTATTAAAAACTAAAATATTTTAATATTAAAATTAATAAAACTTTAAATTTAAATTAACCGTAATTAATAAAACGTTTTTAAAAAAGTTAAAAAAATAATTAAAATAAACTTGTTAAACTATAAAATTATTAAAAAAAAACGGTAATAATATTATAATAATAATATTAATAATAAAGTTTAATATTAACGTAATTAAATAAAATTACCATTAAAATAATTAAGTATAAAAATACTTACATATATAATAATCGAAATTTAAAATATAATATATAATTATAATTATTAACCTTAAATATATATTATATAAATATATGTAAGTATGTACATTAATAGTGATAACATTGAATTTATTAAGCAAACTCTTGCCTTAACATAAGCATATATATATATATATATATATATATATATGGATACATACATATGTAAATACCTTAATGTAAACACGCACTATGTAGGTACCCCACGACGCAAATGCCATCAGCACTGGCACCTGGCAGGGAAGGGAGGGGTATGTATTTAATGTTAGAGGTGTGGCTTGTGCTCAATTACTAAATGTCAAGCCATGTGGCTTCACATACGCACATGTCTCGTCGGGTTCGTCCCATGAAGTTCCTATGTCCTAATGTTCTGATGTTCTATTCCAATGTTCCAGTCTATACCATCAGTCATTGCATCGTCGGGATAGAGAAATAAGTTAGAACATCTTTTGACTGATATTAATTTTTTCCCTTCGTTTCTCTCGCTTCATGTTTGAGAACCTACGGATTAAACGATCGCCTACTTGTTTCGCCGAAGAACGATATGCCTCCGTTACCATACCACATACGGACGCATCTACTTGATTAAATTGGATCATCCTATTTCGCACTTGTAAGGACGACATTAAGCTTGGGTTATACCTTTTCGGCGCGCGCCAAACATCACCAGCGTGAACAGCTGCACATATAGTTTGGCTTCTGCACCTACTATACCTTATACCACATACCATATACATATACCGCACATCGCACACCGCATACTGTGTCTTATAGACTGATCGAACAATTCGACTACCTACCTATACACAACTGCTTTTCTCGATACCCAATACCCAATACTCTGAGAGTATAACATCGCATAGTTTGCCGGCAATTTGTTCACACTGCTTGACCCGTGCGACACTCCTACTTTGACGAGCAGTCTCGTCCAATTGAGACCGGAAATATCACAATACCTCATACTGGCCTTGTCGTCATTGCCACTACGCCGAAATTCATAATATCTCACATCTTCTTTGTCGCCGTTTCCCAAACCCGTCTCCGACGTCCTGTGTTGGGTTTTGTGTTGGTTGGCTACCCCCTCTCTTTGTTACGGTCAGGCTCTGTTCTTCTCAGTTCCATGAAGAATTGCAGTCAGGTCCCGCAGCTATATTGATCACCGTACCTGCCATTTCCTAGAGTATTTGATCTTGTTCTTGCATTGCTAGGCCCATGAACGCCTTTGAGGTGTGAACTGCACAAGATGAGCCAAATCCTAACTTCACGCCAAGCTGAAGAGCTGTAAGTTTCCCCTTTGTGACTCCATCATATCCTCAGTGACTAGAAGAACGGGTTAGGGAATGGTGCTAACTATCGTCAAAGACATAAAGCCATCATTGCGTACCTCTCGTCAAACAACCTATCTAGCACAGCCGCTGCATTGCGAGAAGAGCTGAATCTCGGCGATAGCTTTGATGCAGCCACTTCGAAGAAATATGAGGGACTCCTGGAAAAGAAGTGGACTAGTGTGGTGCGGTTACAGAAAAAGGTATGACAATCAACATTCTCCATGAGCATTGTCCCTTTTCTGATATATAGATCCCCCCCGTGCTAGATTATGGACTTGGAGTCAAAAACTGCCTCCCTGCAATCCGAGTTGGATAACGCGACACCCACCTCCCTCTCTAAGCGAAACCAGGATCCGTCTAGCTGGCTCCCCCGATCTCCTGCACGCCACACCCTGGAGTCCCACAGAGGGCCTATTACCTCCGTCGCGTTTCACCCTGTCTTCTCCTCCTTAGCCACCGGCTCCGAGGATTACACCATAAAAATATGGGACTGGGAACTGGGGGAATTAGAGCGGACGATAAAGGGACACACCAGAGCGGTGTTGGATGTTGATTTCGGTGGCCCTAGAGGAGGAACCCTGCTCGCGTCATGCTCGAGCGACCTGACCATCAAATTATGGGATCCTTCTGACGATTACAAGAATATCAGGACTCTGCCAGGACATGACCATAGCGTTAGTGCCGTTCGGTTCATTCCATCAGGCGCGGCCGGTGCGCCAAGTTCCAGCAATCTTCTAGTGTCTGCCTCCAGGGACAAGACTTTGCGTATATGGGATGTGTCGACGGGTTATTGTGTTAAGACGATACGAGGACACGCCGAGTGGGTTAGGGATGTCTGTCCATCGCTGGATGGCCGTTATATCTTGTCCGCCGGCAACGACCAGACCGCTCGCCTCTGGGATATCTCCCTTGCAAACCCCGAGAGCAAGCTGACATTGGTCGGCCACGAACATACGATCGAATGCTGTACTTTAGCACCACCCTCCACTTACCAGTACCTTGCGCCCTTAGCCGGACTGAGTAGACCGCCCCCGGCATCGAGCTCTGCGGAGTTTATGGCGACTGGATCCAGAGACAAGTCAATACGTATCTGGGATGCGAGAGGCAACTGCATCAAGACTCTTGTAGGACATGACAACTGGGTGAGGGCGTTAGTCTTTCACCCGGGAGGGAAATACCTGCTTAGCGTGTCCGACGACAAGGTCTTGCGTTGCTGGGATTTATCACAAGAAGGAAAGTGCGTGAAGATGCTTGCAGACGCACATGGACAATTTGTGTCTTGCTTGAGGTGGGCACCGGGAATCGTACGCGAAGCAGCAGTGAATGGGTCAACCGAAGGACAAAACGGCACATCTACGAACGGTACCACGAAGGCTGATGTGCAGATCCGATGTGTCATTGCGACTGGATGTGTGGACTGCAAACTAAGAGTGTTCGCCAACTGAAAGCACAGACAAGATACATGCTGCAGGACTCGAAAGAGGGAGAGAGCGAGGAAAAAAAGAGAAAGAAAAGAGAAACGAAACGAAAGATCCCGGCATCGATTGGTTGTTTGAGCTTCTACCAATGTTTAACATGCCTCTACCAATGTTTAACATGCCTCTACGACTAAGCAATGTAGTCCCTGAAGCGAAGGCTAGAGGACCTATACTCGAATGCCGTGACTATCGCGCAACTACAAATAGTACGCCGTCCCTTGAGGCAGCTTACAGGAAATCCTGAGACGGATTTTCGAGGCTGAGTGATTGGAAGGCTATAGGACGGAACCGAACTTGACGAATGAAGAAGTGACGAGATTTGGAAGTGTTGTAAATTCCAAGGTTGGCACCATCTTTCTGCGGTGTGTTGACATCGTCAGGCTGATCAATGATGGCAACAGTACTTAGATATGGAAGAAAATAGATACCCAATCACCGTACGCCGATAGGTCTGAACAGCATGGATCCCATAGGTGCCACCGGGGCACGAAGTAGTTATAACTTGTGTATAATGAGCGTACCCCTCGGACTTCTCTTGTAGGTACCTACTTTACGTACGTACCTACTTGATATGTAGGTATTCACAATAGGTATAACTATCCAAGTTACCTAGTACCTAGTAGGTTTGTAGCTAATAGGTAAGTACACGTGGCTGATATTTACATGTATCTTGAGGTAAGATGACTTCAATTTAAAAGTTGGTGATACGCCTGCCTTTCTGCCTTTGCATTGCCCCTTTTCTTCATGTTTGCTAATGCAACACTGGGTACCTAAGCTACTACCTACCTAGCTGGCTAGGTAGCTATCATATGACTATGTAAGGTAGATACATCATAATATATCTCATATCTGGGTACCCAATGCATGTATTGTATACATGATGTTAACGATTTAAAACTTAAAAAAAAGAAAAGAATATTAATAGATGTCCTAACTCTACGGATACTACACTCATAGGTACTAGGAAGTACCGGGAACCTAATGAACTGGCCCTTGAGGGGGATGCATGTGTACAGGTCCAATCGGGTGCTCGCGCGGTCTGCCCGCACAGTGAGAGAAGATTAGGTACTGCGTGGAGGGAGTGTAAGAGGTGGAGGCTTACTGCGCCACATGCACGTGTGTAACCCTTGGAGCTGCAACGGCGGGCAGAATTAGCGAGTGGAAGGTACAGTAGGTAGTACATCCTGTACACATCCATCACATCACTTGCAGCAACAGCTGTAGGCTGTAGGCTGTATACCTACCTATACTACCTACATATGCATAGTAGCTCTTAGGTACATAGGTAAGTGCAGACTCCAAAGTTTCTTATTCCAAGGTTAGGAACCTTGAAGCTTCCTCGCCAAATCACATTCAAATCGGACATCGAATCGTATAATCCATAATCCGTCCTGTCCATCTAGCAGCTGACTTACATATACCTATACCTACCTACCCACCTATCCGCCTATCCGTCCTCCGCAATCAAAATCCTCCGGCCAAGATCTATACTCCCCGTAGGTCTAAGTTCCTGAGTCTAGGTCAGTTCTGGACTAACATCAACATCCATTTTAAGTTCAAATATTCCAAGTTCTGTTGTTTTCCCTTCTTTGATAAAATCAGTACATTTGCATTTACTTATCACTTGACCTGAGTCGATCCGACTCGTTTACAAAAGCCGCAGTTTTATCCCCTCTGCCTTGTAATTCGTATGTCGTCCCTTTTATCCTGGCCTCTGTTGGAAAACAAGTGTGGCTGAAGCGACACATACATATCTACAATACCGCTTATCAAGACTTACCTATCCTACATGATAGGACAAGCACCTGAATCCCACGATCTCTTCTTGACCAAATCTATAGATTCTTTTCTTTTTCTTCATTCTTTTCACGTCCCCATCCTCCAGAGCTCCTTAAGTACTATGAGTATACAGACTGATTTATGATTATCCATTTGCAGTATTTGGAATTGGATTAGGTCCCCCGTTTTTGAGGGGTTTGAAATACGAAAAACCTGTCCAAGGCACTAAAGATCGACCTGACAAATTGATCAAATTGATTCCATTGTCACCGACCGATAGGAACGACCATCAAGAGGTCAAAAAGAAAGAAAAATAGCGGAGAAAAGAAAAAAAAAAGCAGGGAAAAAGTTACACTATTCGTGCCAGTAACATTTTTTCCCTTCTGCATTTGATCATCACTTTCGCCTTTCCCCTCCACGCGCGCAATCGAACCAAGTCCGACCAAACATAAATCTCGTATGCCGAATCCCGCACTTTACGCCCTTCTACAATCTTCGTTCGCATTCACATTCATTTCAGCGCCTTTATCGGTCACCCTTGTAGTCCGGTGCCGCTGCAGCCCAGCCGGCGCGGTGACCTAGGGTATCGCTCCCCATCACGAGTCGCAATGTTCTGGAGATTTGGCGGTTACGCCAATATCTCAACCATCGATACAATTCTTGATAAGCCCGACTTCCAACTTGAGGATCTCCTTGACGAGAGTGATTTGATTCAGGAGCTAAAGCAGCATAATACTAAACTCATAGAATACTTGCGCGAGCCCAAGGTTCTTGAGAGGCTCCTCGAATATGTTGTCACTCCCAAACTTGAGCCTGTAGAAACCCCCGAAAATGACACCAACGAAGACGACAAGAAAGGAAGATCTAGGGGTTTGTCTTTTGGCCGTCCTCGTGCCTCGTCAAGAGCAACCAGCGATGGTGCGGACGAAGACGAAGTTGAGAAGAAACGAAATAGATATGCTTATGTTGCAGCCGAAGTCCTTTCTTCCGATAACTGGTCTATTTACGAGGCCTTGATGGAGAGTCATCATCTTCTGTGCAACTTCTGGGACTTCTTGAAGCTCCCGTCTCCGTTAGATCCACTGCAGGCCAGCTACTTCACCAAGGTTAACGAGGCTCTTTTCGACAAGAAGACGGATGAGATGATAGCTTTATTGAAGTCCCTCGACGATGCCATCTCCAACGTGCTACGACACGTTGACTGTCCGATGATTATGGATCTCCTTCTCAAGATTATCAGTCTCGAGAGAACCGAGAACGGGCAGGGTATAGTTGAGGTATGATTTTATCTAGAGTTGGAAGGGTGAAACGAAAAAGAGACACTTAAGAGAGATGGCTAATGTGATTTTATTCTCCATAGTGGTTGTATACTAAGGACGTCATGCCGACATTGCTCTCGTTTCTTGGGCCGGGACATAGCTATGCCACCCAGACGTCTGCTGGCGATTTCATCAAGGCCATTATCACGGTCTCTGCTAATGCCTCCCAGAACGAGCAAGCCTGCATTGGCCCTAACGAACTCACGCGTCAGTTGGTATCTAAGCCTTGTATTCAGACTCTTATCGGGTACATGCTCGGTGGTGGGAATGCCCTAACTGTTGGTGTGGGAATCGTCATCGAAGTTATTCGAAAAAACAACTCTGATTATGACCCGGATGTCGGACCCGACTCGAACGCCCTGCCCTCTAGCCGTGATCCTATATACCTTGGCACCTTACTTCGTTTCTTTGCGAACCACGTTCCCGACTTTATGTCATTAATTCTCAATGCCCCGGCCCAGAAGCATCAGCTGGAATCAACATTTGGCGAAAAGATTGAACCCCTTGGCTTTGACCGGTTTAAGACTTGTGAGCTCATGGCCGAGCTTCTCCACTGCAGTAACATGTCGCTTCTAAATGAAATTGGCTCTGAGCAAGTCATTGCCTTGAGGGACGAAGAGCGGCAGCGGTTGCGAGCTCAAGGCCGACTCACCGCGAATCGCGGCGAGGACGTACAATCATCAGAGGACCTGACTATGCGCATGCGCCATTCATCACCTGATGACGGCCGCCGACTCGAGGTTACAAATGCTTCCGATGATGACGGCTTCGAGGAAGTTGCTCCGGCGGGCGAGATGACTGAGGATACGTCCCATGAATTTGTGAAGGCCGAGGACGAAATCGCTAACGGACCCGCTTCGTCTTTCCTTGATAAAGAGGACGACGATTTCGTAGAAGAACCTCTCAGTTCTCCTAGATTAATTGTCTATGATGGCAGAGTCGACGAACAACAATTTGAGAATCCCGAACTTGTCGTTGCACCTCTCTCGCCAAAGAAGCCGGCCGCCTTACAGCACCTCACACGAGAGGATGATAGCCCGATTGGTAGCTCCGAGTCACAACCATCGCAGCCGGCTACTGAACCACGCCGAACAGAGGAAGCCAGTCATCACTCAGAGGGTGCCGGGCACTCTGTACCAGCCGGCGTTGAAGAAACGGAGCCGCTGCCTACATGTGAAGAGTCATATTCAAAGCCTAGCGACATACCAGAAACCTCTGCTAGTTCGACAGCCCACCTAGGAGAAGAAGTTTCCCCATTCCCCGCTGAGGTATTTGCAGCCATCGACACTTCCGTGGCGAACGAGTTGAGCGCGGTTTCCGACGAATTGTCGCAAATGAAGTTTGAAAGTGTAGATATTCCGTCTGGTGATATACCTATCACTGCTGTAGGTCAACCCGAGTCAGGTCCGTCCGGGGCCGGTGAACGTCTCGACCCGGTTGTCGGTGACTTCCTGAAGATGCAATTTGTGGAATATCAAGTTGTGCCAACGATTTTGGTGAGTGACTTCAAACGAAATCGTAGTCATAATATGAGGCTAATCTTATCCTAGTCGTTTTTCTTCATGTATCCCTGGAACAACTTTCTCCACAACGTCGTTTACGATATCGTCCAACAAGTATTTAATGGTCCTATGGATCGTGGTTATAATCCTACCCTAGCTATATCTTTATTCGAAGCTGCCGATATCACGAACGCGATCATTAATGGGCAGGCAACTAGCGAACAATCACAGGCTCGGAATAAGACTCGCATGGGTTATATGGGTCATCTTACACTTATTGCCGAAGAGGTTGTCAAGTTTACGGAAAGAAATCCGCCGGAGCTTCTATCGGAGCTTGTCTTAGATCGCGTCATGAGTCAAGATTGGATCAATTACGTTGAAGGTGCTCTAGCCGAAACGCGAGAGAGAGACAATGCCATCCTTGGTGGCATCAGGCCCGAAGTTGCGCTGAACAACAGAGCACAGATGGCAGGCAATGGTCTCGGCGGTATGGGCCTGTCGAGTCTTGGGCTCGGTGGTGCCCAGGGTGGAGGTTCCAGCGCACTTGCTGAGGCAGGGTTAAATGGTGGTGGAGGTGGTATGGAGATACAGGATAATGGCAGTGGGAGTAGCCTTGGTCCCTTCAGTATAAGTTCCGGCCTACTGTCGGGTTCTGGATTCGGCAGTTCTAGTGATGAAGAAGAGGACGATGCGGAGGATAACGAAGAGGATGTCAACAATGAGGTGAGTTGTTTCGCAGCGATCTGACTACCCAGAACCCATTTCTATGCACTCCACATCCAACTATTGATCTCCACGCGCATTTATAAAACGTAATGCAATGCGCTTACTCACACTCTGGCAGTTTCGCGCCTACACCGATCCATTAAATACGTCTTCGTCGTCAATGGACCCTCCCTCTGTTCCGCCGCCTCCGCCTCCACCCCCGCCGTTGAACATTCCCCCGTCACGCGCGCGCCTACAGCTTGCCGCAAGACTAAAGATGCACCAGAAAAATGCAGCAACTGCCTCGGCCCAGCCTGGCGAAGCAGAGAATGATGTAGAATCAGATGAGCACGGGTCTGGCAGAGATACCGAAGACATCCTCCGCAATCCATTCGAGGACGATGGAGAAGATGATGTTGACGATGAAAGCGACGACGGATTAGGCGAAGCCGATGGCAATAGAGATGCCTGGGGTGCTGGGCCCTCTAGAGGTAGCTGGTGGCGGGGTGCCTTGCGTAGGGGTAGGGAAAGGTTTGGCGATGGTAGAGACGACTCCGACTCCGAGAAAGACGAGGCGGCTGAAGGCGACGAAGAGGACGAAGAGTTTGGCGAGTTCGCAATGCCCGAAGTAGACAAAGATGGAAGCAACGAGAAGGGTGGAGTCATAGTAAAGCCTCTCCCAGTCCACCCACCGTCCCAGAATCAGAAAACCTCGGCCTTCACCAGCCTTTGGCCCTTCGGGTCGAAAGAAAAAGATAAACAGAAGATCAAAGAGGGCGAGACGTCAGAAAAGGTTGAGGAGGACAGCGAGATTACGGGTGACGACGGCGAGAAGATCAAGAGCACTCACGAAGCGGCCCGGAGGACTAGTATTGAAGATCCCGATGATGAGGAAGTGGTCGTTTAGGAGCCAGATTCCAAATCGAACAGGGCTCTGTGTGATGACTTTGCCAATGTTTCTCGAGGCTTAGACGGATGATACCCGACAATTAGTGATGCCCAGGCCCAAGATGAATGATTGATGGGATATGGTAATGGGCATCGTCGGACTCGTTTGTATTATACATGTGGTTTTAGAGATGGTTTACTTGCATGTTTGACGATTTCCCAACCTGTAAAGTACTTCTGGAAGGGTAGGAGATTCCTAATGACGACTTTATAAAAGTAAGGGTAGCTTGTGTCGCTTCGGGCATTTGATTTCTAGCCTACCGTAATGTCTATATGAATTATGGAGTGATGATAATGGAATACCATGCACTTGAAAGAGGTCAAAAATTTCACCACGGGTAAGTGTATCCATATATCAAAATATTTTACGATAACACCCTCCATCCTGAGCATTTCGATATTTGAAGAGGGAAAAGGGAAGGGAAAAAACCTACCTACCTACCTAGGTATATACGAAGTACTAGGACCCGTTAATTAGCGCACTGGCGAGTTGATAAAAAAATCCCTACCAATTTTTATATCTCTAATAGTAGTTCTCTTGTACAAAAGCATGAGTCAAGTTAATAGTGGGCTTTATTATTTGTGTCTGCAAATTCACTAGGTGAAGCATAAGATGATCATGGAAACTTCTCCTTGATTGATATTAATATGTAAGTCTAGGGTTAAGTTGCGAGCGGCGTTGAAGGATTTAGATGCCATGTCAGCTAAAGGATGCTGTAGACCTATAAATATGTCGTCAGCCACGACCAACTGTAGCACAGTTGCGGGCGCCTAGGTACCTAGTACATATAAACATACAAATATACCTAGGTACCTACTAGGTAGTGATAATCGGCTTTTTGCTGATGTCATATACACATCTAAGCTGCCGTCAGCTAAGCCCATTTCGGATAGACCCAAGATGAGCGTAGCCTGTTGTTGCTTAATTTAGTTCAACTTCTAAAAACCATCTCCATGGCCCTTGCTTTACCTAGGTTTGAACCTGTTGCTCACCACGTGCGGAGCCTCTTGACTTAACCAAACTAAGTAATTTCCATTCCTCCTTTCTATTTTTCCTACATACATACATGATCGGCCTACCTTTCCCCCTTCCTTTCCTTATTCTCTTATTCCGCCATCCACAGCCTCAAAAGCTAGCCCAGCTCAATAGCCACCAACAATAGCCAGAGGCAACGCCTTAGCCAAGCTGGCCGATGTAGCTAGGATCTACTCGGCTGACTATCCGTGACCTCCGGATAGAGGCCGCGAAAGTCTAACATCGCCGAAGTGCCCTTCTTGTTTGATGGCATCATCTTATTTAGCGTTAGGTCCATGTGCTTAAAGAACTAAAACAACTATAGGCTAAAATTCCGTTCATGTAAAAGAACCCGTGGTATCCCATGGACTCATCCAATGTACTCTACGCCCATCCACATATGTGGTGGTTAACCCAGGGTCTGCTTGACTTGAGTCGGCATGTCCACTCTGTTGCGGCGTCGAAACGCCGTATGTGGTCTAGAGTCTTAACTTGTTGGCCAAGTATGTCTTCCCGATGCTGGTAAATAATGATGGTGTCCTATTTCTTTCCTACCTGTTTACTATCTTCCTTCTACTCTATTATCATAGATCTAGATTCCTTAGGGCTCAATGTATTTTAATCCCTACCAGACGCTTGTCTTTCGAGCATCCCTCACGAATACGTTTAGGTGTAACCCGTAGCCCTAGGACCCGTCAGGCAAGGCGGCAAGGGCTTGATCTCAGCTTCTCACTTCCTGGTTTTCCCGACCCTTCCCTCATATTCTCTAGTATTCAATATCTCTGCTTCTATCTTATATTATTTTCTCAAGAATGGCACGTTCGACAGAAGACAGTTTCTTGATATCGTCTTCGACAGATAGCTCAGCAGACCTGTTTAACGAAGACATGTTGGGTCAGCTGAATTCAAAACCCCGAAACCTGCTCAATAGAGTAGATAGCATGTATAGGAGGAATTCTCTAGTATCATCTGACACTCCAACTTCCTTAAAGGCCCCGGAAGACAACGGAGAACTCCTAAGATTCGCAGTAGCTACGGCCTTAGGCATCGACGCGAGTTCACTCCCCACGCCATTTCGTGAATTGCAGAACGACGACGACCCAAGCTCAGTATATTCGAATACAAGTGAACCTCAACAGCTTCTTAATGAAGCAACGCTGTTGAGGAAGGACTCCGTTAGTTCAACATCGGTCTATTCGTCACCTACCGACATCAGCGAATGGAGAAAATCAATGGGTGCTTCGATCGAAGAGCGTATTACTGCCACAATGGCTAGTGTTCTTGGTTTAGACAATGACTCGCTACGTCTCGATGAGTCGTTTGTTGACCTCGGGGGTAATCACCGAAAGGCCAGGAAACTCCGCGCAAGGTGTATGGACGAAGGCTTAGTTATAAAGACCAAGGACATCATGAACTGTAAGACTATTGCGGAGCTAGAGACATATGTGACGCCGCTCACCCCGTCTGAATACTCGGAGAAAAATATACCAACTACAATAGTCAGTCCGTTGAAGCCAATCTCAGTAAGAAATCACCTGGGCAGCACCGAGAGGCAAGCATCGCAGGACGAGGGGCCTCCAGCGATTCCACCTAAGGCCCCGGCTAGATACACAGCTTCTCAGTCATACCTCAAAATAAGACCATCTCGAAGACGCTATAATCAGATAGAACAGGCCCTAACCCTACATGGCGATATCTCGAGAGCAATCGTGCTCAAACCAAAGGCTGGCCCATTCGAGGATCAGTTAGTAGCATTTGTTACTCTAACAAGTTATTTTGTGGAAAGACCTGATGATTGTGAAGTCAAGCTCGTTAATCCTTGCCGTACAAGTCAACTACCATCAATTCGCAAAGCAGTCGAATCACGGGTGGCACCAGGCCTTGCTCCTCGTCTCTGGGTAATTTTGGAAAAGATGCCCTTGGACGATGGTGGGAAGAATAATCGGAGAAAGCTTCAAACATGGATACAAAACGCCAATGATGAGCTATATCACCAGATTCTTTCTATTGACTCAAAGATAAAATTGAAACTTCTCATCGCAGGAAGTAGCATACAGAAGCTACCTTTAACTCAACCTATTTCCCCCGTTACTTTAAATTCATCACCACCTAGGATTTCGAGAGGGGATGCTGGCGTCATTTCCGACCTGTCGCCAATGCAACATCTATATTTACATACGTCCATGGGTGGCGATTATAAACTACGAAAAGCCGCGAAGGGGGACTATAGGTTTAATCAAAGCATGTTATTTCGGTTGAAGCAGAACTTGAATGTGGTCGATATTGAAGCAGCAATTGAGGCCATCGTTGGCCACCATCACATGCTTAGATGTCGGTTCCGGTCGAATGGGAGCTCCTGGTGCCAATTGACAGAATCTAATATCTCGTCTTCGTTTCGCTTTTCGCATCATTCAATCCAAACCCATGCCGAAGTCGAAGAACTTATAAGTTTGGCGCAAGGGGTTATTGATATTGAAGCTGGTCCGGTGTTTGCTGCTCACCACTTCTGCACTCCTGATGGTCGTCAGATGCTTTACATGATCGCACACCACCTTGTTGTCGACCTCAAGTCTTGGAGCATCATAGTAGACGACTTAGAGGCACTGTTAACCAATGGCTGCCTTGTATCTGGCCGTAGTCTCTCTTTCACAGAGTGGTTGCTTTCTCAAAAGAGTTGTTATCAGGAGATGGAGTATTCATTCGACATCCCAGCAGGGAATCCTCACTACTGGGGAGTCGATTCTGCTTCTAATACGTATGGAAATGTGGTAGCCACCGCCTTTACGCTCAGTGAAGGCGTTACGTCTGCACTTGAGGTCAAGTGCCGGGCCTTACGGATGGATACGGTGGATGTTTTTATGGCCGCTCTTGTTCGTTCCTTTGCGCAAACGTTTCGCGACCGGCCAGTCCCTACTCTGTGGGATCAAGGTAATGAACGATCTTTATCTGATACAGAGCTCGACACATCGGGGACTGTCGGGTGGTTTACTTCGCTTCGCCCGTTAACTGTAGATGTTCTATCTACAGACGACATTCTAACTGTCCTCAGCCACGTGAAGGAATCACGGCGTGTCAGTTCCCGGGAGAGCCCTTTGCAGTTCACTTCTTCCCATTGTCCCCTTGAGCTTGTCTTTACCCATTCTGGTACTGTGCAAAACGTACTAAGTCACGATTCACTACTTGAGCAGATACCTGTACCAGATAAAACTCTAGCCTCCAGAACATCGGATATTGGGCGTAATGTTGGGCGAATTTCTATATTCGAAGTATCGATTTTGGTCGACCAAGGAGAAACCAGATTCAAGATTCTCTACCCCAGGAACTGTGCATATCTGGAGCAGATACACAATTGGTGTCATGGATACGAAACCACTGTGCGCAAAGCTATCAATGACCTGCAAGTTGGGTCGCCCGCCCTACCTTCATCGAATATCTCTCACATAGAAGTTACCGACGAGGAATTCGGTCAATTAAACACGGCAGTTCTACCTCGTCTTGGCCTCAATCTTTCTGATATCGAGGCCATCCATCCCACGACGATGGTTCAGCAGAACATCCTTACGAATCAGTCTTTAATACCAGGGAGCTCCAACGCGCAGATGATATATGATATCGATACACCTGATGGTCCCATTGACATTTCCCGGATCTGCGACGCCTGGCTTAAAGTATCAGAGAAGCACTCGTCTCTTAAAACCGTCTTCTCCCAGGCCGTTTCGAAGAATGGACTATACGACCAGTTGATTTTACGATCTTACTCGCCTAGCATGCTCTTTCTCGAATGTGATAGCGTCGAGGATGCAATGATGTCACTAAAGAACCTACCGCTACTATCGTTGAACGAAGGTATTCCGTGGCATCGGCTTGTCGTTTGCAAAGTGGCTGGGAAGACCCTGTTGAAATTAGAGGCTAGCCAAGCGTTATGTGATGTAAATTTATTTTATACTCTTCTTGATTCCCATGGCTAATCGCTAATTCGAAGGTTAGGTTGCCAGCATGGCGATACTTTTCAGAGAACTTGAACAAACTTACTTGGACGGCCGAACCCCCTTAACACGCAAATTATCTCATTTCGAATACACGAAATGCCTCGAGGTAAAGGCTTGCAGTGTTGATTTCTGGCGGGAGTATCTACATGGCATTCAGCCGTGCCGGTTCCCCAAGCTCACCTCACAGCAACCGACTCCTTACAAATGGGAGACCTCATCTATCGACCTTAGGGTCTCATCTGAGCGCCTCAAAACTTTCGCCGAGGACTACAATATGAATATTTCTACCATACTTCAGATTGCTTGGGGTCTGCTATTACGAACCTATATCGGGACGAACAACATTTGCTTTGGGTTTCGCGTTTCTGGTAGGTCGCTTCCCGTCGAGGGCTTAGACAATGCTGTCGGCTCGTTTTCGACTGTATTGCCATTCCGGCTCGCCATTCCTCCAGAGGAGTCTATCGCACGATTGTTATTGGATGCGGAAGATCAACGCCGGCGAACACTCGATCATCAGCACGTACCCCTTACAAGAATCGAGCATGAGCTAAAAATTAAGGGAGGACGCCTGTTTAATACTTGTCTCTCATTCGGATATGAATCTTTCTTGGCCGACCTTTCTATAAATACGAAGTGCAGTCACATCAAAACAGAGCAGGCATCAGAGTTTGATCTTAATATCGACGTATATTTCCACGACGGTAGTATTACGGTCGATATAGGATACCGAATACTCACACCGGAGCAGGCGACCTCTATCGCTTGCGCTTTTGGAAGAGCCATAGAGGCCATCATGGATGCGCCGGCGAGCACAGTCAAAGAAACAGATCTTTTCAGCATGCGTGACCATAGACAGATTCTAGCGTGGAATAGCATGCCTCAAGTTGGTGTATCAAAGGAGCTTGTTCAACAATTAATTGTAAAGACAGCGTCGACGAACCCCGATATAGAAGCTATCTGTTCCTGGGATGGGAGCCTGTCGTATGACCGTCTACATCGGTTATCCATTGTCCTCGCTAAGCATCTCCTTGCTTCCGGCCTAAAGCCCCAAACTCCCGTACCGGTGATCGTTGAAAAAAGTCGATGGGCCGTGGTTGCCATGCTAGCTATACTGCAGTAAGTCGGCGACACCATTTCAAGTAAAAGCATATACTAACCGACCCTAGTACCGGCGCGATCCTAATACCCGTTGATGCTGAAGTAATCTCATCATTCGCTTGGGTTTTCAAGACTGTCGATCCCGATTTTGTGTTGGTTTCGGATAATGTCCAGAGTTGCATAGGTGGGCATGATGTTAAGGTTATCATCGTAAATGAAAAGACTGTTTCGGCAATGTCGGCACAAGTCGTTGATATGACGCTTCCGGAACTCGCACTCCACGACATCGCATGTATTCTCTTCAGTCCGAGATCTTCTGAGAATGCTAAAGGTATCTCGTACAGTCACGCCGCTCTAGCAACTGCATGTGCTGGGCAGGGGTCGACGTTGCTCATAAACCCGTCGAGCCGGGTTATGCAAATTTCATCATACAGCGTCGATATTGCGCTCTCGGAAATATTCACTACCTTAGTGAATGGAGGATGTGTCTGCATACCATCGTCCTCGGAAAGAATTGCGGACTTTCCCGGGGCAGTTGAGCGCATGCATGTTAACTGGGCATATTTAACTCCGACGCTGTCCAGGAAAATTGACCCAGAGAATTTACCAGACATGGCTGTGGTCTGCTTCCGCACACTGAACTTAGATAGTGACGTCTATATCCCATGGATCAACAAGGCAACAAAGGTATTGCTGGCTTATGGCTGTGCCGAAGCTGGCCCCCTTGGCCTCTCTACGACCGAGCTCACCCTCTCGAAGACCTCGCAGTGTTTCGGTAGCCCTTTCTGCGGCAACTTTTGGATTGTTAGCCCTGAGGATAATACCCGACTTATGCCAGTCGGGGCCCTTGGGGAATTGGTGATAGGGGGACCAACGCTTGCTAGCAGGCTCAACGTTGTTGACACTAATATCAAGGCTTGGATCAGCAGGAATAAATCACAGACTAGATCGCTCCTAGAAAAGTCTGGAGGCCATCTACTGAAAACGGGGCAGTACGTTCGCTACCTAGAAGACGGCGAGATCGAATTTATCTCAGGTGGTAGTGAAGAGACAACAATTGATGGCAGAAAATTTCGTCATTCAGAGGTTGAGCCTAAGCTGCGACAGTGTCTTGGTCGTGGTGTTGACGTGGTTGTCGAGACCATAGCCTTCAACGACCCAGCCTCGGCCCCAGTCCTTGCTGCATTCGTAGAGCTTGGAGAGAACATGTTACAAAGCAGTGAAAATTTATTAAGCCTTGATCGTGTGGCTAGGGAAAGGTTGTACCTATCGAAAAAGATGGCTGATATGGTCCTTCGGGAGACCTTACCCAGTTACATGATTCCTTCGGTGTACATACCAGTCATGCGCATGCCGCTAACAGCGACTTTAGATATCAACAGGTTAGAGCTTCAGCGTATGATCGCGGGATATTCCAGGAAGCAACTTCTAGGATTGGCACAGATTTCAAATCCGCAGGAGGTTCAGGATACCAGCTTCAAACCCCTCCCGTTGACCCAGGTCGAGCGCCGTATGAGGGCTATCTGGGCACATGTCCTTGATGTAGAAGAAGACTTGATGAAGGCTGGCGATGGGTTCCTGAGTCTGGGCGGCGACATCGTCCTAGCCCACGACTTGATCGTCGAATGCAAGCAGAGAGGCATTGGAATTTCTATCGTCGATGTTCTTCGCGATGCTCCTCTCGCCGAAATCTGTAGGGGGGTCGTGACGGAGGCATCTCCCGGAGTTGCTCAAGATGACAGAACCGACCGATTGGGCCGGCCGGATAACTCGGTTGAAGAAGCGATAGTGCCTCGGCTTGGGTCTGATAGAAGCGTGGTTGAGGATGTGGCAGAGGCATCCTACATTCAGACGATGTTTGTTGAGTCTGGAATGCTACAGAGCCGTGGCAATATCGATTACTTGACAATCAACATCAGCGGATCGTTAGATTGGCGCACACTCGAAACTGCATGCTTCATGCTAACCAAGGCTCACCCGATCCTTCGAACCGCGTTTGTGAGCCATGACCGGCAACTTTACCAGACAGTTCTCCGGTCGTATCGCCCAGAGTTTTCGAGGGTCCAATGCCAGAGTTGGAGACTCGGTAACTTGGTAGCGAAGATCATCAAGAGGGAGAAGTCAGAGACGCCCGATTTCCGTAGACCCATCACCAAGTTTTCCTATCTTGATGCCGGAAAGAGCTCTATGATGTTGATCCGTCTCTCTAGGGCTCAGTACGACGATTTTTCCTTGCCTATACTTGTTCGGGATCTCGGTCGGTTTTATGGCCTTGGTTGCAGCGACAAGGTCGTTCCCCGTCCCGGGTTTTGTGAAGTAGTCAGAGCTTCTCAGTTTACACATTCAAACTGTGCGAGAGAATATTGGAGCTCTCTCCTCACGGGAGCAGCAGTGACGCAAATCGTATCTCAACCCTCGCCCGCGAGCATCAACCTAAATTCGATAACCCTCCACCAGCAAATATCCGTGGGATCGCTGCATAATCTAGGCGTGCAATTCGAGACGATCCTCAAGGGCGCGTGGTCTATTGTTCTTTCAAATTTGTCTAGTACGGATGACGTGGTATTCGGGCAGCTTATCGAAGGCAAAAACCTAAGTCTCCCAACAGGCAAGGTAGATATCTCAGGTGTCGTTGGTCCCGTGGGCAATATTATACCGGTGCGAACGCAACTTCCAGATACCCCCATCACACCATATGAATATTGTCGGCGTATACAAGGCCAGCATGTCGCTAGCGTTCCTTATGAGGGCATGCAGACCTCCGATATCGTACAGAAATGTACGCCTTGGCCATCCTGGTCGCGATTCAGCACTGTTGTTTGCCATCGAAACCAATTTGAGGACTATAAGTCGACTAACTTTGTTATCGGCAACGCCAGCTGTAAGCTAGGCTGTATAGAATCAAGCCACCAAGGGTCTGACATCTTCGTCAAATCAACTACGTCGGGGGTTGCTAGCGTTGACATATCTCTTATGTTCTGCGAGAAGAGGTTGCCCCTATACTTTGCAGACGACGTGATGAAAATGTTTTGCTCGGTCATCACCATTCTAACCTCATCTTTCGTCATGGAACCGATAGTCTTGAAAGGTCTCGGCGACGATTATTCTACGTCGAGGATCCCACTGCCAACACCGAAGCGTGAACTCGACGTGCCGTCGACAATAGAATCGGTCGACCCAGATCTGGCTCGAGATGTCCATACCATCATTTCAACTGCATGGGGTACGATATTAGAGGCCCAATCGCTCAAAATGCCTGATATCCGTTCAGTGCCTTTCTATGAGATATGGGGCGCACTTATACCCGCAGCTGAGCTTGCTAGGTACTATACCGATAACATGAGTTCAGCCCTAGGCATCGGGGGTATGGACTTCACGATGGAGGAGATCGTTGACCACCCAACAATGATGCAGCAATACGAATTGATCATCGCTAAAAAGCACGCATTGCAACTCAGACGTAGCAAGAGTCCTATGTTGATAGGGACTCAGTCGGCCTGGGCCAAAGGTATACGCAGACTTGGCGGAGCACCTAATCTAGCCAACACAACGCCCAGTAGCCACCCTAAACGGCACTTCCATAAGCCAAAGGGAAGTGGCGGTAGCACATCAATGGCGTCTATGACGATGGGTAGCAGTCAAAGTGACGAGGAGCTCGGAGAAGATATCACGCTGGGTTATAGCGCTCCGGGGACGAAGAAGGGGGCCTCGTTCCTTGGAAAAATGATGATACCCGCCATATCCGGATAGATTTCTTCATATATAGACACATTTATTGACACATTCGTTGACACTTGCATGGATGGGGGCAACACATGAGCACCAAGTATATGGGTACCTGTATCTATCTATTACTCCGTCATTTCACGATTATTTTGATGTGTTAGGTAGGTAGGTAGTCATTGTTATACTAATTCCTCTATGCCTATACAGGTTAGCCTGGAGATACAAGTACCTCGGCTTGTAGTATGCTAGATCAGCACAATCATTCCGCACTTTTGACTCGGTCATTTTGTCGACTTAATTACCTCCAGCCCTTCGCTCTGGCTTTACGACGACCTTGGCCCCCTCCTCCATCTCTAGAGCGCTCCTCCTCGCTTTCCTATTGGCTCCCAAATGTGCCTTACCCGACTGTTGCTTACCTACTTGCCCGTAGAACTAAGGGACAGTTTAAGGGGGGTACGGGGATTGTGGGGATGAGATTGGGGTATATGGGATTTAGTTTATGGTCTATCTACCTACCAGTACGCCTCACGAATACACCTTCGTCTCTCCAGATTGTAGTACAGGGGTATTTGACGGTAGATCTTCTGCTGGCAGATCTCTTCTGCTTTTCTAGCTTCCTTGCAGTTATTACAGGTTTTATAGCCTAGAACAACCGGCCGTCTTCTTATGAGCTTTGAGCAGGGTCTACTATCTTCGGCCTCGAGGCAAGGTATACGAACTTCCTGACGACCAAATCCTGCTTGGCATTCGTAGCAGTGGTATCGCTGTTGATTTGACCAACACATTTTCCTAATATCAGATCCTTTTAATCAGATGTTTTAACTCACCTAGACCCACGTATGCAGAACCGAACAGTTATTAGGTAGGTAGGTATGGATTTATTTTGGGGGGTTGGGAGGCGAGGGTGAGGGGCGAACAGTGTTATATAAAACATCGCTGATCATCCGCTTGTTTTACAATGTTATTGTGACGACGAACAATACATAATTCTGATATATAATATCTCTCTTTTACGATTAAGATAGATATCCAGTACCTCCTTTATTTAAGGTGATTTTGTTGTACAACATCTCGTGGTTATTATTAGAAAACATGACAAAGACTCCTATTTTCTACCTTTGGTCCCTTTTTGTTGGCTTTCCCCTTATAATGTCCAAGTTGAATATCCTGTGTAATACAACATGATGCTATGTAAACTGGGCTTATTCCATTTTCTTTACTTGCTTACCTAGGTAGTAGGTATTTACCCTGCGTGTGCCGTCCCTTGTTAAGAAATATAATTCAGTCATACACTTTGGCTTGATATAATCAATTGTTAATAAAAACTTCATTCTTAACAAGAGGCGGGAATAAGTGAATGCTCACTTTAGGTTTAATACTAAGCTACGTATCGTGGTCGAACTTCGATAATGACAATATGTCTCTGCGTCTCTTTGTCACGACATTGTATGCGTCCACCAAAGCTAAAATCTGCTTTGTCTGGAAGTTATCTTTGTCAACCGACCCACTTACTCTCCCGTAGACAAAGATGTCCTGATTACGAGCCCATGTTTCAAACAAGCAGATTATCTGGTATGCTCACCAATCAGTCTCATGAACATCCCCATGCCTCAGTTCCCGACAGTCAGATAACCCATGTTAGCATTATTCGCTCAGGTAGAAAATAAATGAGCAATGAGGGAAGACTCCAGCTGGCTCGCTGCCGCTACGAAGAGCATACTACAAGATCTAGATACGTCTAAGAAAGAACTCGAACTTGTTAGAGACGTGTTGGACAATTATGAGACTAATTCAACAACATCGGAGGCGTCTGGTAGTAGGTTCGAAGATCGGACGTTCTGTATGAGGGCTTGCCAGGAATATTCCGGTTCGAGGGTTCATATGCTCGAAGAACGGATAAGGCAGATCCACGTATGGTCCAGTGATAGAAAAATGGGCAAAGAAATACCCGATGGGGTGCCAGATGAGTATGCCTCACTCGGGGATGGATTTCATATTCTCTAGGTAATTTTCTAATCGGTGGCAAGCAGGTGGTCCACGGTTGACATCGAATGGCGACAATGGTTGAGCGAGCAAACTTCTTTACAAACCAGCACCCCCAATAATCGGCAAATCGACCCTTTCCAGGCCGGAGGAGTCGATATGGCAGTGAGATCCTGGGGACCGCTAATCCCTCTACTCGAGATTTACACTAGGTGAACGGGCGAGTAGGGTATGATATCGAAGTAGTCGACTTTAGGTGAGGCTCTTATACGTGTGATAACGTCCGCGTCCTTACTACAGTGGTCGTAGTAGTTTCGCTCGTACATACCTACCTACCTACCTACCTACATACATGTATGCATACATACATACCTACTGACAAAGGAGGTTGATAGATAAGAGACTCGCGATTCTTTTCGAAAATAGGTCGCCCTCCTTTTCAGCTCTGAAGCGATGCATTACCGGTACTATTTGTGGATGTATCTAGGTACTTATGTAGGTATATTCTGGCTAATGCCCTCCGCATTCTGCGAAAGCCTTATCGACGGTGTTAGCCAATAGTTGCTCATAACGTTACGTACGAGAAATGGCAATGGACAGGCGACGGAAAAAGTACTAAAAAGTAAACAGCCAATACGGAAGCGAACTCCAATCTTGACCCACCCCTTGCAGCCCTTGCAGCCCTCGCAGACCTCGCAACCCTCGCAACCCTTGCGCTCAGGGAATTAGGGGTTCGCCCACAGGCCACCCGCGGGCCACACCGAACCTTCTTTAGGGCATGTTACCGTATTACCGGGTCTTGAGAGATCGTAATAGGCGGCGAGAACTGATACATGCTACGTATGATAGGCGGGTATATGTAAATTAGGTCACCGCCGGATACCAGCAAGAAAAGCAGCTCGGGCTGACCGAGATAGTAGAAGGCTGACGTTGGGCGAGAAGATAATTGTAAAGATGAAAAAAAAAAAAAGTGTTTAAACATGTGCTTTGTCGTCGTTTGGTACTACATAGGTAGGCCTGCTCGTTGGTCAAAGCACACGGAGGGGGGAGGGGAAGGGGGGCGATCAGACCTGAGGAACAGGGGGGAGGGAGAGGAGGAGAAGGAGGAGAGGGGTTGGCTGGTCCAATTTAACCAATTATCGAATCAATTAGTGGCGTGAGTAAGCTGGTGAGTCGTCTTTAGAAGGACTGCTGAGCAGCTCAGCAGTTCAGATAGAGATTTTTAGGTAACAGATTATCACAACATCTGGGGATTTGAGTGGGCTACCTAGTAACAACATGGCTTACCAGTATCCATAGATGTAATTCGGTCAAATGCTGTCTGATGAGATTGGCGAGAAGCGCTATGACTAATGATATCGGTGACGAATTATTCTAGAACGATACCACGTTACGTACTATGTATAAGAGGCGGAAGAATCGAATCATCGTTGTCTTGCCTTACAGCTTCGGCTACGCTAGCTGGCTAGTTAATATGTATGTACGTTAATAAGATGCCGTGAAACTAACATACTGGGCATAGTATGCTTACCGTATGACCATCATGCGCACGAGACGAGAAGAGGGACAAGAAGAGGGACTTCTAGAAAGGTTCTACGCGTTGCCTTCATCCTATCCCGTCACCGTCCAGCCCGTCTCCATCTATCCATCGGTCCGTCTAAGCTCGTTCCGGAAGGTAGGTGTACACACTAGATATGTAAGTAAGTCTAATGCAGTTTATTACCTATATATTGAAATTAAGTCGTCAAGTCATATCGAAGGATTCGCGATCTAGTAAATAGCTGATCGTAGTTATGGCCAATCTTGTAACCAAGATGCAGGGAAGGGTGATCTCCAACCATGGTTCTCTGATGCTCCCAATGTCTTGGACTCGGTCCTCTGCTCTACCATTCGCTCTTCCCATTCTTCCAGCACCTAGGTACGTATGTAAGCATCGCCATCGCGAAACCTACAGCGTCTTGGCCTGATCAACGTGTGGTTGGCGACCTGTCACAGTCATGGCCTTTTTTTTTTAATTCCCCGAAATTACTTTATGGGATTCTTTTCAAGAAGCTATACCTATATTTTAAAATATTTTATTAATAGGCATCTACTTGCTTTAGCACATACGTACTTACATAGAGTCTTGATTAAATATTGCTTATCGGCAATATTGTCCACGACAGGCAGGACAGGACAGGATACGAATGTAATCGGAGCCTAGACTTTACCAAGAGCTGGGCACGGGAAAAATTATTGTGATTACATAGGATGTAGCAGGTATGTACCAAAAAGAGAAGGTATAATTTTTTATTTATTTTAGCTACGTGACGATGCTAATATATATTATGTCATTGGATTTTTATAATGTATTAAGATGAAAAAGAAAAAAAGAGAACATATTAATATTGATAAAGGGAGAATGGGAAAGAAAAGTACGGTACTTTGCTGCTTCGTAAAAGTACAACAACTTTGGAAGACAGGGGTGTGTACTGTACTATGTACAGCATGCTATGTAAATGAACTGCGCCTCCCCTCGAGACCTGGAAACAGCCAACCAGAACGTATATGGACTCTTATCTAAAATGGAGCAAAACGGCGTTAATAAGTACATACAAGATATGGTACGCTGTGAAATGTTAGCGCATCCTTTCGCGAATGCCCGTCAGCACTTTAGATAATCCTCCAACATTTAGAGTTATACATACCTACCTACCTACCTGCCTAGGTACTAATACCTAGTACAGTATAATATAATATAGTATAGTATAGTATATGAGAACTCTAGAATTTGAAGACTGAAAAAGTTCAAGGTCCCGGTTCTAAGGTTCTTCTAAGGTTATTACGAAGCAAGCGGGCTTGAGGACTAGAGGTGCTAGTAGAGACTTGGCAAACCGGGGAAGCATCGTCAGTGAGGCAATTCGGCAGACGACCCTTCCAAGGTTTTTCTCAGTGTCCACCTTAGCAGCCTAGGCACTTAAGGGGCATAGGGGGTCCGGGAAACTAAACATTAATTAAGATCCGAGGGTGGAGAAATATTGGAGATCTTTGGAGCCGCCCTGCACTGAAGTACGCTGTACGCGGTACGCTGTAAACGTGCGTACCTACCCAGCACTGACCTCCATAGCACTGGTCCAGCAGTAGCAGCAGCAGCAGCAGCAGCAACAGTTTTAGCCTTATCTAGAAAGAGTGAAACCAGGCCTTTTCGGACCGGTAACGAGGGTATGATCTCGACTAGGGGAGAGACATACGTACTAGGTATGTAAGAAACAACCTTAAAGGCATTCTTGTATTATGTATGCGATTCCTATCGTTTCATATGTCGTCGCAATTCGGTCAACGTTTAAAGATTTATGAACCAACTAGTCAGTTAGTTAATAGTAGACTACTTACTAAGTACCTGAGTAACTATCTAGCTAATTACCTAACCATGTTGCTTAAAGGAGGAGAAGACGATGATGACGAAGATGAAGAGAAAGAAAAAGAAATTAGAAAAAAAAAAGAAGAAGAAACAAGGCTTGGATATGCAGGTAAGTAGCTGCATGAGGGCGGCGTTGCTTTCGAGGCGCGCGTGTTCGTCTCGGCCGCGTTGTCTAGAAATATACTAGCTTGCTTGGAGTAATGGCTTGGTTCGGGGTGGCCAAGATGGAGGATGGAGAGAGTATCACGCGAGTTGCCCCCCCCCGAAGCTGACCGTTTTCGTCTTTTTCGTTTTCTTCGGTTTTCCCGTTTTCCCCGTTTTCTTTGTCCTTTTTTTTTTTTTTTTTTTGGTTTCTCCCTTACACGAACGGTTATCGATTCATTAAAATTTCATTAAATATACGGTCGATCTACAGCTAAGTTACTACCATCCCGCGCTTTTTATGGAGGAGATCCTGACTGTAATATTATTTAAGACACACAGATGCAGACACGGACACAAAAATACAGATACAGATACTGGCACACTAACACACTGACACACTGACACGCTCATACCCTGACCCTGACACGCTGCTTAACCGCTTTAACTGCTACCAGAGCTATATACTATGTTAGACAGCCCAGACTACATACACTCGCTGTCGTTGATGTCGTTATTCCTCGGCTACAGGCATCCTTCGTCCTTCGTCTTCCCCATGCGGCCAGCACGTCTTGGCCACCACCCAGTCTGCCAGCCTGCCCTGCCAGCTTACCAGGATTTCCTCCTCGTTCCCCCCCGTTCCGCAATTATTATCATGTACCTACTATCCTAAGTGTATCCTACTGATCCACCAATCCCTATCAATACCCTTGTATGAAATATAACGAAGCACGAAGTACTATACACGAAGTTCATTGTACAGTACCATGTCATGTCGATAGGTTCACCAGGTTCACCAGGTTCAATAGGTTCAATAGGTTCCCAAACATTCGATAATAAATAAGAGTCTACAACCGCCCTCTTAACATTCTTAACCCTCTTAATACTGTAACGTCGATCCCGTTGTTCCCTCCACTTACTTATAAGACTCTTGTAGTCTAGCGGCCGCCTCTGGCCTGATTGGAACATCTACTGTCGCATTTCCTGGCCGTTCGTTCATAGTCTACCTTCTATCTATCGTCATCCCATCCCATCCCCTTCCTTATCTTGGACTATAATAATAATAACAACCGCCTCTTGTCTTTCCCCTCCTTTCCCTTCTCTTTTTCCTCTTTCTCTTCCCCCCCCCTCCGCCTCCGCCTCCTCCTCCTCCGCCGCAGCCGCCGCCGAGCTAATCGACGAATCTCGTAATCCGTAATGGTGTCTTCCGACCCCGCTGCCAGTAGCGGCAGCAAAGACGAGAAGGATGTCGGCCTCCCGAGTTACTCGAGCCCGTCCCTTAACCAGGCAGAAGGTGCTCAGAGGTCTGACAAATGGGCTACCCGCAACGGTCTGAATCTGGAGTCCTTTAAGAAGCGCGACTACGGCGCCGGAGTTGTCGAGCTCGACCGAAGTATGAAACCCCGGCATCTGCACATGATCGCTATCGGAGGTTCGATTGGAGCTGGTTTCTTCGTCGGTTCGGGTAGCGCTTTAGCCACGGGTGTAAGTCGCAAGAGTCTCTTTCCTGGGCTCCCCCTTCTCTTTCTCCATCGACACTCCTGCTAATTAACATGGCTTCGGTTAGGGCCCTGCCACTCTCTTGATCGACTTCTTGATTATTGGTGTGATGATGTTCAACGTCGGTATGTATAGTCGTTTCTCTTTTCTCTCTCTCTCTCTCCCCCTCTCTCGTTGCCTGGCTCTTCTCGCCTCCTACCCCTTACCTCCCACCTTTCCCGTCGCGATATCTTCCTTGGATGGCCTGTATTGACCCCTCTCGCTTTCTAGTCTATGCTCTTGGTGAGCTGGCTGTCATGTACCCTGTCTCTGGTGGTTTCTACACGTATGCGACTCGCTTTATCGATCCTTCATGGGGTTTCGCTATGGGCTGGAATTACGTCCTGCAATGGGCCGTCGTCGTTCCGCTTGAGTTGACAGTGTGCGCCATCTCGATCTCGTATTGGAACGCGGAAATAAGCTCTGGGGTCTGGATCACTGTCTTCTACGTCTTTATCATCATAGTCAACATATTCGGCACTCTAGGTTATGCCGAGGAAGAGTTCTGGGCCTCGATATTGAAGCTCTCGGCCACGGTCATCTTCATGGTCATCTCCTTGGTTTGTGTCCTCGGAGGTGGTCCCGAAGGAGGTTGGTATGACAATTATTATGGCGCGCGTCTCTGGTACGATCCCGGTGCGTTCCGTCACGGTTTCCGTGGCTTCTGCGCCGTCTTTGTCACCGCCGCCTTTTCTTTCAGCGGGACCGAGTTGGTTGGTCTCGCTGCCGCCGAGGCGAAAAACCCGGCCAAGGCTCTTCCCGGTGCCATCAAACAAGTCTTCTGGCGTATCACCCTGTGAGTATTCTTCGAGTCGCGTCCCCCCCCAAATTCCTTACGCGAGGTTGATGCTGATGACGAGCCTTCTTAGCTTTTATATCCTCGGTCTTACATTTGTCGGTCTTCTAATTCCTAGTAATGACCCTCATCTCTTGAACGCCACCAGCTCCAACGATGTTACCGCCTCGCCTTTCGTCCTAGTCGGACAGTATGCCGGCCTTACCGGGTTCAACCACTTCATGAACTTCATTATCCTAGTCTCGGTCGTGTCCATCGGTGTATCAGGTGTTTACGGTGGAAGCCGCACTCTCACGGCCCTCGCTCAACAGGGCTATGCGCCCAAGATTTTCTCCTACGTAGACCGCGGCGGACGTCCTACATTTTCCGTTGGCGCACTTCTCGCTTTCGGACTGCTGGCCTACCTCAACCTGGCCGCTGCTGGCCCGGATATTTTCGACTGGCTCTTGGCCTTGTCAGGTCTAGCCGCCCTCTTTACCTGGGGTTCTATCTGCCTGTCGCACATCCGATTCCGAAAAGCTTGGGCATATCACGGCCACACCCTCGACGAAATCCCCTTCAAAGCGATCGGTGGTGTTTGGGGATCGTGGCTCGGATTAATTTTGATCATCTTGGTATTAATTGCCCAGGTAAGCATAACGAGTCCATATCACACACACACATACATATACACACACCTCTATGTATATGTCCTTTATATTTACTAACTGGCTTTAGTTTTTCGTCGCGATCTGTCCTCCCGAGGGTGGCTTCAACGACGCTGCAGGTTTCTTCCAATCTTACCTCGCGCTTCCCGTCGTTATCTTGTTCTGGGTCGTAGGTTACGCATGGAAGCGCACCGGCTGGCTCCGCACACACCAGATCGATGTGGACACCGGTCGGCGAGAAGTTGACTGGGATGAGATCAATGAATATCGTGCACGGATTGCCGCAAAGCCTGCCTGGAGTCGCTTATACCATTTATTGTTTTAATTCGAAAAGCGATACAAGGGGGATGTTCTTGTCGAGGTCGTATCTTTCCTATGCGATACTCGGCTAAGCATCGTGTATATATGAACATAGAAAACCTGAGAAGATATATGCGTGACTAATACGCTATTTCGTCGGCCCAGAGGTCGTGATACGCTACGGCCGGTTACGTGTAGAAATGCCTGGATGAGAAGTGATAGAACCCGAATGGCGAGCGGAGACGTATTTCTATCAGCATGAGAAGGTCCTTGAGGACGAGTCGCGCCCTTTAGTTTACAACTACTACGCTATTGTTCTTGGCATATCTCGACCAGGTTGAAGTGCAAACTAGGTAGAATAGATTTAGGTGCTCATTTGAGAAGCGGTTTTGCTCTCATCCAGTACGAAAGACGTGATCAGCCATCACCTCGCCGTAACGCTTGAGGCACGGAGATCGAAGTTTGGTGAACTTGGTAGGTAGGTACCTAGGTAGGTATAAAGTAAAGAAGCCCAGTACTTACCTACCTACTTTACGGTACTAGTCATACATTAAGTCAACATCAATTCCTATATATCTCAAAGCATATGATCGCCGTGTGCTTTGATGAAAGGATGAATTGAAACTACGGCTCCGTCGGAAGGTAGATGGTGAGTACTAAGGTAGGTTGCTAGGTAAGTAGGTAGGTAGGTAATCATTATATTATATAAATAAGAAAAAAAACTCTCTTCAGTTCCAAGGCTTTTTTTTTTTTTTTTTTTTGTTATTTTCTTTTGTCAATGATGAGATCTTCGTACTCACCCCAGGTTCACCTTGATATATAATGGCTTACTAGATTTTCGTTCTTATCTCCCTACGCCCCCCCTCTCCGACCCAAGCAGGGAAACCAACCAATGTCACCCCATCTCCTTCCCAAATAGGTCTTCCTCTGGCTAGAACTGTTGACTGTTGGTTCGAAAACTAGCGACGAAGCATAACTCGGTAACAGCACGGCCCTGTTTGATGGACATCGTGGCAAACATCAACACGCGTATGATATACAACGTCTGTATATGTTGACATGGAGGCCCGTGTTGACGACACGCCCAGGCCACTCAGACTGGGGGTAAAAGTAGCAGAGTAGGTACCTACCTGGTAGCAATAATGTGAGCAATGCAACCCTCGGTAGTGATATCTGTAATAATTTCTATTTTGCCAAGTATTAGTATGGGCTTCTGGTACTCTCATTCCAATGATGTGCGATGCCGATATTATCGCGGGGGAGACGTTCTTGGTAATTTGGCATGCCCCCGAAACAAGATAACGAGGTGACTTACTACTAGGCAAACGAGGTCGGTACCTACAAAGATGGCCAATCTATGTGAGACCAACAGGTTGGAGGTCCCTCTCAGTAAGTATTGTTGCAGAGCAGCTACGTTATTGTGCGACGGATAAAAGTAACTGGTAATTATCTCGGCCTCGAGACGGTACCTACCTAGGTATGTAGCCGATCTACTTGTGGAAGGTCATCGTTCTTATCACTGGGCTGTCTTGGATGGACAAGATGCCGATATAACCTATCAGACCAATATATCATTGTCCGTTCCAAGCCTGACCGTATGGGTGTTTGCTTTCGGGTAGTCGTGCGACTTTGTTACCATGTACCACTGCCTACGCACTCTCCTGGCAGCCCTTCTTGCCTAGGAGAGCGAGTGGGAGTACGTGGGGATTTTAATAGATATGGCTGCCACGCCTTCTTTTATCCCGTACGGCCGACTTTCTATGAGCATCTAATTCTATGCCAGGCGCAGGGCAACCTACTTACTTCCACCGTACACCATACAGGGAGATATTTTAATACAGGCAACAGATCAGCATGGCTCAGGATATTGAGACTAAAGGGACAATCACCTCCCAGGGGGTGGACGAGAAGGCGGACTCGGATGGTTATAACAACAGCGACGTTGAGCTATCGGCCAATACTCAGGTAGAAACGTACGTGCCTGTCGATATCTCTCGATGGATACCACGAGCGCGCACTAACAAACACGTTATAGAGATCTGAATGTTACAGAGAACGATCTCGCCGAAGCTAAGGGGTTAGCTGACCGACTCACCTTGGAAGAAATCCGACCTATGATGGAGAGGGTGCTGATAATCCATGAAAATGACCCGAATTTCCCCTTTAGCATTATCCAACGCATCAAGGCGTTCCTTGGTGAGTACGTGGCGGCCTACGACGAGAAGGTGAATTAACCGTCTCGTTAGGAAATGCGGATATCTTCGAGAATCCTGAGAAGCACGCCGTCTTGGTCGAGGAGATGAAGCTCGAGGCTGCTCTCATCACCGTTAATAGTCCTTATGCCGAAGTGCGTGCAGTTGTCGACAATCACGACGATGTCAACATACCCTGCGGAACCATCCGAGCTTGGATAATCGGCTTGGGGTTCTCGGTGCTTCTCGCTTTCATCAATCAACTCTTCTCCATTCGCCAGCCAACGATTACTGTCCAAGCGAACGTTGCTCAGCTGTTGGCGTTCCCCATTGGAAAGGCCTTCGAAAGACTACTTCCGGACGCCGGCATCACCCTCTGGGGCACGAGGCATAGCTTAAACCCAGGTCCCTTTTCCAGGAAGGAACATATGCTCATCACGATAATGGCGAACGTGTCGTGGAATTATCCCTATACTAACAATATCATTTGGGTTCAATACTTGCCGGCATACTTTAATCAGAGCTACGCTGGCCAGTTCTCGTACCAGATACTTATCGCGCTTTCAACCAACTATATAGGCTACGGGATGGCTGGTATAATCCGGCGGTTCTTGGTTTACCCGTCGTATTGTGTGTGGCCTTCGTCCCTGGTGACGATTGCCCTCAACGCGGCTTTTCACAACGATAAAAATGCACCTGTAGAGAGCCCGTTTGGCAAGATCTTCACCATCTCCCGCATCAGATTCTTCGGCTTAACGTTCGTCGCCATGTTCGTTTACTTCTGGTTTCCCAATTATATATTTACCGCCCTGAGCGTGTTCAGCTGGCTTACGTGGATCTCGCCGAATAACGTGAATCTCTCCGCCATCACGGGCTTTTACAACGGCCTGGGGGTGAACCCCTGGCCAACTTGGGATTGGAACACTCTTCTTTTCGATCAAACGGATCCCTTGATGATACCATTCTTCTCGACCCTGAACAAGTTCGTTGGCGCAGCCATGGCATGCTGCGTTATTGCTGCGTTGTGGTATACGAATACTTATAACACCGGATACCTACCGATTAACTCAAACCGTGTCTTTGACAACACTGGCGCACTTTATAACGTTTCCAACGCTGTGGATGATCGTGGATTATTCGACGCCGCCAAGTACGAGGCATATTCGTTCCCCTTCCTTTCAGCTGGTAGTGTCAACATATACTTATTCTTCTTTGCTATATATTCGTCTATCATATCGTATGCGTATCTCTACCATCGCCACGAAATCAAGATGGGCTTCGTAAACTTGGTTAACAGCTTTCGCAAGAATAAACGTGGCTCGGTCAACGAATACCAGGACGTCCACACCAGGCTCATGTCGAAATATTCCGAGGTTCCCGAGTGGTGGTATACCATCATACTTGCGGTCGCGATCGCCCTCGGATGCGTAGGGATCGCGCACTGGGAGACCTATACGAGTCCTGGTGTCGTGTTCTACGGACTTGCACTCTGCGCCCTTTTTGTTATCCCTATTGGCATCGTCAAAGCTATAACTGGAATTGAAGTTACTGTTAGTTTTTTTACTTCTTGTTACTGATTACCAACCTATCTTTTTCTTTCTTTTTTTCTCCTGTTTTCTCCTGTTTTCTCCTGTTTTCTCTTCTCTTGCCTTCTTCTGATGACATCTCTAGCTGAATGTACTCGCCGAATTCATCGGAGGATCCTTCGTAGCAGGAAACGCTTGTAAGTGCCCCCCTCCCCCTTCGCCTTCTCTAGTAATGCCTTTCCGATGGGTATACGTTTTCGGGAATTCTTCAATTTCCGATCCAAACCCTGAGAACCGATAAACAAGAGATCCACTATGTTTGCTATAAGGGGTAACTGATATTGGAATGCTACAGTGGCAATGAATTATTTCAAGTCGTTCGGTTATGTCACTTGCGCCCATGCGCTTTTATTCTCTCAAGACCTGAAGCTTGCTCATTATGTCAAGATCCCGCCTCGGCAGACCTTCGCAGCTCAGATGATGGGCACCTTGGTTTCCACTTTCGTCAGCGTGGGTGTGCTAAACTTCCAGATTAATAAGATTCCTAACGTCTGCACGGTCAACGCTCCTAACCGATTTACCTGCCCGTATGTATATATCTCTCAGTCTAAGCCTACCCGTTCACCTCCTTTCCTCCTGAACCTTCCCCATTGCGCCGGTTTCCTTTTTGTGCTTACCTACCCAATGGTTACCGTTCTTATCATATCAAATACGTCTTCGTCATTATCAAAATAAAGCAACTACTCACTCGTAAGCATTGCTAATACCGCGCATCGTAGTGGAATTAACACATTTTTTACGGCCAGTGTCCTTTGGGGGACCGTAGGCCCTATCAAGTAAGTTTTTGATGCCTACTAAATACCTATTTGCCTACCTACCTACCTACCTACCTACCCGCTCAGGTACTCACTTTTCCGTAAACTCGCCTCCATTAACAACTACTCGCCTTACAGGGTTTTCGGTCGAGGAGGAATGTACACTTGGCTATTAGCCGGCTTCCCCATTGGCTTTGTCGTCCCGATACTCGTTTATTACATGAACAAGAGGTTCAAGAAGACCTGGATGAGACAGATACACCCAGTTGCCATCTTCTACGGTAGTCTTTCGCTGGCTCCGTACAACTTGTCCTATATCTGGCCAGCTGTGCCTATTGCCTGGTTCTCCTGGGTTTACCTAAAGCAGCGTTATCTCGGGTTCTGGTCCAAGTACAATTTTGTGTTGTCCGCCTCTTTCAGCAGCGCTATCGCTGTCTCTGCCATCATCATATTCTTTTCTCTTCAATGGACGGAGATTGAGCTGAAATGGTGGGGCAATTCTGTCACGTCTCAGGGATGTGAGCAGAGCGCCTGCACGTTGTACGAACTTGGTGAGGGTGAGTACTTTGGTCCACGCATAGGGGAATTCCACTAGGAGTTCATCATACCAACATTTTGGGAGCACAAGGGAACGTGTTAAACTCATAGTGATTATGTTATATATTACAATTCTGCCGTTGAAGTGTATTAGGGTAAAGAAAGTGGCTTTGTAGGTATTGCGAAGCTTGTGTAGTCTGCCGTATTTGGTCTTCAGCTGCGCGAAACTCGCGGGTTTAGTTCGATGCTGTGTGATCCAAGTTGTAAATCACCGGCGCTCGGCCATTTGCAAGCACGGTCTCGCCGTTCCCATTAAACCCAAGTAAGTTCTTGGAACCCCTGATATCTCTGACAACTCCGTGTGTTGCTAGTTGCTGCAGCTCCTTCAAGCTATCTACAGGGGTTTCCATACGATAAGGAATAATACTCTTTAGATATAAGAGTAGACCGGAGATATGAGGCGTAGACATACTGTAGTCATACGAGTCAGCGATCGCACATTTGGGCGACTGGCACTAAGGTGGGTTAAAAAGGGGGAGAACAACAAAAGGACAGAACGTCGCATACCTCGTACCCGAAAGGTTCCGTGTATCCTGATTGTCGCCAATCCACGCGGACTCGATACTTTCACCTGGGGCAAAAATATCAACTAATTGGCCCCAGTTGCTGAAGATGGATCGCGAGTCATTTCTGCCCACGGAGCCGACGGTGATAGCATTTTCCGCCGAAGCAGGAGAGAAATGTTGCGCATCTTGATCTGCATTACCAGCCGCCACGACTGTCAATATACCTTGGTTATACGCTTCATTGACCGCTTGATTTACGGCTTCTCGGGCCTCGCCCCCTGCACCTGGTAAGATACATATTAGGTAAATCATCTACAGTCATAAAATTCGCGGGAAACCAACTGATGCTGATGACTGAGTTTTTTTGGCGGTTTTCGCCTGTAATGTTGCCAACAGCCCATTCGAATCCTTGGAGGAGGTTGGATACGCTCGACCGGTATCCGGCAAAGATCTTTACGGATATAATCTTCGCCTTTTTAGCAACGCCACTGTATTTTCTCGATTAGAAATACTCCGTCATAGGATAGTATCTATCTAATAAAGACAGTTTGTGTGGCCGCAAAAGCCAAGGGGATGATGTAGAGTCCACATACTATGTCTTGCCACCAAGGGTACCCGCAACGTGAGTTCCGTGGCCGACCTCGTCGACGAATCTGCCTCCGACGGCATTGTAACCCAAAGAAGCACGACCCTCGAATTCTTCGTGTGTTGCTAGTAAGCCGGTGTCGAGGATGTAGGCGTACGTACCCTCTCCGGCTCGTGAGTCGTAGACGTAATCTGTACGATTGACCCGCCCTCTGTGAGAGATGGAGCCTAGACCCCAGGATGCGTTCTCTTGTGTGATGTGCCTAAAGAGATCGATTCTGCTGTCGGGTTCGACTAGCTTGACAGCATCGCTCCCGTTAATCTGGGCGAGAGTATTTCCGTCCATGGTACAAGAGTAAGCGTTCCAAGAACCAATGTTCCATCGCATTCCTAATTCGATCGTCGGTGAAGTGTCGCGGGCGCGTAAGCTGGTGGCCCAATGCATATGTTGTTCCACGGCTGAAGCTTCCAGCCCATCCCTGAGGATAACAATATATCTGCCGGTGTTGAGATCTGGGTCGTCATTCGAACGTGGGAAACGGGCACGGGCTGAATCGAGGCCAACTAGGGCAGTGGTGCTCAAAAGAGACAGTTTTCTAAGACTTACCATTGCTCGGGACTTGGCCGGTGAATAGACTAAGATTCTACTCCGATGTAATTGATATCATAGAAGAATACGGAACAATGAATGAAACGACACGCATGCGCATCGATAAATATATGGTGGTTTGGAGAAGCGAATTGACGGGGGCTATGGATATTCGCAAGTGATACTATCCTGTACGTACGGTAAGAAAAGGGGAAGATCGGGCAATTATGTGAAGCTGATGAGGTATGCAGCGGCTCTTTGTCAGAAAGACCAATAACCCCTTCCATCGACTTTGTTGATAGCTTAATCATGTAAGGTGCTAAGAGACATAAACGTACCTAGGTAGGTAAGTGTTTCCCTAAATGCGTATCAAACTGCATATCACAAGAAGGATCCGCATAAACCCGAATAGGGGAGCGTCGAGTGAATCGATGCGTAGTAGGAAATAGTACATCGCCTAAGAGTTAAATAAACGCTCCATATACAAGCAAGCAATGTCCGGAGTACTTCGGTAGATATTTGGGTCACATCATTCAATCGAATAATCCGAAGGGCACAACCCAAGAAGAAGTATTCATAATCGTAACACTATTTTGCTTCGTAAATCTTGTTTAAGTTGCGATCGTAGTAGTGGTATGCTGCCATAGCGATCGCAAGTGGTCACTGAATACTGATTTGTGACTTTATCAACCGCCGATGCGTTCGTTTTATCTCCCCCCCCCCTGAAGCATTTCTCGATGCGGACAATTTCATCTTCTTCCGCCTTGCTCGACTTCCTGGTACAGGGGTTCGAGAAGGAGACCCCAATCCTCCTTCACATCCCGCTTCAAAGTTAGATTTGTTTTTCGGGACTCAACAACCAAAGCGTCGCCGCCCTTGAAATACGCTAGCACACCTCCCTTTCCATCCATACGAGCTGTGATGCGGAAGTAGTGCTTGCCCTCTTCGTTGGCCTTGTGAATCGGGATAAACTGGAGATCGTTCTCCTGGCACCAATCCTCTACCTCATCGCGGAATATGGGTTCTGCTTTTTCTACAGGCTGCGGCGGTGACGGCACTAGCCCGATCTTCTGATCTAGTTTAGATTTGTGAGATCGGGGTTTTGGCTGATGGGCAGGTCGCCCGTCCGGTCGAGGGAGTTGGTTTTTCGCGTCGATGCCGAGATCTAGGGCAGCTTCAATCATAGCCGTACCCTTTTCGAACTCAGCTGCGATACTCGGCAATGATGATATCTTATTTGGTAATGCTTGGTCCTTCCACCATTCAAACCATGCGCCGATTTCTTCGTAGTTAGCATCTGCGCTGGTGAGCCACTGATAGAGAACATCGTGCCACATAGGAAACACTTCCGATGCTATAACCTCCCCTACCAGAGACGTGGAAATAACATCTGTCCATTTGAGCGCACCGTTAAGCATATCGAGATATGGTTCTTGGTCGCTTGGGTCGACACGGAAATTGATGCGTAGGTATCGGGACAGGCTTGGGAGGACATGACGCATGACCAAAGGCTTCCACTGGTCCTGTTCCTTAGACGGGTGGAATATATCCTTCCACTGCCCAAGACCGGGAACTGCGCCTTTCGAAAAATCCCACGTGTCGATTAGTTGCCTGAATTTGCGCCTCACTTCTGCCACCAGCCCAGTGCCCTTCGGCTCGAGATGGTGAGCTGGAAGATGTTGGAGCCAAGGAAACAGCCATAAATGCAAATTTTCGTGCCTCTTTCTTGGCTTCCAGCTATTAATGCCATTCTCGAGTCGCCTTGCTACTTGCTCAAGAAGCTGCAAGCGGACGAACTCTGGTAGAAGCTGTTGCCACCTCTCAAAAAACTCCAGGAGAGGTGCCGGGTCGTGAATGTCCCACGTTTGGGAAATAGCCGTGACGAGTTTAGGGAAGACAATTTGATAGACCATGCTTTCCCAAGGCGTTGTTGATCTTATATGGTGACGATGTGTGCCATCAATCTCGATATCCTTCCACTTCGTAATGGTATTCCCGCTGTGAGCTTTATTAAGACCTAGCAACCCTCGAATGTCTAAAAGATCGGATGAAAAATTACCCAGCTTAGGGTCGTCCAAAGGCTGCCAACCCTGGATAGCATCTCTCAGAAAAGGGTGGACAGCAGACACCGAGAGAGATTCTATCTCTTCGTCCCCGTGAGTTGATATTGTAGATTCGGCTTTCCTGAGCCCGGATATGACGCGATCCCAGTCTCTGTCACGGGCGCCTTGGCTAACCCCATCCAGGACGGATGAGATCATGCTGAGTACGGAGAATCTATCCTTAAGCTCATCTAACTCTTGTTGACGCTGGGTTTCCTCCATAGCAAGCCATGCTTTCCGCTCCTCGAGACTCTTCCATTCCTCCACAAATGCCGTAAGATCTCCTTGTGCGCGCCTTGTCAGCTTACGCGCCTCCGTCTGTGCAGCCACCTCGGTACCAGTCGTGGGCGTTAGCAAGCCCGAGCCAGAGGTCAAGAGCTTCTGGTCGCGCCCGGTAAGGTCTAAAATCGGGGTAAACGTATCGGGTATATGGAGGCCAGGCGCGGCTTTTTGAATATCGGTAACGGTCAGATACTTGGTCTTAGGCTTCCTTGGAGTGCTTGCGCCGCTTCCAGCTGTGCTGTCTCTGCCCTTCTTCCTCCTCTCGCGTTTCCCCTTCCTTTCCTCATCTGAATCAATCACCTCTTCTCCACGCATACGAGCCTGTCTTTTTTCCTCCTTGCGTTCTTGCTGAGACTTCTCTTTAACAGCGCCAAGACCAACACCCTGCGGACGCAGAGTTGCCTCGACGATGACGTTTCTTCCTTGGCCCTGAGCGCCAAGACCTTGACCTTCGACATAACCCATCTTTTCCATCATTCGAGCTGCGAAAGACTTGGCTTTCCCCCCTTTACCGAAGGCACTCGGCTTGGGGGGTTGAGATATCGATGACGGCTTGTCGTGGAGGTTTGCCTTTAGAACGGGCTCGTTCGCAGACGAAGGGACGAATCCTTTTCCTAAGGGTGTGCTTCCATCATATACCGACCTGATTTTTGGCGGCTTGCTTGGTGAATCGCTGGGGGCCGACATAGTCTGGGATTGAGAGTGAGTTGCCCAACCTAGGCCAAACCCGGTCATATCTTCATCTTCGTTCTCTCCATAATCGTCATCTTCTAACTGCTGTCTCTTGGAAGTGGAGGCTTGCGCACCTAGGCCGGGGTGACTGCTAAGCTCATGGCCGTTATCGTCGTCGTCGTCGTCGTCGTCGTCGTCAAGTGTTGGATTCAAATCTTTCTTCCCAGCCGAAACGAATGTTACATTCTTGTGGCGCAAGTCTTTCTTAGATTTCCATTTCCTTCCTGGGCCGTCATCTTCGCTTTCGGAACCAAATATTCCTAAGGCAGCACTTTCTTTCGCGTTGCGACCGGTCCGTCTTCGTTTGCGAGGGTTGAGATCAGCAAAATCGTCAGCTCGCGGGTCAACAGACGAATGTAGGTACCCGTCGTCATCGTCATCGTCGGATGATGAGGAAGTATAAACAGCTGCGTCGGCCTTAGAAATCCTAGTGGGATCAAATGACATGTTGCTTGCACCTATTATATGCGAATTTTAAGAAGAGAAGTTGAGTTGTGATTCATGTTAATAACATTAAAGGGTTGAGTATTATTATTTAGTCTTCGTACCCCTGGTGGTACCTCGCGTCGACCCATCTTTTTCTGAAAAGCGTAATCGATAAGGATACTACATGTACTAAGTAAAGTGACGTATGGTTCCATAAATGTATTGTACCTAATACTACCTAGGTACCTACGTACATAGGTATTGTAGGTACCGTGGACATACGTAGGATTAAAAAGGTCCCGAGTCATATGGGAAGTTCTACAAACATACTTCTACCTAATAGGTACGTGCGTACGTAAATCTTTGCAAGTTTCTTTCTATTATCATAGAAATCTAATAATTCATACCTAAGTACCTATTCCATAGCAACAATGGCATATCTATGATAAATCGTTGGCGACCTAGGTCGGTCAATGTTTCTTAACGCCTTCCATCCACTCCTTACCTCCCTTAGTACCTTCGTGGGCCTTCCTAAAAAGCTTCCTCTCCCATTCCTCCAACCCTCTCAGGAATTCTTCACCGGCGCCAACACCCATATCCTCGGTGGCACCGGCTTTCCTGGCGTGGAGCGCAATGTCGGTAGCTCTCATGACAAAGGTCCGCCTGAGGATCGCGCATATTTCCCTCTCCTCAAAGACGTCGAGCATGCGAGTTCCGAGCCCGTAGAAGTTATGCGATTGGTCGCGAAGGGGCACTGCACGAGGATCTGCCTTTAAGGCCGACATGACTTCGTTGGACAACGACTGTGGGAGGTCAAGCGAGACGAACGACTTGGAATCTTCTTCCGAGCTAGTTGGTTCTCTTCTAGTAAGAGCGAGGGGTTCAGCGAGCCATAGCGGTAGGCCAATCGAAGTACCAGCTTTGAGAGGATGCGATGGGTTATTGTCTAGATAGCCGAGTTCGGGTACGTCGAGCTCGAATTTGCAAGGGACTTTCTAATTGAAGAATTAGTTAGGTATTTTGAAAGCATCTGATGAAAGATAAATATACATGTTTATGTATAAGGTCGTATAAGGTTGTATAAGGTTAACTTACTTCGGCATCCGTAAGTATAGAGTCTATGTCGTAATAAGACATGTTATATTACTACGTCCTTGGAATTGGGATTGGGATTGGACATGAGATATCTCGCATTCTTATTTGAGTGCTCCTCGAAAAGAAGACGCCGATAGAATACTTGAACCTGGAATCATGAAGATCAACGCGTCGCATGTGAAAGTGGAAGGATTTTAGTATTTGGCAGTTGTAGTGGGGCAAATTGGGGTTTCTGCTACCTACCTAGGTATCCATACTACTAGGTACGTGTATGTGCCTAGCAGGTAGGGTCCGGGCTAAAACCGAGACCTAGGTTCTAGTGAATAGCCGCTATAATCCAATTCCTTTTAGGGAGCTTAGCTACTGAAGAAAAACGTCACGCAGTAAGGATTTACACGGCCCTAAACCATCAGCACCCGCATGATCTAAATATTTTACCTAAACCTTTATAGATACTTTGTAGATACTTTGTACACCACTCATCGTCGAGAATGAACACGCTAGTTGCAATGGTAAGTGCTAGGATTATGTACCTACCTACGTACTACATAGGTATAGGTGGTAGCTCCCCCCTCCACCTCTCCAAACTAGTTACAGGTATCTAATAGTTGACATCATCCGTGATTGCGAAATCGTAACATACCTACCTAGGTAGTACATGTACATGTAATAAAGGAAAGGGCTGAGGGTATTTTTTTTTTCTTGATGCGGGAGTAACCGAGATATCCATTTACTTAATATTTTAACATCTGCCAACATTGAATTCGTTCTCTTTATATGTCCTTGGTTAAAAAACATCGTAACTTTATACCTCCCATTACCCCGCCTTTGTTGCCCTATTAAGAAGATGGCGGCATCACTGTTTCGAACTGCTCTGGCTGCCAGGGCCGCTCTGCGAGTTAATTCCGTCAAAACCGGCGCAACGGCTCTAGCCAGCACGTCCTTCACTAGAGGCAAAGCTACATTGCCCGACTTGTCTTGTAAGTAGTATCCCGATTCTACTCTCATGCCATGACCTCCCTCAACTGACTCATCCGGTTTGATAGACGACTATGGCGCTCTCGAACCCCACATCTCCGGCAAAATCATGGAGCTTCACCACAAAGGTCACCACCAAGCTTACGTCAATGGCTTAAACACCGCGCTGGAAACTATTGAAGAAGCTAAGGCCAAGGGAGACTTTTCCCAAGCTGCCGCTGCCGCTCCTCTACTCAACTTCAACGGCGGTGGACACAAGAATCATACGCTGTTCTGGGAAAACCTGGCCCCTAGCAACAAAGGTGGTGGTGGTGAGCCAGAGGGTGCTCTAAAGTCCGCCATCGACAAAGACTTCGGATCCTTCGGTACTCTCCAGACGCAAATCAACACGGCCCTGGCTGGCATTCAGGGAAGCGGCTGGGCTTGGCTGGTCAAGGACAAGTCGGCCGGCACCTTACAAGTCATCACCAAGCCAAACCAGGACCCCGTCACCGGCAACTTCATTCCGCTGCTAGGCATTGACGCTTGGGAGCATGCTTACTATCTCCAATACCAGAACCGCAAGGCCGAATACTTCAAGGCGATCTGGAATGTCATAAGCTGGGGTACTGTCGCTCAGAGATTGAACCAGGCTTGAAGCGTGATAGCTTCGCTTCTGTAAACTAGACGACAACGAATCAGGCTAAAAGATCAGAGAAATACCTACGTCTCGTATCGTCTGTCAGTTAATATGAATTAATTTGCATCTCTCGACTTATTATCCAATGCTCTGCGGTCGTATCACGCACGCGCTTTTAACGGAGACACCGCCGTCTCCGGTAGTATCTCACCTGATTATGGGAAATATTATTAACTAACCTACATATGTAGATACTCATACTACAGCTGTATTCCACTCATAAGTTTCTGGCCATCCTTTCCGCACGCCTAATAAACTGCAGGGTCGGTCCTCCCAGATGACGTGATATTGATACAGCTAATGTGAGTGGAAGGAAGTGATCCTATTGCGTGCTGTCATTCTTACACAAGTTCTCGCGATCGCTTATTATCTCCTCGGCCAGGTCCGCGCACACTGTTCCCTACTGTTAGCATACTTGATTCGAAGTATATCCATTTAAGTACCTATGTGTATAGGTGAGGGGAGGGGAGGAGAGGGGAGGAGAGGGGAGGAGGAGAGGGGATGGGGTTGGAAGGGTTAGTAAAGGGAGCTCTGCTTACATTTCTGTATACTAATACTACCGAGTAGTTTGATCACCGAGACGTCTTTTCCGATCGTCTTAAAAACCCACGCCCGGACTTCTACTGCGGCAAGCGAATCAACGCCTAATTCGGACAGCGTTTGGACTGCGTGGATGGCCTCCTTGGGTAGTTGGAGAAGCGTATGCAACCTCTCCGTAAACTCCTCTAAGATGAGCTGCGCGATGGCGGTAGGTTCCATCAGCGCCTCTATGTTATCTTTGAGATTTCTCCTTGTGCCCTCGGTCACCGTACTCGAGTCTTCGCTGTCTTGACGGCTATAATGGCTGAATCGCGGGTCTTGATGCCAATGCAAAGGATTTTGGTCAGCTGGATCAAATCTTCGTAAACCGGTGGTGATGTCGATGGGTGGTCCTGGCTTCGACTCCCCTCCAGGATGGCCGGCGGCGACCGCTTCCAGAAACATGTGGTGGATATCACGCTCTGAGATAGGCGGGTATCCCTCGCGCTCCAGACCGGCGTAGAGTTCTTCTTTCTCTCTCAAAAGGAAACCGAGACCATAAATGACCCCAATATTCAGCACCGACGCTGCTTGACCGCGAGATCGTCGCACGCCTGCCAACCCGTTCATGTACATGTTAGCAGCAGCGTAGTTAGCTTGGCCCGGGTGGCCGCCGATGGCTGCAAAGGATGAAGTCATGATGAAGAACTCTAGATTTGAGTCGCGGAATGCAGTGTCGAGGTTCTGCGATCCTACGGTTTTGGGTCGCAAGACCCGTTCCCAAGTATCCAAGTCCATCTGCGCGAAGACGCGATCGTCGAGAACCATGGCTCCGTTGACAATTCCGGCGACGGATGGCATGGATTCATGTAGGCCCTTCTTTAGCGATTCCACACTAGCGATGTCCGTAACGTCGCATTTGCGTATCCCGATATTTGCGCCGTATGCGTTTGACAACTCCCCGATCCATCTGGGATCCATCTTCGGGTTTCGACTAGCCAATACGATGTTGCGGGCGCCGTGCTCGACAAGCAGATAGCACAAACTCTGACCGAAGTCCTTTGTTGTCCCGACCAGTAAATATGTCCTGTCTGAACGGAAGAGTTTCTTTTCTGTTTGATGCTTTGTGGTACACGTCACATTTCTATCAGCTCTCCAGTCAATCAAGCGGAAGGGGGACGACGATGGTTCGGTATCTAATAACAGGTTCGGTAAAGAGGATGTGTCAAATTCGACATGCGTTCGTGAGCTGGCGAGATCTGACTTCAATGCCTTCGATACGGCTCTTTTCCAACTCGTCTTTCCACGATAGCCTTGGACATTTCGCGTATCGCCCACACTGAATAGCGAGGAGCGAGAATAGTGCTTGCAGTTAGCTGGGAGCAAGTCCCGGATTTGCCTTGACAGCCTCACGTGCTTTTCCGGTTGGAAATCGAAGATGACCGCCCCCCCAGGTGGGAAGATGGCCTTGATATCTCTAGTCGATGCACGTATATGCAAAAGTTTGGAGGCGTCTCTAGTACCTTCCCCAATAGGAATAGTAGAGTACGGGACGACATAGCTCTCCCGTTCGCCAAAGACGCATTCTACTACGCATTCGATGAGTACGGGATCCGAGTCAATCAGGATAATTGGTTGGCCAGCCGCTTGACTCGCAATTATCTCGGCTACAATGTATCTCATAGTAAGAGATATCAAAGGCAGGCCGATATTAGAACCCGAGCTAATAGGATATACTTGTTCCCTTGGTAAGGAGAGACATGAAGCAATGTTCGTGGATATTGCCATGACCCCTTCGCCGGTGGAGCAATTGATGCCAAAACATATATAGGCCGGGTATGATTCGTCGGTCCCTTTGTACCCTTCAATTTCGAGACCCAGCTCTTTCACGGAGCTGTAATCTACATAAATCTGGACTTGATCGGTTGAATTGCCCCAAGAACTAGAAATCGCACTCCTGGCTTCGTATCGAATCAAGCGATCTGAGTTGAGATATGGGATAACTTCAACAGGTTTTCTGAGTGAGTTTATCTGATTTGAGACTACTCGTCGGAAAGAGTTGACGCTATCATTCGACTGCTGTAAGGGTAGAATACGGGGGATTAGTCGTCGTCCATCCTTGATGTGGATTTCGCGCTCGTCCGTCCATAGCGTGTTGCTCTCACTCTTTCTAGTTCCCATTAAACAGATGAAGTGGTCCGCCACGAGATCTCCAGAACTCTCGATCTCTTCTAGATCAAGCATCCGTAGCACGAGGCTGGGAACTTCGGCCGATACCGTGCGCGTGAATCCGAAGGTGGCTGCGTTATCCGGATTCCCTGTCAATGCCCGGAAGGTGAGCCAGAGTATTTTCATGCTCGGCCGCAAGAGATCGCGCAGTTGATCCAACCTTCTCTGTGTCATATTTGTCATCAGCGGTTGGTCAAGGTCTGCTAGAACAATTGCAGCGGTGCAGGTATTCAGAGCTCTAGAATCGACTTCGTCGAACGTGGCTCGTACGGTAAATTTCCGACATAGGTTCGAGAGTCGTTGATTCAGCTGATGAACTAGGCCATTGTTTGGGGCATCTTTACCACCGATGATAAGCAGATGATCGGTTATGAGATTGTCTACATTTAAGGATGGCTGTTTGAGTAACATCAGTTCTGGGCTATTCAGTTGCCGTACCATGACGGAATAACCGGCAAAGTACGACTGGTCGCAGTTCTTCGCAACCTGGATGAAGCCATACGTGTCGAGGACATCGGGCCACTGAGGCGGTGTCGGCGCTCTGGTTTCATCATATTGATCCTTGGGATGTCGTAGCAATCGGGACTTCGTTGGACTCCTCAAAGATTGAACTACTATCAAGAAGCCTCCCAGCCTCATTATTTCACGCAGGCATTTGAGCGTTTTGGAACTATATATATCCTCAAGCTCTGACGCCGACAGTAAGACGAGATCGTACAGGTTTGCATGCCCTAGCTGATCTTTTAAGTCTTTGGCGAGATCTAACGGCGCTGGAATAATTATCTTTCTCGAGCCTTCCTCCGCTGAAATCTCCTGATTCGGATACCGCAGCGTGCCAGTGCCGACGGTAAAGGAAGAGAACGCAGATCCTATTGCGCATAAAACTTCAGTAAGAAGTTCAGATTCAGACCCAGCCAGACCGAGTATGTCCATTTGAGGGTGCCGATGGGCGATCTGTTTTGCGATACGGCCCGCATGGCGACTAGTGAAGGATAGGTGATGCGTCTCCTCGATCAAAGTACGTAGGACACTGGCAACGAAGTCTGGCTGATAGCTGCCTAATTCACGAATCAAGCTCAGGCGATCATAACAATCTGGTCTTTGTATAAGACTGTCGATAATTTCCTCGGTGTCGAAGCGCCAGGAATCATCACCTACCGTCCCCAAAACTCCAGGATACCAACTAGCCAGTTTTTCATAATACAGGCTTAGATCTGGCGAGAGGCCTTCGGGGTCTGGATTGCTTCTGACAAAGAACGTAGCGACTCGTGCGCAGTCTTCTATGAGGGCTGGATCGATCGTGGTGTCAGATGAAAAGTCTCCTAACACGATTTCGTCTGTTGGGTCGATGTCGAAGACGGTGTTGAGATATAATTCATAGTCGTTTTTGGGTAAGGTGTGAGCCAACGCAGCAACAGCCAGTCCCTCAACTTGTATCTCCATATCCCCATCCTCGTTGGATATGTCCATGTCGATGAAGAATGTTGTTTTGGAATCTATCGTGGTAGGTTGGATATCGACCATGTGAGTGTCCACTGTTAGATTATCCCCTTTCCTCGCTGCGAAATTAAATCTTATTCGATCGATGCGTATCGGTAGAAAAGATGTCCAGAGGGATCTATACAATTGTTAGCAATGAACTTATCCTAAATTTCAAATGGTATGCTGTCACTTACTTATCTCCAGGGAATGCGTATGTCAAGAATGCCGATTGAAAACAGCTATCAAGAGTAGCAGGACTGATCTGCAAAGTGGTCGAATCTTCCGGGTGCCAACGCTTTAAAGTAGCAGAACAATAATTGTAGCGGCGGCGAATGGAATCCAAGGCACGGAAAGGACCAGTGTAAGTCAATCCCGTTTCTTCCATCATTTTATAAAATGCCTCAGGGGTCGTAGGAAATGTCTCGGCCTCGGAACCGCTTCGGGGCGGTAACGCATCCAGCGTAGGTTCTCCTAGATAAATCTGTAGACGTCCTGTCATGTTCTTTCTCATAGCCGTCGTCCCATCAGCGGGACAAGATGCTAATGTGAAGTCAGCTTCAATCGAAGCGTTTTTATCGTAACCTTCGCTCTGCGGAAGTACGGCGAGCGTAAACAAGACCTCAGTACCCATGAAATCTCGCTCGATGTTTATCCCGCTCACAATCTGCATGTCCCGAAGCTCCACCAATGACACAGACTCCGTCTTTATCAGACATCGAGCCGCGTCGAGAGCCATGATGCAATACGCCGACGCAGGCAAGAGGGCATGACCTTGGAAACTATGATGCTCAACCCAAGATAATTTATCCGCCTTCAGCAGATTTCGCCACCGCATCTCGTGCTCATTGTCGTCTCTGGTACGAACACCAAGCAACTCATGAGGAGGTGCCGTTTTGAAGTGGAACTGACGAGAGATCCGCGACTCCCGATAATGTAATTGGGAGTGGTCCCACGGATACGTCGGTAAGTCAGCAATCCGGCTGTTTAGGTCGATGGGGCTAAGAGCCTGTTCAATATACCTGTCAAGGTTGATCTCTTTGGGGCCGTAATGGGACCAGAGAAACCCGAGGAAGTCGGAAAATGCTAGGGTATCATCCTTGGTTCGATCCAGGGGGCTTGAATATTGAAGCTCGTGTCCGAGAGATTTGGCAGTCTGGGTGAAAGGTCCTTTGAGAGCTGGATGAGGACCGACTTCTAAAGCGCAATCAAACGGACCATGCTGTGAGATGGCATTCACAACAGCGTCATGGAATCGCACCATATTAACCATATTATCTCTCCAGTATTCAGCACCCAGCTCTTCATCTTCATTCATGGTGCGCCCATGGACGCTAGACACCCAGACTGTTTCGTTACCTTGACTATTTAATCTGATGTCACTAGCTTGCAAGGCCTTAATATACTCGGCTGCAGGCTTAATCATATGAGGAGAGTGATAGGCCGAATCGACTACGAGTATCCTTGAGAATTTCCTTTCCTTCGTGAGCTCCTCGTGAGCTTTCTGGATTGTATCTAGGTCTCCTGAAAGTGTGACGCTAGACGGCGAGTTACTCGCAGCGACATGTAGTCTACCGTCGAATATCGGCGCCTCGCAAAACTTGAACGCCTCTTTCTCCGAGATTCCTGTTGCGAGCATACCACCCTTTCGACCTTCGGGACTACTAGCGAGACGCGCCAAATGGCCACGATAATATGAGATTAGAATCGCATCTCTTGCTGATATTCTCCCCGCTACATAGGCTGCCGCGATTTCTCCTGATGAATGCCCAATGACGGTATGAAAGCAAATGTTCAGACTCTTGAGTAGATCGACCAGTCCTATTTGTACGGCAGTGCAGAGAGGCTGGGATACGGCCGCAATATTGACTAGAGACGCGCCACCCTCTGCCAAGATCTGCCCTTCTAAAGTCCAGTCCGGTGGCTGAGAAGAAGATCTCAGGACTTGGTCGAGGCCGCGGATGGTATTGCGATATATCTCGTTGTTGCGGAACAATGAACTTGACATCGTAGCCCATTGGGCACCTTGACCGGTAAATATCCCAAGGATCTTAGGTCGCCCATTCACAGCCTTATTTCGGCTTCCTACGTTACTCGAAGATGAGGACTCGCCTAGTATCTTCTCGAAAGCTTCGAGAGTTTGAGACCTTGAGCTTGCCGATACAGCAAGACGGTAAGGGAGGGCTGTTCGACGAGAGAACACAGCCCATGCCAACTGATCATGGCCGACGTGCGGATGCTGCAAGAGGTATTCTCTATAAGACGAAACGACGGCCCGCAGTGATACTTGCGAGGAAGCTGATAGAAGAAGGGGTAGGTATAACGAAGTCTTGTCGTCCACGCATTGGTGTTGGAAACTTTCTTCCTTCTCCTTTTTCTGGCGCTGCTGATAGATAGAATCGTGAATGTGCGGCTCATAAGATTCAACAATAACGTGGGCGTTGGCACCTCCGAAACCGAATGAGTTGATGCTCGCTCTTTTTGGCTGGCCTGCGGGAGGTTGCGGCCAAGGAACAAGAGATGTGGGAATCTTCAGGCCCGTGTAGAACGGCTTGACATTAGGATTTATGGAAGTAAAATGTAAATTTGGGGGTACTGATCCGTGCCTCATTGCCTGTATGACCTTGAGCAACCCGGCTAAGCCAGCAGCGCCCTCGGTATGCCCAAGCACCGTCTTGCAGGATCCGACCATAATTTCATTGGTATTAGCCGACGAGGCAGCACGCGTGCTTGGATCAAAAAAGGCATTGCAGATTGCTTCTGCCTCTCTGGGGTCACCTGCGGGTGTACCAGTACCGTGAGCCTCGAAATACTGGCACTGGTCCTCGGGGTTTATGGAGTCTAACCCGGCCTTCTTATAAGTCTCTTTAATGAGAGAAGACTGGGCGTCGGGGTTGGGCAAAGTTATTCCCTTCGTTCGCCCGTCCGAGTTGACTCCAGTATCTCGGATAATTGCCATGATTTGGTCACCGTCTGCCAAGGCCTGGGATAGGGGCTTGAGGAGTATTGCTGCGACACCCTCTCCCCGTGCATAGCCGTCGGCGGAGGCGTCCCACATTCGGCTCTTTCCTGTTGGGCTGAGCATGTGTAAACTGGATTCCACGAGGAACTGTTCTGGTGTTAACATCAAGTTCACACCCGTTACACATGCCATAGTACTCTCGCCAGACCGTAAACTCAACATGGCTTGATGGAGAGCCACGAGGCTTGAGCTACAAGCAGTATCTATCGTCATAGATGGACCCTGGAAGTTGAAGAAATACGAAATTCGGTTCGATATAATCGAACGGGCATTACCAGTGGCGTAATATTGGCTTGTTGAAAGTTCGTCGCGCTGAGATAGCACGTCATGGTCTCCAGTCATTACACCTGAGAAGACGGATACGTTCTTCCCATAGTATACGTCCAGCGTATACCCAGCTGACTCCATTGCTTCATAGACGACTTCGAGAACCATACGTTGTTGAGGATCCATAGCCTCAGCTTCTTTGGGTGTAATATTGAACATACTGGTGTCGAAAACTCGATGGTCCTGCTGTAACCAGTATGCCTTAATGGAATTGGTCGTCCCGTGGTATTCTCCATCGGGATGATAGAATGCTGCCGCATTGAACCTTCCGGGGGGCACTTCTTGGGAGAGGTCGGGAACCTCGCATAAGACTTCCCATAGCTTGGCTAGCGAGGTAGCACCTCCAGCAAAGCGGCAGCTACTCCCGACAACTGCTACAGGCTCTGATGAGGGTCGTTTGTACACCATCTCAAAGATTGTTCAACCAAAGGTTTCTTGAAGGAGGTATGATGTGATATAATCTGGTGTGCGTAGTGTGCAACCGACTGAAAAGGTAGAGAATAAGGAGGTAGTAAGTGGGAAGCAATCTACCTAAATTGTCAACAGGACATACTCGAGATGATATAAGTTTGAAGCCATCTATGATAAATCGTAACAGAATATCGGAAAAGAGCATAGTTATGCAGAGAAGGTTTTAACAAGAGACCCGTCATGCAAAATGGGGGGGTCAATGTTACATATGGTGAAAGAAGAGCAACAATAACTTAGGAAGGGGACAAGGAGAAGTGGTTGTGAGGCTGAAACGAGTGACCTATACAAGAAGGAAACTTGAAAGAGATAGTTTTGAAGATAAGATCGAGATCGAAACGAAGTCTTCTGGGTTATATAGGCGATGCATACGATACAGTAGACCAACGTCGGTAGCGGGTTTATCTACATACCTAGTACTTAGCAAGATTCTTTCATCCGAGGCTATCTTCAGGCAATTTATCTGCTAGAATGGAAAAAGAGCGACTCCTATAGATTGACCAATAGCTTCCGAAATAGTTGACCGACATTATTGCCAAATACAAGAATTTCTTGTCGTTAAGGAAACGCCTTAGTCCATACTATAGGTGGCTGTTAACGTGACTAGATTATAGAGAGGGTTGTTACCAAGGAGATACGAGGCCATAGCAACAAGGTACTCTAGAATAAATGCCAATATATAGGTAGGTACCATTCGCCGTAAGATTCCCTTCCGGAATTACGAGTAAACTTCCCCCAGGAATATTTATACTGTAATTAAGTAGAGTACGTGTAGACAGGTCATATCCAACTACCGACACAGCCTCTTCACTTGCCCCTATTCAGCAGTACCCATTCCCTTGGGCCATTAACCAAACACGTAACAAAACTAGATAAAATAAACACGTCCCTTACACTGACCGAGACCTTGTGTAAGTAATGACTACAATATCATGTTAGCATATTCTCTAGTCAGGCTATTATATATCTACGGTCTGCCGATCAACGGCAGATAGCGATGTCGAGTCCACCATAAATTTTTGCAACAAAGAAGGTATCTATTATAAGAATTCAAGGATGGAATTCTCCTTAGGCTTCCTGAGGCCTTAGATTTGTAGCCTCATTCTTTGTGGAAAAAGAGATAGGTAAAATGGAAATACCCGAAGCTAGACTTTATCAGTCAGATATCACCCTACTGTTGGTAGACAGGTGTAAATGACATGAATTCATGTGGTAAATTGCGATACACGAACTGGGAGGGAAACAAGATGCTGGATACATCCTAGTACCTAAGGTTCGTAGCACAGTCATTTTGTTGCGTTCCTAATACTGGGAGTCTTATTCTAGTGCACAGAGAGCTCTATCTTGAAAAATACACGGCACCGAGCAGGTCAAAGCAAGGAATGCACGCGTAGGTATTCTTTACTTACCTTCCTACCTACATAGTACCAACCTACCTACCTAACTTAGTAGGTACCCTTATGGCGAAGGAAGAACTATACGATGTCCTATGAGAATATCCGCTTCCTCGTGGATTTCCTCGAGTCTACCACCAATGAACTTTCTGATAAACCTTGGACCTGGATACGGCCGCCAGTAGTCTCCGGAAGATCCTTACATTGTTTATCACATTAGCTAGCAGTCGTCATATAATACGCATTATATATAGCACTGGTCTTAATTAGTGACACCAACGTTTAAATATGCTTGTGCGACGAACCGAAGCCATGTTACGACAACCTTGCGTGATCTGGAAGAGGTAGGTAGGTAAGTAAGCACATGCTACTGTTGGACTCGACAAACAAACGATACGATTTCTTAACCTACGTCACATGAAGATATTATCGTACAAATTACCTACCTAGGTACTTCGGCACTTCTCACATCTATCACGAAAGAGAACACTTCCAAGGTTACCGACCTGTACTCGCCTTGTAGGCATGGATAGGTGGGAATCCCATGTAAAAATAGATGGAAATAATAGAGTACCGGCCGTTTGTAATATTAAAGGATTATTTAATTCCGAATATACGGGGTATGTAGCTCGGAGTTAGCTGCAATTACCGAACTCCAATGAGATTATCCTAGGAAAATACCTACCTTGGTAAGTTCCAAGGTTATTATAATTCTAGCTTCTAAATCCCTTCAACCAAACCCCTAACTATACTCGTTAGGAATTTCAACAGCCCCTCCCAACGAAAAAGAAAAAGAAAAACCTCTCCAGGTATCTACTTAATACCTGCTACCGGGTACATAGTAGACCTAGTTGAGGAGGTACCTGATATCAAGGTAGGCGGGTAGGCAAGTGAGGTGAGGTTACGCTAAAAAAGAATAAAGAATTAGCATTTGTTTTGTTTGCTCCTAAGCGGCCAAGGTACATCTTGTATCGGGACCAATTAGACATATCGGACTACCAGGCTAATACTGCATGTCTTACTCAAATATTGATTAACTTGCCTCTAGCTAGAATTGTCTCAGGAAGCTTGTACACCGAGTTGAAAATTCAAAAACAGTGCGACAGCGGACCGTCCCGAAGACATTCTGAACGCCACCACGGGCATCAACCCTATCATTGGCCAATCATCTTATTGGGTCGAAGAGAAGGCAGTAGGTACTTACCTAGCTAGGTACCTACTAGGTAGGTATATAGTAGCTAGCCCTGCACCATTACAAACTCCCAAGAAGTTTCCCGACATTCCCCAACGGAGATTATTGCTTTTTCCTTGCGTGCTCGGATAGGTTAGACATAGAGGAGCAATAATCGGTATAACTACCTACCTACCTAGGTACCTAGGTAGGTACCTATTCTCTAAAATTGACCTACCTATTAAGTAGATAGGTAGTAGACCATCAGAGAGAAATCTTCCCAGATGCCATGAGACTCCATCGCCAACGAGATAAAATATATATATATATATGTGTACAGTATGAATATCGCTTCCATAAAAGGGAGGCATTATATACCTTCGTTCGTGAACTAATAGTTAGATATCACTGATCGCCGGTGCCGAAAACCTCGAGATGAATACGCTCTGGACCGACACCAGCACCAACCAAGTACTTCTCTACATCCTTCATGAAAGAATACGGCCCACAGGTGTAATACTCGGCCCCGGGTTCACAGAGGAAGAGGGCGGTGTTGGGGTCAACTTTGGTTAGATCAGTCCTTCCGGCGAAGTGGTAATCGACCCCCTGAACCTCGCCCTGCTGCGGCGACGTCACGAAAAATGTTGTCTTGATATTATTATCGACGTCCTTAGCGCGCACGTCGCGGAGGTGATCCTTGAAAGCACGAGCCTCGGAGTTGCGCACGCCATGGATCCACGAAATACGCCGGCGGGAACCGGCGTTCACAGAGTTGTTGAGGATCGATATCATAGGCGTGAGACCGACGCCGGCGGATATGAGCGCGATCGGATTACCCTTGCTTTCTCTCGGATCCACGAAGAATTCCCCTGCCGGCGCCGAGAGTTCGAGTACGTCGCCCTCTTTGTAGTTGTCGTGCAGTAGGTTGGATATCAAGCCAGGAGCGCCGAGCTGCTTGTCTTTCTCCCTCTTCACGCTGATCCGGTAGTAATCACTCCGTGGCGCTTCGCTTAGTGAGTACTGCCTTGGTTGCATGTGTCCCATCTGGGGGACGAATACTTGTAGGCTGATGTATTGGCCTGGCAAAAAGGACGGGAGCGGCTTTTCGTCTTCGGGGACGAGGTAGAAGCTGGTGATCTCCGCCGTTTCCGGGACCTTTCGCTGGATCTTGAAGCGTCGCCAACCTGGCCAGTTCTCGTGCGCAGAATATAGCTGCCGTTCCCGGTTGATGAAGACATCGGCCAGTGCGGCGTAAGCAGCAGTCCAGGCCTCGGCGATCGCGGGAGTACAGGCGTCCCCTAGAACGGCTGCGACGGCTTCGAGTAGATATTTTCCGACGATGGAGTACTGATCGGGCTGGACGTTGAGGCTCTCGTGCTTGTGCGCGATACGCTCTACCAGCGCCTTCAGCTGACCAAGGTCATCAACGTACGTAGCGTATGCAAAGACGGCGGCAGCTAGGGCTCGAGGCTGGGCTCCGCTCTCTTGGTTGGACATGCTAAATATATTCTTTAGCTCAGGGTTTGCGGCGATCATGTTCTTGTAGAAAAGTGTCGTAATCGTCGTGCCATGTTCTTTTAGTACTGGTGCTGTTGCCTTGACGATGGCGATATGTTCTGGCGAAATTGGCGCAGCGACAGCCATATTGAATATCTGAAAGACGGAGGTTGGCCAGTAAGTATCAGGTACCTACTAAGTAGTCTCTTAATTCCTTTTGCTGATATTATCGACGATTAGTATGGCGTTACAGTGTTGTTAATCTTCGATTGTAATAAGTGTTAAGTGTGAAGTAGGTTGGAATGCCTTCCTCTGCCGCGATGGCACCATCTTTAAGTAGTCCTACCTACCCATCCCGCACGCCCGTGTCTATTTGTCAGAGACAAACATCGTCTTAATCCTTAACATCCCATAAATTCATCGTGCCACAGCCGTATGGAAAGATACCGAGTCAATGCTTGCGGCTCATCTGTGGCGACGAAGTAGAGAGATATTGTGGTGAACCCACGCGGTTTTCCGACTTTTTTCGTGGATTTCCTATCTCCGCGGTGGTCTAGCCAAACACCCACCTAAGACCCCCCGAGGTTTCGTTCATTCAATCTGCTCTCCGTTTATTTCTTCTTATTTATTTATATACTAGTAACTAGGTACCTGTTTATATGTATTTTCAATACCTGGTCGTTAATAACTCCTATTTTCTAATATATTTTCCTACCTAGCTTCCGTTTCTCTGCGATATAGATATAATATCATAAATATTACCTACCGACCTAGTAGGTAACTCACGTATTCACATGTTGTCTCCAGCCTTGGCAACTAGTTGCCGTAGCTTGGCTGATCTCAGCTTGTTCCCCAGAAAACGGATTTCTTACGAAGTACAACCTGCGTCTTAACCTGGGCACTAGGTCTTTCGGCTTGGAAGTCTGATCTCCACGGAGATTCTGATATCCTCGTTATATTTTCCCCATTTACCAGCACTCTTTTCTTGCTACATGCTATGGAGTTGCATGGATGATAAGGCGCGGCATAGGATCCATTAGTGGAACAGTTTTACGTTAGGTGGATTGTCCATGTCAAGTTTTAACCACCCAAATTCGCAAATACGCATTGGCTTAAAAACTGATCACCTTTAAAAAGGATCTCATTACTCATCGACTAAATTTGAATGGTCCGTTAATAGCGTGTGCCATCCCCTAAGCGTGCCCGTTTACGTAATTAGTGCTGACTCTAGACTTGTCCAACTCACGAAATCACTCATCTCCGGCGCTAAGTCATACGATATATGTACCTAGGTACCTAGATATGTCCTGTATTCTCTAGTCAATCGTTTATGAATATTTGTATCCTCTATTAGACCATATCCCCTTTGACGCGCAGTATAATTAAGTGGTAGATACTTTCCTACCTAAATACCCAAGGTTCGTATATGAACAAGAAATCAGCCAAGCCATGACTCATCAAAAATTTTTAAAGGTTTTTTTTTTTGGTAGATCAACAGAAAGCCTAGCCACAAGCTAGGAAGAAAATCACCTACTTATAAGAGTATAAGAGCGGTTGTTCCCTTCGTCACATCCATATGCGCCATTGACGAGAAGTAAAATCTATTCCCTCAAGCCATATTCATTCAGTCCGAGTAATTAGGGTTACTCCGTAAACTCGCGTGGGAGACGATTCTCCCCTTCTTCGTAAGGACGGCTAGCTTCCTCACGCGCTAGGTCGTTCACCCATCTACAGCTTCCCTTAAAGCCCCCGACGCCGTTAATGTCGTCTTTATTAGCTTTAACATCAGAGAACTTATTTGCGAGGTAAAACCAGGACAAGGCATTTCCAACCGTACCGACCTCGTCGCTGACGCCAGTCCTCGCTGCGTAGCTCATTCGATTCCATAAGTCATCATCGGTGAACAACTCTATGAGATGCTGTGCCACGGCCTTATAGTCGCCAGGTTCAACGAGGAAGCCATTTTCTTGATCCTTAACTTGAATTGGTATCCCACCGGCTAGAGTAGCGATCACCGGCCGCCCTGCGTGAAGTGCTTCGGATACTTTCACCTCGAATCCTTCTCGAGTGGACAGCTGTAGCACGACATGTGCTTTTGCAATAAGGGTATTGAGGAGCTGGTCGTTCGCTTGCAAACGCATGACGCTGATGTCGTCTGCAAATTCAGAATAGTGAGTCTCGATTTGATCCATGACGAGGTCATATATCAAATTTCCGTCAGGATCGTCAATTGAGCTGTTTCCTGTGCTGCGAAAAGTAAGTGTCGTGTATGAAAGGAGGGCGTTTCTTGGGACAACTTACACTACCAGCTGGGGGACATCATCTAGTCCTAGTTCTTGAGCGCGCTTACGGAATTCACCATACGAGTCTATAACTGTAGGGATGCCTTTCGCGGGGTCAAAGCGAGCAACTTGGACGATGTACTTGGCTACGCGTGCATGTTAGTTTGATGCGGTGGATGGTAGAATCTCTGCACTCACAATCCGGATACTTCAACGGAGTCCTATATAAAAGCTATTGTTAATTGCTGGGTGTTTTTAGTAGGTAGATATCGAATAGACCTACATGTGTTGAGAGTGACACTGCGAGTTATAGTTGGTTCCATAGTAGCCTGTATCCCACTCATTTATGCGCTTATTCAAGCCGTCGAGCCAGTCGGTTGTTGCTGGCAAGTAGGTGACTATCTCACGGGGAACGTTGTCGGGAACAAATTTAGGTATTGGGTGGCTCACGAACATATCCGCGTAACGGATATTGTTCCATAGAAAAGTCCATACCTGGTCTTGGGGTGAGCCACTTTGAGCAACTAGGTCACTGCGAATTTGGATATGCGAGCGATAGATGACAGGCCGATCCGGTGTGACCTTTTTGATAAGTGGTATGAGACCAGGCATCTGTGGGTCGTCAATCTAATACGATTATGTTAGTCAGGATAGACAGGCAGATATACATATTGTCTCCATGTATTTGAAGAATATATATTAAGAATAGAGAAGAAACCATGTGGTCCAAAGGGGGGGTAGGATAATTGGGACAGGGACTGATCGAAAATTTGAATTCAACATACCACAACAACATTGGCACCTCCTTCATCAGCTGGACGCAATGGACCGCCCTTAGAGAGCCAATAACGATTAGCGTTCTCGGTGATCCAATCGGTGATCGTCTCTTGGTCTTCTAGTGTGATGCGTTCGTCTGGGTCGCTGACGCCTTGAAGAATATTATGCATGTTCTTGGTGATTCGAAAGACTCCCGGACGGGGCTTCGGGACTAAAGTAATATGTTAACATGATAAACCAGATACATTGAAAAGGGGTGTTAGTCATCGAACTCGATCTGATTTGACTTACCATACCACGTCAAGTCAACACCGGAGAGACGGGCGAACCGCACCAAGGCGTGTCGCATAAGCGCGACTCCACCACCTTGCGGAGTTGAACTGAAAAAGGCAATTTTAACCTTCTTCTCCTTGAGCTGATTGGCGAAGTGCATAGTGGAGTCCCATGTCGCGCTGCCACATGTAGGTCTATAGTCGCTGAGCGTTGTCAGATGCGCTCTGAACCCAGCATCACTCATAACAGCGCCCCGGAAGCCCACCTGCAGGATAGGGACTAGAGAAGGACCAAAAACCCTGTTTGTTCGTGTCAGTTAGAATACAAAGTTCTCAGATGGGAGCTTTTTAGCCTACATGACGCATTTACGTGCCATCGAGTCAGCCTGCTCATCGACGTTCTTGTCATCCCAGAACGACGTCTCGGAACCATCAACGTCAAAGTCGATCGGGACGATATCGATTTCCAACCATAGTCGGGAATTTAGTGTAGGGCTCAATTCCATTAAACTAACGGGAAGCCCGGCACCAATAAACTTGACGAAATTGTCATGTTCATACTTTTGCACCTGACTGATCACATAGTCTGCGATGACATCTTGGCCCGATTTCAAAGGGTCATTGAGCTTCAAATGCTCAACCATGTAATCAATGAGATACGTTTGATCATGAGTTGCGATGGATAAGACCACGGTATCATGGTCGCTCATTACAGCCGATACTCCAAGGAATAGTGGCTTTAAAGAATCAAGTCAGCTAACTGTTTGGTTTTGATAGATGGGATTAAGACATTAACATACCGTGAGAGCCCGCGAATACGGCCCATCTGTTGTTACATGTTAGCATCTTACATAGAAAGTAGAAAGGTAAGATATTCTGTTTTAGCACAACCCCTAATTAAAGAGGATATAGTATTTAGAGGCGACCTAGTCGAGAAGAGCATAAAAATAACGTACTGTGCCAACGAGTCAGTGCCTGAAAGGTATTACACACAATTTGGAGGTTATCGCGGAAGCAGGATGATGTTGGGTTTTTCATAAATATTTCTATACTAACCGTTTAGCGGCGAACTCGCTCAGCCGGCGTTGGTGATGGGTAGAAGAGGTTGAGAACCTCCTTCTCCTTTCTAGGATTGGCGGCATTTCTGATTGGGTAACGAACGGAAGCCAATGCTGACAGTCTGGTAACTATCGGGTAGGTATGTAAGACAAAGGGCTTATTTATGAGCACAGGTTAAGTACATACAAGGGAGGTAGGTAAATAAGCCTAGGAAGAGTTGATGGCATCTTTTTATCACTTAACTTCTCCCTCGCCCACGCCCACGCCCTCGCACTCGGACGATATCTTTCGGCAAGTATAAATCGTCAGGAGAATTCCTATGGTATGTTGATGGCTCAGGTAGGCGACGTCCGGGTGGACCGGCGAAGGTGATTTTGAAAGGAAGCGGTGTGAGAGGAGAGAGCTGAGAGGCTTGTTGAAGTTGATAAATCCTACATTATGTATATCTACTTGGTATTATGTATACCTACCTACCTACCTACTAAGTACCAGGGAGGTAGGCATGACCTACATTTATGTAATGTGGGATGTTAGGCGTATAAGTGAGGCAAATACTGCGTAGGGTAAGAGTATATATAGGCAGGTACAGTTCAAGGTTAGAAACATGTACCTGGGTACTTGCCTACTGGTTGGACCTCTTTCATCCCGCTGTGAGCCTTGGGAGGTGACTACCTACCCAGGAATACTTCGTACCTAATTCTTCTTCCTCCATATTATCATTGCCCACTATTGCTACCACTGGAAGATTTTGGATTTAGGACACGGGAACAGGGCACCCACGTGTGTAGAAACGTATGGCTCTTACCTATTTCATCCCGCACATTGAATCAAATGCATGTGTTGATCAAGGCAGTGCGCGGATGGTAGCCGGAACGCGCGACTTATTAGTGCAATTCAAATCGTATCCTAGTGTCACGGTGACGCATTCGATCCGGTCTGCCGGGGTGCCCAGGTACTTGGAGTACATTTGAGGGTTTCTAATTGAAAGCGCTTGCTAACAATAAATATTGAACTAGATTGAACGCTTGGCTTAATGAAGTTTAACATGAATAAATACACCTAAGCAAATAAATTTGGTTGTCAAGTTTAGAATTGAGGCTCAAGTGTTGAGAGGAATACACTACATGCCTACTTACATAACGTACCTACATATATCAGGCACCATTAGGTACCCAGATCCATGGCTCTTTCCTCGCTCGTCTGATGTTTTCACGGGGATTAACCCATTAAGCCTTACGTAAGTTGGCAATTTCTTGAAATTGGCATGATCACAGCGAGATGTGCATCAGTTCATTTTTGCCCCCATCGAAAGGCGCGCGGCACCGCACGCTCGTACATGTGTCCCGTGTCCGTGGCGCATTTTTATGGGAGCTGCAAGTGAAAGAATTACAATTTCTCTCTGAACTCAAAACCTGAACAAACCCCAAATCTAACATGGGCGCCCCCTTTATTGGCTAGTTGCTATACTGATGGCCTTACGTGCTTCTGGGGCTATGCGCGAAATTGGGTTCTAGTAGAGTCAATTCGCTTCCAATATTGAAATTCCCAAATTTCCGAAGTCTTTTCCCACTTCACTATACAGGTCTCTATCAGTTGCTGGGAAACACTATAAAAATCCCTAATAATTAAAGATTCCCGTTCAATTATATCTCCAACCAGGCGTGGCGACCTGTTAAATTGAGATTCTATTTCCCTTCTTCGTATTTGTTCGTTCCCGTACACGTCGAAGTAGAGCCAAGAATTGTATGCAAAAAAATAAATAAATAAATAAAAAAAATCCAAAAAAAATCCGGGGAAGATGGGGAAGACGGGGCAAATAGGGAAAGACGATACCAACTCGTAGGAACGCCTCCAAGCCGTATCCATAGTTGAGCCAGCATAGTGGAAATATTGGTTTGCCATGTGAAAATCGAAAATTGCAGCCGACGGACCTTTGCTTACCTAGTAGGTTTGCCGTTGCCCGCTAGCGTCGTTGTTACGGTGTCCATATCATTGAAGGACTTAGCTTTAAAACGAGCACCACTGATAGCTCACTAGCTAATCCAGGTGTACTATCCTACGAAAATGTCGATTTTACTACTCATGACTGTGACGCTCTCTGCGACTAAAATGGTCGTAGAAGCTGCCGATTGCTTAGATGTAGCTAAGGCCAAGATCCCCTTATGTGCGCAGTCCGGATGCTCGGAATCTACCTTCTAAGCTGTTATCGACGACGCTTCTTCTGATGAGTTAACCCAGTCAATCCGGCTACTCCTCGATGTCAACCTTCTGCTCTTGTATGAGGCCCCCTGACTAAAGTTACGTGTCTTAATGGTCTGCAACTGCAGACAATTCCTACCTAGGTAGTGATTCTAGTATAGTTCCTAATACTACCGTTGATACCGCCTCAGGTCTTAATAGCGGGGTCGCCGCTAGCATTTCTAATTCTAAGTAAGTATCATGAAGTAAAAACAATAATAGTAGAGTCTCAGCTTTAATGGAACATGATAAAGAAAAACGATGAAGATTTGTTAAATCAATGTTAGCCATAGCATCTTTAGTACCTACATGTAGTAGGTATATGATATAAATTGTTTAATTTTAGTAACTATTTAGTACCTAAAGGCCAAAGTACCTAGTATGCAGTAAATAGTTACCTAAACGCCATTTTATCCTTGATGAATTTGACAGCCACCGATTTGACCACAAACTCCCAGACCGGTAAATCAATTCAACTCAAGAAAATAGGATGCGATTACATTTACCTGTCTAGAATTACCCGTTGACAAGCTGTTGTTAAACCGTTGAAAAGAGAGTGCTAAACAGCGCTATTCTTACAAGGGGTTAAGCAGTGCAATAATAGTACCTATGAACGACTACCTCAAGTTCTTTGATTTCTTTCTCTCTTTTTTTTTGACTGTTTGGCGGTTTTGGGCATATCGCGCACCATACTGCAAATCATGATTGTTGGCCCTTGGTTTCCATACCAGGTTTTCCTGATGTCGATAGAACTTCCCTCTGCAAATCATTTCGATATTTGTCCATCGCAATTATTTTTCAGTTTCTTCCTCTCTATCTTCCCGTTTCCCCTCCTGAGAACTTCCATCTTTATCCTTATCATTCTGAGCCTTACTACCTTTACTTTTCTCTGTACTCTTCTCTTTGCCCTTCTCGCGATTCTCACTTTTGGCACGTTCCTTAGCTTCTTTATCCTTTTGCTTCTTCTCTTTCTGTACCTTCTCCTTCTCCTTCTCCTCAAGCTCTTCCCATTTCTTCGTGTAGTCCTCTTCGCGCCCGCGTTCGTGCAGTTTGTCGCTTAGGCTAGTGAGCCTCGATTTGGCGTCACCGACTTTCATCCGGCCAATAAGGCTTATGAAGATAGCAGCACCTACGATAGCCGTCAAGACGAACCGGTATGTCCCGTACCACGATGGTGCCCAAGCCCGGACAGTGGCTCGAGCGTCAGCGAAATACAACATGACAAAAGCGGCAAATTGGGATGTCAACGCGAAATCCATTGGCATCAATAGAGTGGGCCAAGCTACGACAGATGCTAGAACGCCGAGCCCGTAACGGAACCGCGTACGATCTGGGTCGGGTACTTTCTCAGTGTACTCCATACCCCAGTGAACAGCCCCAAGGAAGCTGATTATGATTGCACCATAGCCGAGTTGTATAGGCTCGATAACGCCTAGCAAGTGTTGGGCAGTATCATGGCTTATCAGAAAGTTATTGACAAAGTTGGATGTGGATGGCCACTCGGTATTCAAATCCCACGAGAGGTAGACGGTGGATATCGATGTCGCGAGATAAGGCAATGTACCAGCGATACCTAGTATGTAGGGTTCTTTTGGAACATCTGAGAGTGTAAACGTCTCTTTGATGGTTTCCTATGATTAGCCCGTTAGTAAGCATATCCGGTAGTAGAAGAAGAGACAATTGTACTATATCGTCCTTGACACCATGCTTGATGGGTTTCTGTTTTCCTTGGCTACTAGGTTCATATACATGACGAACGCTCGACTCGGTGGTCACCGCCCCTGGGTCTGACTGAAGTTTCTGCTGGCCAAACCTCTTCTCTTCCTCCGGATCTCTTCCGTACTGAAGGCCGCTGGGCGTCTTGGTAGAGTACTTCGCCTTCTGTACCGGTAAACTGGAGTGGGAAAAGAGCGTTCTTGGGGGTGGCAGGTTGGGTGTACCAGTTCTAGTTGCTGCTCGATGTTGTAAGGACAGTAGTGGTGAGATTGAAGCTCTTTGGGGGGAAATTGTTGGGACAAATTTAGCCAAGACAGATCGTGTGTGTCGCAGCATTCTGAGAGGCCTAGGTTTCAATTTTCGTGTATCTAATAAGTCTAGGGAGAATTTTGGCGGAGATGCGGAATTGATAATTGAAAGCAAAGTAGATTGATTGTCTGAAAAAAGCTAGAATAATTCGACCCTAGGTGCAAAGACGACAATGGAATTTCTTTTTCAATACCTAGTATCAAGATTCTCATTCGTATCAGTCAGTTCAACCATGAGCCACGATAATTGCTACAAGTAAATATTTGATGTTGATTGCGTGCCGTCGCGGTGTGCCGGATAGTTGATTCAAGTAAACAAATTATATTTCGTAAGAACTGATGTAATTACATCGTCACACCCTTCCTACCTAGTCTGCTAGTCTACTGTGAGACCTTCAAACAGAGGCGTTCCTGACTGTTCTTGATGTCATATGTCATAGTGATCGATCAATATTGAATTGTATAGAGTGACGTAATAGATGAGAGAGAGCATACATAGGTACAAACATTAATTCCATTTCCATGCTCCGAGGTACCTAGTACTTAGGTACTTGCCCCTCCATATGTGGCAGTGTGGCTGAACACTCAGAGCGTCATCAGCCCAACCCAACCTGCCAACTCCCAAAAGACCTAAATTTTCTGATTGTAGATGCCATAGCAGCTGAGCCCAATCCATGTTTATTTACAATGGAAGGTTCAATCATCCTTAACTTCATACGATTTCGTACGTTTTGACTAGAGCTTGTAGTTGCCTACTTCGATGGTATATAGGTAAACACTACATAGGTACATGTTAATCTAATTGACCTACACACATGATATCAATTCCGTCATAGGTACCCGATACCTTGTATGTAATTCTGTTCTCCATATTCTCCAACGAGCTTTCTTGCAACAACACAGCCTCGATCTTACTTACCCTCCTCCTACATACCTACGTTAGCTCTCTATTACCTAGCCGCCTAGCTGGTAGGAGCCATCCATTTTCCATCTGCATTATCCACATCCTCTATCCCTTACATAACTACCTGCTCAGCTACTATCTATCTAGTATTCATTGAATTATTCACTTGCTCAACTTGGCCCTCTACTATTTTTGGCCGTCCTCGAATTCTTTCTCTCGACGCATGTTCACCCTGTTCACCCTGTTTGCCTTACCCCGCCATAACGAATTGACGGTTACAATTACAACCACAATATATAGCTTCGTAGAGCTGTTGAAGAACCGAATAGGTACCCATAACGCGCGACATACCCGATAACTAAGACCTTGCGAAACGATCATAGACCAATGCGCTACATACCAATTTTCAACTCCTTAACTTAATCGAGCCCTCGCAGATGAAGCGACCTAATTCCCTCCACTAATTTACCAATCCGTCCCGGCCCGGGTTACGGCACAATACAGTCAGGATGCTGGAAGGTTTGGTTGCTGGCTTGCTCAACCGTTTCCTGGGCATGTATGTCAAGAACTTTGACCCTACACAGTTGAAGGTTGGTATATGGTCGGGCGATGTGAAGCTACGTAATCTTGAGCTCCGAAAGGAGGCGCTCGATCAGCTGAAACTCCCCATTAACGTCATGGAAGGACATCTGGGAGAGCTAACCCTCGTTATTCCCTGGTCCAACCTACGTGGCGCCCCAGTCAAAGTCCTCATCGAGGATGTTTTTCTTCTTGCGTCTCCGAAGGAAGAGGCCGCTTACGACGAGGAAGAGGAGGAGCGCAGGCGCCAGCGATTAAAGATGGAAAAATTGGATTCGGCTGAGCTCTTGAAGGAACGTTCCCAAGAAGGCCTCAGCCAAGAGGAACAGAAGAGGAGCCAGAGCTTTACAGAGAGTCTTGTTACCAAGATTGTCGACAATTTGCAAGTTACAGTCAAAAACATCCATGTGAGATATGAAGATTCTATATCTGCACCCGGTCATCCCTTTGCCCTAGGTCTCACTCTCGCCGAATTCAGCGCGGTTAGCACGGACGGCGAATGGACACCTACTTTCATCCAGAATTCGACAACTACTACCCACAAGCTAGCGACGCTCGGTGCGTTGGCGGTCTACTGGAATACAGACACTACGCTTCTCGGTCCGGGCCGTGAATTAAGTAGTGAGGATGAGTCAATTCCCCATGCTGATATGATAAAAGACTTCAAACAGATGATCGGGAAAGGGAACAATACCCCTTCGGCAGATCATCAGTTCATCTTGAAACCAGTGAGTGGTCAGGCAAAGATTGAGCTCGACAAGACTGGCGATACACACGTGCCTAAGTTCAAAGCGAGCTTGCTATTTGATGAGATAGGTGTGGTCCTCGATGATGACCAATATAGAGATGGTTTGATGATGGTCGACCTTTTTCATTACTTCATTCGTCATCAAGAATACAAAAAGCTTCAACCTAAGGGGGTGACGCCAAAAGAAGACCCTCGAGCCTGGCTGAAGTTCGCGGGCAACGCTGTGCTCAGGAAGATCCATGAGAGGAACCGTCGGTGGACTTGGGAGTATTTCCGCGAGCGTCGCGATGATCGTCACCGATACATAGAACTTTTCAAGCAAAAGAAGGCAAACCAACAGTTCTCGCCCCAAGACGTTGATGATTTTGATAAACTAGAGTGGAAGCTTGGATATGAGGACTTGCGCTTCTGGAGATCTCTAGCTCGTAACCAATTAAGGAAGGAGAACGCTGAAGCACTCAAGAGAGCACCCTCGAAGACTGAGCCGCAACAGCAAGGCTGGCTGGCTTGGGCGTGGGGTTCAAAACCAGCGGAACCTACGGACTCAACGGAAGAGAACACTCAGATGACCGAGGAGCAGCGTAAAGAGCTCTACGAGGCGATCGATTGGGACGAGAAGACAGCCCTGGCCGAAGCTGTTGATACACCGCGTGATACTGTAAAGATGCAAATCGATGCTTCACTCAGCACGGGAAGCTTCACTCTGAGGCAAAGCCCTCACGGCAACAAGACCGATCTACTAAGCTTGCATTTCGACGTTTTTAAGGCTAAAGCAATCAAAAGACCTGATTCTGTGCTTGCGGACATTAGTCTTGGTGGTTTTCGAGTCAACGATGGTACCACTCCCGAAAGCTTGTTTAAGGAGATAGTTCGGGTGAAGGATGCGCCAGATGATATCAACAAGAGACGGCTTTCGATTGCCGAGCTCGAGGAAGCTGATCAAGAGACCTTCTTCGACCTTCAAGTTGAACAAAATCCTCTTGATGGTCAAGGCGATTTCGCGGTTACGGCAAAGCTCAAACCATTGGAAATCGTGTGGAACCCTAATTTCGTCGTGGGCATCGTCGACTTCTTCAAGCCGCCGGAGAGACACATGGAATCCATATCAGCATTGATGGAGACTGCCGGGGCGACTGTTGAGGGGTTAAGACAACAGACGCGCGCTGGTCTCGAGTTCGCTCTCGAAGAGCATAAGACTATCAATGCCAAGCTAGACCTCCAAGCACCTCTTCTCATAATTCCACAGTCTATTAAGACAAATACATCAACCTGTCTGATCTTGGATGCTGGTCATATCAGTGTCAATAGCGAATTAGTTGATAAAGGGACTCTGAAACAGGTCCAGGATAAACATAACCAAAAGTTTTCCGAAGATGACTTCAAGCGACTTGAATCTCTTATGTACGATCGCTTCCTTGTTAAGCTAACATCGACGCAAGTCCTAATCGGACCCTCAATCGAGGAAACGAAATCTCAGCTGGTTGAGAAGGACGATTCACACATGCTACATATCGTGGAGAAGATTAATGTCGACTTCGTGGTAGCTCTGTCGATATTACCCAAGGCGCCAAATCTTACCAAGGTCAAAGTATCAGGCCATATGCCAGTCCTTCAAGCTACAGTATCAGACACTAAATATAAGAGCCTTATGAGATTAATCGACGTCGCGATACCAAAATTTGATGGAGAGACACAGCAAACCAAAACCTCTGGACAGCCTAAAAGACCACGCTTGCTCAGTTCCGCCTCAAGTCGCTCGCCTAAATCGCACAACCGTAAGAGCTCGGCCAACTTATTTCTTACTCAACACAGTGCTGTCATTCTGGATAGCGAGTCGGATGATGACTCTGATGAATTTGAAGATGCCGCTGACGGAAGTTCGACCCAGCAACTTAAGACACAACAGAGGAACTTCGAATTCAAATTTGCTGTTGACAAGTTGCAAGGTTCCCTCTACCGGAGCGACCCTGATGGAGAGCATCCCGAATCATTACTAGTAGAACTAATCGCGGAGAATTTTGACCTTAATTTCTACATTCGGCCGTTTGATATGGCTGCTGAGGTATCGCTAGGGTCTGTGACGGTCGATGACTTTGTTGACAATCCTCCTGCCGAATTCAAATCTATCGTATCATCGGGTGACGTTGAAGACCACCAACAAAAGAGGGACCTAGTTCTCGTCAAGTTTACCAAAGTGAAAAGGGAATCTCCCGAGTTCATGCCAGTCTATGAAGGGATAGAAACAAATGTCAATGTTGCTGTGTCCACGATCAACCTCGTCGTGACGAGGAAGACTTTGCTCACACTGTTGGATTTCATACTTGCTACCTTCACCAATAATGAAAGCTTGAATTCTCAACAGAGGATGGCCAAAAACACCGAGATAGGTGAGAATGTGGTTGAAATTGTGGAGCCAGCTATTGGCTCACAGCAGAGCGAGGGCGGTTCTATCCGCGTCAAGGTTGACCTGAAAAGTATTCGCATGATCCTTAACAATGACGGCATTCGATTGGCGACACTTTCATTCAATCACGCTGACATCGGTGTTTTCTTACTCGGCAAGACGATGAGGGTAGCAGCCAGACTCGGTGATCTGACATTAGTCGACGACGTTAACATCGGCGCATCAGAGGACTCAAGCTTCCGTCAGCTCGTTACCATCCAAGGAGACGAACTCGCCGATTTCCGTTATGAGACGTACGATCCGAGTAACAGGAAAGCGTATCCAGGGTATGATTCCTCGGTCTATCTACGTGCTGGGTCTATCAAGGTCAGCTTTCTTGAGGAGCCATTTAGGAAGATTATCGAATTCTTGGTCAAATTTGGTAAGATGCAGGCTATTTACAATGCTGCTCGTCAAGCAGCCGCAAACCAAGCCCAACAACTACAACAAAGCACTAGCAGATTCAAGTTTGATGTCATCGTCAATACTCCTATCATTGTATTTCCTCGTGCTCTCTCCCCAGACCGTCCAAGGCGAGACCTAGTCACCGCCTACCTTGGAGAGATTTACGCACAGAACAAATTCGCGCCCTTGGACGATTCGGCGGATTCCGAGATTGCCATGAAGCTTTCTGCAGGTATTAGAAATATTAGACTTACGTCTCTATTCCATTATCCTAATGAAAAGTCCGAAGAACTTGAAATGATTGACCACGTGGATCTTGGCTTTAAAATCACCTATGCCGAGCATAAAGAGGGATGGAAGCGTCCAGACATGGAGGTTGAAGGCAGCATGACCGATGTAAATCTTAGGATTACCCAATATCAGCTCAACTTTCTCTTGGAAATCTCTCGATCCATCCCAGCTGCATTCGCAACAGATGCCAATGCCAGGGGAGAAGAGGCTGAAAGGGATGTAGATGAGGGTACACTGCGAAGGGCTAAAACAATGTCGTCTACCACCGGCGGGGTTGATGGCCAGTTGATCGATCTTTCGCCAGAGCTAGGTTCGAAGGGGCACACCTGGACCAAGCTTGACCTTGTGTTCAATATACATAAAATTGGTCTCGAGCTAATTAACGCCCACCAGAAAGAGCCCATTGGCGATATGGACGCCGCTAGCTTGTCACGATTCTCCCTCGACGATAGCAAGCTTAAGACTCGAATGCTTGCTGATGGCTCAGTGGAGGCCGAGTTTGTGATACAGTCATTTACCATACATGACAGTCGTGCTCGCGAGGGTAGCAAATATAGAAGAATCATGACGTCTTCGAATAAAAACGTCCAACAGTTTATGGCGAGCGTATCTATGACTGGAGGCAAGGAGAAGAATTTGATTGCCGTTGTCGCTATCGACAGCCCAAGAATCATCTTCGCATTAGATTACCTCTTCGCAATTCAGAAATTCCTGGTAACCGGGTTACAAACTGATGAACCCCCGGCAGCAGTTTTGGAAAGTCCCTTGGAAAGTCCTGAAATATCTGATGCCGAGTCAATGCATGTACAATGGACCGGCAAGTCCCCTCAAAGGAGCATACGAGGGTCTCGGTCGTCGGAGAATGCAACTAAGGATAGCGAGGAACCTAAGATGAACATTGCCTTCCGCGTTAATATTGTCGATTCGCAGGTCATACTGATCGCCAATCCCCTCAGTTCCAGTTCAGAGGCAATTGTTTTAGGGACGAAGCAAGTGTTGCTATCGCAACAGCACTCCTTAACTTTCCAAGTCTCACAAGTGGGCATGTTCCTTTGTCGCATGGACAAATTTGACGAGACTCGGCTTCGTATTCTTGACAACTTCTCGGTTCAGATGTCAATGGACAGCTCGCAGCAGACCCTAACGAGTATCCATGTCGATATAGACCCGTTAATCCTTCGGCTTTCTCTTCGAGATATCCTTCTTGTTCTTCAGATCATTGGCAAGGCATCTGAGCTCTCTGAGAACAATAGTAGCCAACCCAAAGCTAGCACCTCCGATAAGAAAGCCAAACAACTTCGTCAATCAGGCCTTAAGGAACGCACGGCGAGTGGTCGAGGACAGTCTACAATCGCCGCTAACAGAAGTAAAACTGCCAAGACTCCTGGCACAATAGCTACTCAAAGGTCTGGAAAGGAGCAATCCCACCAACCTCGCGACATTAGCAAAGCTCCTAAACGTCATGAAGAGCTCACGGCTACGGTTGAGGGAGTCCGTATTGTGCTAATCGGCGACATCCATGAATTGCCCATTTTAGATTTAAGCATCAAGAACTTCACAGCCTCAGCAGCAGATTGGTCTAGCACTCTCAAGGCCGAGACTGGGATTGATATGTATATCAATGTCTACAATTTTGCGAAATCTGCCTGGGAGCCACTGCTGGAGCCTTGGCAAGTCGGCCTCGGCGTCGCGAAGACGCAGGAAAGTGGTCTCTTTTCGGTGGATGTGTCGTCGAAGAAGACATTCGATGTTACAGTAACGACCGCAACAATTGCCTTAGCATCTAAATCGTTCGATTTCCTAACCAAGGACGAAGATGTTCTGGGTAAACCTCGCGGAGTAGAGGCTCCTTATAAGATCCGAAACTATACTGGCTTCGACGTTCTAGTTCAGGCTAGAAGCCAGAGCAACGATGAAAACATCTCACTCAAGCTACAAGATGGCGAAGAGGGTCCGTGGAGCTTTGAACACTGGGAGAAGATGAGAGAAAATATCATGTCGGAGAGCAACGCTATGAGTAGCGTTGCCGTTCAAATTGAAGGGAGCGGCTTTGACACAATCAAAAACATCCGCCTGAACCGCGAGGGCGAGTTCTTGTACAGCCTACGACCGAAGACGGATAACACCCTCCATAGATTACTGGTCGAAGTGAAGCTGGGCTCGGATAACATAAAGTATGTAACACTTCGATCGCCTCTCGTAGTCGAAAACGAGACACAGATACCTGTAGAACTTGGTGTGTACGATGCCCAAGATGGCCACCTTCTCAAGATCGAGAAGATTGCTCCAGGCGAAAGTCGGCCAGCTCCAGTAGCTGCCGCCTATGTTAAATCATTGCTCGTCAGACCAGACTCCGGCTTTGGCTACGCATGGTCGTCCGAGCATCTGTGGTGGCGGGATTTACTCAAGCGACCCACACGCACACTCGTATGCAAGGGCGAGAACAACGACCTGTTTTACTTCCAACTCAATACGAGTTTTGATAGGGGCCACTTCTTGACTGGGTAAGCCCTCGTTAGATTCTGATTATCATATATATCTAACATCTACAGGAAATACCCATATATGAGACTAAAGCTCTCCCCTCCTATCGTCCTTGAGAATCTCCTTCCATATGATTTCAAATACCGAATTTATGATAAAAATACTAAGCGGGACTGGACAAACTTCTTGCGAAAGGGCGGTGTCAGCCCCGTTCACGTCGTGGAATTGTCGCATCTTCTTTTGTTGAGCATCGATATGCAAGACACCGTGTTCAAATCAAGCGAGTTTGCGATTATCAATCCCGGTGCGCAAGAAGACTTCAGAAAGGAGCATAAATTAATATGCAAGGATGCCGAAGATCTTCCTCTGAACCTAAGGCTTCATTACTTCAGGATCCCAGACGGTGGGGGCGCTTTCAAGGTCACGGTTTACAGCCCATACGTAGTATTGAACAAAACTGGGTTGGAGGTTAACATCCGTGGCAAGCAGTTCTTGCAGCAACCAAAGAGAGCTGCGGGTCAATCAGCTATGGCCGATACCTCAGACCAAGAGCGACCGAAAGCCTTACCTTTCATGTTTTCGTTCGCGAACGATGACCAGCGCAACCGAGCTCTTCTTAGAATAGGCGAATCGGAATGGAGCAAAGCACAAAGTTTCGATGCTATCGGAAGCACGGCCGAAGTTGTTTTGCCGTCTGCAGGGAAAGATTCCGAGATTCACGTCGGTATAACAGTTGAGCCCGGTGAAGGCAAGTACAAGTTGACCAAAGTCGTTACTCTAGCGCCTCGTTTTGTGGTGAATAATAAGATTGGCGAGGAGCTCGTCATCAGGGAGCCTACCTCGTCCAAAACCATGTCTTTGAAATCAGGAGCCTTACAGCCTCTCTATTGGCTCCAACGGTCAGCAACAAAACAAATAGCTCTGAGGTTTCCAGGAATCGATGACCAGTGGACATCACCCATCAACATATCGGATCTAGGCACCATACACATCAAGATTGCGAAAGCAGGTCAGCGACAGCGGCTAATTAGAGTCGAAGTCCTTATGGAGGATTCAACGATATTTCTCCATCTCAGCATGGAGACAAAGAATTGGCCGTTCTCTATGCGAAACGAAAGTGACACGGAGTTCACCTTTTACCAGGCAAATCCGAATATAGATGAGGACGGCGTGGAAGATCGATCTGGGTGGAGGCCGATTAGATATCGCCTCCCCCCACGCAGCATCATGCCATATGCCTGGGACTTCCCAGCCGCCAAGTTCAGAGAAGTGGTGATCAATGCCTTCAAAAAGGAGCGCCATGTAAAACTTGCAGAGATTGGAAATCAAGTGCCGATGAAATTTGTCAGTAGTTCTGGCATACAGAAGATCATCGACATCAATGTTGCTGCCGATGGCCCAACTCAGACACTCATCTTGTCCAACTTCAAACCAAGCAAGAGCCTATACCGCCAAAGAACACAGACGGGCTCAAATACTAGTAGCACCGGTGGTTTCGAAGTAAAGAGTCAAGATACCGATACAACATTCCAGGCACAATTACGACTTTCTGGTATTGGCATCTCGCTTATCAACCAACAGCTGAAGGAACTTGCATACGTCACATTCAGAGACATCAACATCCGGTATAGTGAATCGGCTCTATATCAAACGCTCAGCACGTCGATAAAATGGATACAGGTCGATAACCAACTTTACGGCGGGCTCTTCCCCATGATACTTTATCCCAGTGTAGTCCCCAAGCAAGCGCAGGAGACAGAGCTACACCCTTCGTTACATATTATGGTCACGAGAGTCAAGGATGATTCGTACGGCGTGCTATATGTCAAATACGCTACTCTTTTACTTCAACAGATGACTGTCGATCTTGACGAGGACTTCATATATGCTGTGTTGGATTTCTCGAAGATCCCTGGCGCGTCGTGGTCGGAGATTAATGAAGGCAAACTTTGTGACGAAGGCCTTGACATTCCGGAACCAAAACAAGAGCAATCGGGCCAGGATATTTACTTCGAACTTCTCAATATACAGCCGATGCAATTAGATCTATCATTCATGCGCACCGAGCGCGTCAACGTCGAAGATAAGACGTCTTCCCGCAATCCTATCATGTTTTTCGTCAACGTCATGACCATGGCCATCGGAAATGTTAACGATGCCCCGATTCGCTTGAATGCTCTCTTATTGGAGAATGCTCGAGTTTCCATTCCGGTTCTGACACAGAACATCTCGAATCATTATAGCCAAGAGGTTCTTTACCAGGTCCATAAGATCATCGGCAGCGCCGACTTCCTCGGCAATCCGGTTGGCTTATTCAACAGCATCAGCAGCGGTATAACCGATGTCTTCTATGAGCCATACCAGGGTCTTATTATGTCTGACAAACCTGAAGACCTTGGTCTGGGCATCGCGAAGGGGGCTGCTAGCTTCGTTAAAAAGTCTGTGTACGGATTCTCCGACTCCTTTTCTAAGGTTACAGGCAGCTTCGGCAAGGGCTTGGCAGCTGCAACTTTAGACAAGCAATTTCAAGATCGCCGTCGCATAACGCGAGCTCGGAACCGACCCAAGCACGCCCTATTCGGCGTTACGGCTGGCGCAAATTCATTTTTCACGTCGGTTGCATCCGGTCTTGGCGGCGTCGCTCGGAAGCCGCTCGAGGGCGCAGAACAGGAGGGCGCCGTCGGATTTTTTAAGGGCGTTGGGAAAGGATTCATTGGTTTGGCGACTAAGCCAGCTGTCGGCGTGTTCGATCTCGCATCCAATGTGTCAGAGGGAATACGTAACACCACGACCGTCTTCGACGGATCCGAATTGGATCGCGTCCGCTTAACGCGATTTGTGCCAGCGGATGGCATCGTACGCCCTTACAACCAACGCGAAGCTCTGGGGCAGTCATGGCTTAAGCAAGTGGACAATGGGAAGTATTTCAACGAAAACTACATAGCACATCTGGAGCTACCAAGGGAAGATATGGTGGTTATGGTCACATTCAGCCGGATCCTCCTTATTAGGAGCAGGAGACTAACCACCGAATGGGATATTCCGCTCAAAGACGTGCAGACGATCGCGAAAGAACGCACGGGCCTTAGCATCGTTTTACGCGGCGGCAGCAACGGGCCTTTCGTCCCTGTAGGCGAAGAGAGTCAACGCGCCTTCTTATACCGAATGGTAGCTATCGCCGTTGAGGAGTTCAACCGGAGATTCAGAGGACTGGAGTGAGTGTCGCCCTTTCGAGAAGCAAGGCCGAGAATGATCAAGGACCGGATTTATTGGGTCCGTCAAAAATGTCGAGGTAATGAAGGAATCAAGGGCTGTTTTGAGTACTTACGCTAAGGATGCGATTCTAACGTATGGCGTTTTCATGCGTCTCTTATGAATAGGTAACTATGACTTATCATGACTTTATTATGAAAATAATGAGAATGCTACTTGGGCAAACTAGTAGACTCGAGTGGTCTTGTCAACTTGTAAAGTCCCTATCAGATGCCTAGAAAACTCACGCAGGTGTCATACTAACCCAGCACCCGTGAAGCAAAGATGTGTTGATCCCGAATTTTTGGATAGGCGGCCTATCATCTCTTCGGTTGATCGCGCTGAAAGCCTGCAGTATCCGGAAGGTGACAAAAGCCACCTGCGTCAGGGCAAATTGCTGTCCGACACAGATGCGCGGACCAGCGTTGAACGGGATATACTCGTAACTGCGAAAGAAAGTATTAGAGTCATCATTATTAGGTACCTGCTAGGTACCTAGGTATGTGTCTTGTGTCGGCATGCGGATACGTACGTAGTTCTCAGTGTCTCCCAGCGCTCCGGGCGGAATTCATCAGCATCATCGCCATATATATCCCGCCGTCTATGCAATGCCCAAGGGAAATAGCGAATTATGGTTCCCTTCTTGACGAAGACCGGAGACTTGCCATCGGATCCTCCTCCTCTCGGAACAATCGTATCACGGACAGCCTCGCGTGAATTGGTGGCCACGGGAGGGTTTAACCTGAGAGCCTCTCGGACAGCCCAGTTCAAGTACTTCATGTTGCGTAGGCTTTCCCATGCCGGGAGTTGATCCATACCGCTCAGATGTAGGTCATCTACCTCGCGTCGGATAATCGCTACTACGTCCGGTCGCCGCGAAAGCTCGAAGAATAGATAAGACAGCACACTCGTAGTAGTATCTCGACCGGCCGTAAATATGCTCACCAGATGATCACGAATCACTTCGTCTGATTCTCCCGTCTGGAGCAGCTCGTTGAGAAACACGTATCGCTTCCCACCTTGTCTATCCTCGCCCATCCCCTTTTCCTCGTCCCGCTCCCTTCTCACCTCGGCGATATAATTCTCCACATATGCATTCATAAACGAGGTGCATTCATCCAATTCACGGTCCGAGCGGAGAAGCATTAACCAACCTAGCCTTGCCCGGTTGGCGATCTTTTGCATAGACACATCGAAACAACGGCCAAATCGGAGGCCATCTTCAGGCGCCCTGCCTAACAAGTCTGTCGAGTTGCCAAACATGAAGTCCGAAATCGTGTCGGTCGTTAGCATGGAAAACATCGCCTGCAAGTCGAAAGGTCGGCCGTCGCGCGGGATATGGATGATCAGCTTAGCGATATGCCGATCCAGACACCGCAAGTCGGCAACCTGGTCACGCACGAAGGCCGGCCGTAAGGTTGCCCTCGCGTGCCTCCAGGCGTCACCGTTCGTGGTGAAAATGGAATATTGGCCAAGGATGGGGAGGAAAGCACGGATTCGCATCTGCGGGAGGCCCCAGTCGTCAAACCGGACGGAGAGTACCGTACGAACGTTCTCGGGTTCATCTGTCGCGATAATTATGCCGGGATTTGGGAACATCCGGTGTCCATATGTGTGTCCTAGTGTGCCGAAAAGCTGGGTCCATCCCACGAGCAACGTGTTCGACTTGATCTGCTGTGCCGAATTCAGGAGGAACCGTATTCCGAGAGGATCGTTTGGGACCAACGGGAGAGGTTCGCACCCGGATCGTGTCATCTCTACATAATACTGATGCTCTTCACGCAACGAGGTCTGTGTGTAGACAATAGCTAGTGCCAGCAGTATGCCGAAGGCTTTTTGCGCTGCTAGCAAAGGCCCGGGCCTCAAGTAGAGAATGTCGACCACGAAGGCTGCCCATAGGAGAACTGCAATGGCCGTTGCGATAACATAATGCTGCTTGGCCTTCTTCGGAAGCGACTGTATTTCACAGGACTCCTTCCCGGATGCCATGATTCATATCCCACAAATTTCTTTCGAGCACACCGGTGAAGAATATCCAAAGTTACCTTGGAGAGAGGGTGGATTGGCGAGCCTGGTTGTATTTGTATTATACGAATCCTTACATAGGTAGGTAGGTACCTAAGAGAAAAAAGGAACCAGAAACGTCTTCTAGGATCGCATGATTATATCTTGCAATATGATTAGGTACATAGCAGCGCTAAGATGTGCTTTTAGGAGATGAGGTTCGATTGAGACTTCACCCGGGCACATATGAACCTGGGGTAGGTACCTACCTACTTTAGCGAATCCGGGGAAATGTTGAAAGACAAGAACCTCCAGCTATATGTAGGTACTAGGTATCTAGTAGGTACTATAAGTGAACGTTGCATCCACTAAAGTGTGATGATGACGTATCAGCGCTCATCGAATATGGGATGACAGATACCTAAATCAATAGCATACTGCACTCACGTTTGACCAATTATATGTACCTACTACCTAGTAGGTAGGTACCTACCTACCTACCTACCTACCTATCTAGTACCTACCTAGGTATTAATAATATGATGATCCATCCCATCATTTTTACCTAGCATGTGCTTCGAATGTGCCTACCTCCTAAGTAGGTTAGGGATGGTAGTGGTTAGGGTAAGGGTTAGGGTTACCGACATACATGTGCACCATATGACATTAGAGGTTTTACATATAGTACGCTTATTCATATCGTATCTGAAATCGATTGTATGGTATACCTACCTAGGTAGCATCTAATTCAACGTCTTTGCAGAATCCGCAGCCACCCTTGACAATGAGTTGGGTTAATGACGTCAATGAGGGTAAAAAGACCACATGTCTTAATGCGGCCAAGAGACGTTAACACGTCGATAGATACAGAAACAAGCGGGGTTAAGTGTTAATACAATTAAGGAATTAATTTTTTACAGGTAATCTTATATATAAGTTGTCCGTTGGTTGTCACAGGCTTAACGCGTTATGTTATATAATTATGTCTGCCTCGAGCCCACCGAGCCGATTCAGTGAATGTGGTGGGCATCGAATTGGGGGATGCTTATCAGTGTCCCACACTACAGCGCCGGAATGGTTGCGGCTTGGCAGCTGGACCGAGTCCGCTATGACGAAATAAACCATGAAGTAAGTATGGGGCACACGAAGATGTGTTGAGTACCTAGGTACTAGGTATCTAATAAATCTTGCAAACTGGTTTAGTTATACACACTCGAAGTTCGGAAGTTGATACTTACAAGGTAGATGCCTAGGTAGGTAATGCGATTTTACATAGTAAAGTGACAGAGTCTGATCAACCGTTAATAGTCCGGCACATGATATACATTAAGGCTTAAGGCGGTGGTGATGTGGCACAGGATCTGGTCTTAGGACAGCTTCAACCCGGGTGCTAGCAAGTTAGCTGTCGATCAGTTGACCCTCAACTCCCACATCTATGGCATATTTTGGTATATTACTGGCATCACTAGACTCGAGTCGATTATCCAGGATGCCAGGTAAATATCGGTCATATTTCTTGACGTCGCTTGATGATATGTAGGTAGGTACACATCACCTCTTATGCGCTGTACATATTAGGTACGTGGTCGCCTGTCTAATACCTATATATGTACCTACCTAGGTACTGTACAATACCTACCTACGTAGGCGTTGTACCTTCTACCTGGGTACCTAGTTGCCTACGTATTAATTGCTAATTGTTAGCCGTTGATATGGCCGTCGAGAAGGTCGGTGATGTTTACCTATCCGCCTACTGTGTCCTAGGTATCTATGTATTAAGTCTACCTACGTAGGTGTAGAATCACCGCGACACAATTGATGAATCAATGAACATTCGCGATCTCCTGTGTTTCGCGGGCGGGACGGCGGGCATGTGCAAAGATCGGCCGCTAATGTGGGATGGTGAACTCGATCAGCCCTGATGAACCCCTCCCCTCAAATTGTAACCCTGTCGATCTGAACGGATACGTAAAATTCTTTCATCAGGCTCACCATACCTAAAGATATAGCAGTTCGTAGGTAATTAGGGCGAACTGGGCCCTTCTCGGGGCTTTTAGGAACCGATATTTGCTACTTACTTACCTACATATGCTGATATGTAGGTACATATGCCTCTGTGCCTTTACCTCAACGTGCTTGTTCGTGACGCGGAACGAGGGGCGATATCGACCTGATCTTATTTGGCAGGAGGACAACGATAAGCGAAGGACACATAGCTTTTAAGCCAATGATATCGATCGACGGAAGACTATGTACCTAGGTAGGTAGGTATGTATATCATATCTGCTTACTTTAACCCTACCCCGGTACCCCGGAGAAGACCAGTGGCTGCCTGACTTGCCAGGCAGTTCGAGAGCGAGCCAGTCACTCGACACGCGTTTTTGATCGATATCACTCAGCCGCTAGACATGTAAGAGTGTCGGTCAGGCTAATAAACATATCTGATTATACGCCGCCATGCCTGAACCCGCTACCTGTAAGGATGTGAGAGACTGAATGAACCAGAAGGGAAAGGCCTAGGCTAAGAAGACTTCGGGGTCCTATCGAATGTAACCCCTCTGCCCCTATATGATACGTAGGGACTTGGGCGAGGCTTAAAACGCATGTCTAGGTACTACCTAGGTACCTGGTAAATATTCCCCTAAAAGCTGATGACCACCTGGGCAGCTTGCCGATGGTTGATTGATTTACACGTTACCAGGAAAGAACCGTCTCGGCCGGTCCAGACGCGACCGGTTGCTTACGGTGTGTTTGTTGGCTGTTTGTTGGCTTCCCCAATCGCGACGTCGCTGTATACCAGCAGATCTGACAGGCAGGCCAGCCAACCTGCTTGACCGGTCGGAGAGTTTAATCGATGATAGACCGAGTTGAGGCCGCATATTATCGTGTAGATGGCTTCTTTTCTTCCCAGCTTTTCCAGGGGTATCTACCGTACCTACCTAGTACTTATGAATATACCTAGGTAGTTACATAGGTACCTAGTAGGTATATATTTAGACGTTACCTTAACGGACTTCGGGATCTGTTATATCTTACTTGCCAAGGGCAAATGGAATCATGAATCGAGAATCCCGAAAAGTTCTCGAAGTTGCGAAGGCGAAAAAGTGAAATTGTTTGAGCGCTAATTTTGTACTAAGGTGTCATTAAGATCAGCCATTTCATCATGTCTGCGTGAGATGTTTAGAGAGACCTTTAATACTTTTTCCGTGATTCCATTAGGAAACATGACATAACTATACCTACCTACCTACCTACCTAGGTACCAGGTAGTTGAATCCATACCTACCTATGTAATGGATTCCGCCACACGAAAAGCAGGATATGCTACCTAGCAGCTTAGGTACCTAGGTAGGTAGGTATGTAATTAGGTAGTAGTAAGGATTAGCTCAGATAAAACCGTGGGACAGATTGATCTTCCATCAGCCCGGTCAACGATTAAGTTGAAAGATTCCACTTTAAAGATTTTTTTTTAACGATTTTTCAACTGAAGATCTTTCTTTTCTTTTTTTCGATAAAAAGCCGCGAATCCCACATATCGTCGCGAGGATGAAGTTGAAAAGTTTGATCACCAATTCTACCTACCTACCTACCTACCTAGTAGGTACCTAACTTTTAAACATATAATTATAAAATAGGCACCTACTTTACTGACCTAGGTACCTACCGATATATATCAATTCATTAATAAATATAATATTATATTATCTACAAACCTTCAAGATTTCCAGTCTGCGCCAAACTCGCAGAACACCATCTCCGTTTAAAGACCGTCTTACACGATAAGATATTCCAGGATTTGACGTTTTGACAGTGTTAGATTTCCTATTCGGGAAATCCCCGCATTGAAGGTACCGTTTTTCTCCATTTATTCTTTTTCAGCCAGCCCCCCAACAATTTGTTAATATTACCTAGTACGTACCTACATACTAGGTATGTACTACCATAACCCTGGACAAGCTTTGGAGCTAGTCCGCGCCCCTTCGTGGCTTTTTACACACTATTTATTATTACTTCTCCTTCCTCTTCCTCCCCCATTCTATTCTTATCATCTTTACCCACTCTGTCACTCCAGAGTCACAGGCTACTAGGTAGATATCCCGCTCTAGGCACGGCGGGGGACTTGGAAACACACAAGGCAGCCTGGCGCAGCCGTGATTCCGTGAATCAGTGACTCGGCGGTTCGGCGGTTTAGCGATTCGGTTTTGCGATAAACGTTGAAACCTTTACCACTTTCTGGCATTTTCCGAACACCTGCCTCCTTAAGCGCGCACTGAGCATCATTTCTCCCTTTCGCGATCCTGCGTTTTAACCGGCATCGCCCATGTCGCGACGTAATTCGCGTGTATCTGACGACAGCAGAAAATCACGAAGTAGAGCGGCGTCGCAACATAGCCGCAGATCTCCGAATTCGCAACCGCGTTCGCCGCACTCATCCTCTTTCACTAAATCATCAGATAAACTCGCAACTTCGCAAGCGCATAAGCCCTCGCCTCTCAAGATGGTAACCACAACCACAACTACCGCCGCCGCCACGACCACCTCACATACTCCGGTCGATGACTCTCTGCTTTACTATTTGCCCGATATGAACGCGCAAGAAATCGAGTTCCAGAAACGCGGTTGGTTGGAACCGATAGTCATAGATGATGACGATCTAATGTTCGGCGGCAAGAGCTTGAGCGCGTGGTACGAGGAGGAGAGAAAGTCGGTCAGCTTTCCTGCAGAAGAGGAGCAGCGAGGCCGCCAAAGGGTAAGTTCTACAAGCCAATCGATTGGGCTCATAACTACCTATCCACGGTACCCTCCAGGTAATTGGAGAGTGCAGAATGGCGCATTATGCTAACTAAACCAAACTTAAAGGTGCGACAGCATTATTCACACTCGCAACAACAGCATCAGCATCAGTATCATCAGCATCACCAACAGCAACAGCAGCAACAGCAGCAGCAGCAGCAACAACAACAACACCATCACCATCATCATCATCATTACCATCATCAGCATCAGCATCAGCATCATCGTCATCACGCAAATCTGACTGGTACGTCGGGAGGTCACGAGCAGGGAAAACGCTAAACGGACGACGAACGAGATTCCCAAAGGCTGGAGTACCAAACAGGCAGCCCTTTATTTCTTTTACGAGATACCCAATACAGCATTTGTATAACCGCACTGGCGACTGTAGAATCGTCCTTTTTTTTTTTTTTTATCATTTAATTTTTTTTCCTTCACGCGCCGCATTTATATATTACATCGATATGACGAACAAACACGAACTTCATTTGCAAACGAACGCATTAGATATACCGCATTGGCATCTCATTGGACAACTGGATTTTCAACAGCCTTGCAACGATATAACGGCATTTTCATTAGACCACCATTAGATAGGTCGCATCCTCTTTTCCCTTCCATTCGCGAACGGGTCTTCATCACAGGTTGGAGAGAGATTTGCATTGGGCTAGGCGTTCCGATCGTCCTATTTTTTTTATCTAATTTCTTGCATTTTCAGGGTAGGGCGTGTACCTGAGATTTCTCGGGTGTGTCTGGGTCTGGAACACAGGAGAATAATCGCTCCGCTACCTACTACATTGTAGGTCGATACCTACCTAGGTAGGCAGCTAGGCAACCCATCTCTGTGTCCATTGTTTATCATATATGTTGGGGGAACTTTTCCGATAACGTCGGACGCTTGGCTATGGAATAAATAAGCTGGAAAGGCGATGTATCACATATGACAGGGAAACGTAAATTTCCCCAAATAACAATCACATTCAAACCATTTATATCGTATTGTTTCGTTGCCCATGTGTTATGATGTTAATATCAAAAGAGAAAAAAAAACGGGTGCGGTTACCCCTGACTTCGGTCAACAGCCAGCTATCATACTTGGTCCCTACCTACTTACCTACCTACCACCTGAGTCTATCAACCCGCCTGAAAGGGGTATCATTAGTTCTTTTTACGCCACATTCTAGGTGGGGACTGGGTACTAGGTACAGAATATGACTTCGAAGTAAGCAGTCTGACCAACTACATCTAGAAATATATAGGTACCTACCTAGGTATTATGAGGGAAAAAGCTTCCAACATGAAGAATCCAGTTTCGACCGTATGTTTTCGGTGGTCCGCAACTGCGGCGTTCCGGTTCTTACTGAATTACTGTCAGCGGAGCAACGGAGCGGCACATGGAATAGAGGTCGTCGTATGCTCTTGGCCAATCACGAGTCGAGCGAGCTCGGGGTGTCGTTAATGATATCGGGAAATCCTGCCTCGGGGGAATTGATGTCTAGCTTTCCGGTCAAGGTGATAAATAGTCCATCACTCGCTTCTAAGCTTGACTGTTCGAAAACAACAGAGGTTACCTACCTACCCGTCTTTATACCTTGGAATCACCCATTCACTCTCAAATACCTACCTACATATATATATATATATATATCTCCTACATAGGTACCTACCTATCTACCTATCTAAGGTATTAATTACCCTTCCCACATTAAGAGCGTCACCAGAAAAAGTCGAGATGGCGTCCCAGCAAGTGATGTAAGTAATCCAATGAGACCGAAGTCAAAGTCTACGTCTCCGTAGGTATTTATAATTTATGATTTATGATTGACATTCATCCAGTAGACACGCCTCTATCGAGACTTTGCGAGAAATTGCGAAAGCAAATGGATTTCTCATAAGGCCTCAAGATGAGCCGGAGTATCTCGACTTCGTTCATGCCGCGGAGGAATCCGTAGACTTCGTCAACCGCATGCCAGATTATATCGACTCACAGCTTACACCAGCCATCGGGGCTTCTGATCCAACATCTCGGGCATATACTCTACCATCTGCTTCTGAGAACCCTTTGAATGCATGGAGATATCGAGTATTTGCTACCCCTTCCCCTTTTCATTCACTTCCCTATTCCCTTTCTCCTGAAACTTGGACCATGTATTCTTAATCCAAATTGCCTAACCAATGACTTAAATCCAGACACATATCGAAGCACCCAATCTTGCAAATGGCATCGGCTTGCTAGCTGGCAAGAAAGTCGCCATCAAGGATAACGCGTCTGTAGCGGGCGTGCCAACCACGGGCGGCACGCAGCCTTTCCACCTAACCAAGGATAAGCCAGCTCCCATCCCGATCCTCGATGCGCCCACCGTATCCCGCATCCTCGAGGCCGGCGCGGTCATCACAGGTACTTCGACATGCGAGAATTACTGTATGTCGGCGATGTCTTGCACCAGCGCTACCGGCCCTGTGGACAACCCTTGGTTAAGGGGTTACTCTGCCGGTGGGAGCAGCAGCGGATCGGCAGTTCTTATCGCCATCAATGTAATCAAGAAGTGGCGCGAAGCTAGAGGTCTCCCCATCGAGTATCTAGGCGAAGGGGTAGACTTTGCCCTTGGAAGTGATCAAGGCGGCAGCATCCGGATTGTTCGTATCCCCCCCTCCTCCCATTATTAAACCAACTTCCGCTATGTTTAGCGCCTGCTAACGCGACAACAAAAAGCCCGCCGCATATTGTGGCATTCACGGTCTCAAGCCAACGCATGGGTTGGTTCCTTTCACGGGCATTAATTCGCTGTTCCCCATACTCGATCACGCTGGTCCGATGGCCTCCTCCGTCCGCGATACCGCGCTCCTCCTTACCGCGCTTGCCGGTTACGACGGCTTCGACCCACGTATGACGCCCGAGACTCCCCTCCGGTCTGCCGTACCGCAGTATCATGCTATACTCGATGAACAGATCGCCGCGCGCACCGCGGCTGGGACTTGGACCGCCCAAGCAGCTGCTCGTAATATACGCGTCGGAGTTCTGAAGGAAGCTTTCGAAGTTGCCGGCATCGATCCTGAGGTCGTATCCGTTGTCCGTAAGGCCTCGTCACGCTTCGCCGTCCTAGGCGCGTCTGTCACTGATGTCTCCATCCCGTTACATCTCGTGGCGCCTCATATCTTCACGGCCTCAACTCGTACTCACATGGGAGATATTTTGTTAGCCCGCCAAGGCTCCTCTACAGCATCATCTCTCCCGTTTCCCTTCCCAGCCTCCGCACCAGCGACCCCCGATCAGATATGGTATGAGACGATGACGGCGTCGAACCCGCTTACCGTCGGTTTGATTTTGAGTAGTGAGCTCCTAGGCGACCGGTCGAAGTATCCGGAAAGTGTGCGGGAGAAAGCCGGTATGTCGTTTCTGGGATTCTTCCACAGTTACCCCTTTTATCCCGTCAAGTTAATTGTAGAATTTCTTTTCTCGGCATATGTTTAATTAATATTTCTAAAATACTAACTCTCCTTCTCATAGTACGCCACGTCCAAGAACTCCGCGCCGCTTACGACAGAGCGCTGCAGCAATTCGACGTGCTGATCATGCCCGCGACTCCGACGGTAGGGCCACGACATGCGAGAGCTGACATGGGTGTCGCGGAGAAGGCGGGATTCCTACTTTCGAACACGGTCAACACTATGCCGTTTAACATTACAGGTCATCCGGGTTTGGTCATACCCGTCGGCTGGGGCCAGGTTGGAGGCGGCGACGGAAATGGAAAGAAATTGCCGGTTAGTATGCAGATTGTGGGCAAAAGATGGGACGAGCAGACGGTCTTCCTCGCCGCCGCCGCGTGGGAGGTTGGAGGTCTAGGGTTAGATGAGTAGAGGAACGATCAAGAGTACAGAAATAGAGGTGATATGTACCTACCTAGACACGTATCTCTCTTCCTACGAGCCTGAATCACTTTACCATAAACATACCATAAACAAAAATATTATTATTATTCCTTTAATCATCCATGGATTCCTTAGGTACATACCTAGATAGTCTTACTATAGGTAGGTTTAGTAATCCCCCTTTATATAGGTACCTACCTAGGTAAGTAGAGGTAGGTAGATAGGTAAGTACCTCGTGATGGTTTCGGATAGGATAGCGGATTCAACATTCTGCCAGTTCTGCTTTCTTTGGATAAATTGCTAGCGCCTGTCAGGGATTTGTTACTATGCCTAGGTAGTAACACAATCCAGTGCATCACGAGGAATATTTCTTTGAACCCAAATTTACCATAATCCAGGCACAGAGCCCAGAAATGTCGGTAATCGCAATTCGTCAGGTTTCTATGGTACGACGTCATGCTAGACGTGATGATGAGTATGGGCAAGTAAGGGAATGCGGCTAGACTACCTAGGTAGGTACTCCATGATGAAATATCCTCGATCGTCTCGTTCTAGTCGTATATTCATCGTCTTTAACTATCTAATTGATGATGGCTCAACAACACTACACCAGAATTGGATGCCTGAACTATTCCCATGTTAACATACCAAGACAGTCAATAGATGACAACGGTGGATATGAACTATCAATAGCTATAGGCAACTAAACAGCTCCAGTATATAGGTATCGACTAAGAGGATGAAGAAAGTGGTTATCCATAGGGCATGAACCGTATGCTATGTACGTAGGTATGTAGTAAGCTGTACATAGAAGTCTGGGGCGAAGTCTCCAGACGTCGATCATATATGCAAGCCAACTCAACCCCTAGTCTTGTCCCGCCGGATCTGCGGGTAATACATATGTATGTCCTCAATCTATCAGGGCAAGCTTATTGTATGTATGTACGTAGAGGCGCCTGAGACGCTAACCCACGATAGGTCATCCGACGTTTCATTGTGGTATCTTAATATCTGAAGACCTACACGAGTGCGCCGAGAAAGAGTGAAGTATGGAAACAGTAGGTGATAAATGTATAGACACTACCTTGGTAGGCCTCCTCTCTCTCCTCTTCTTTTTCTTACCTAGGTACCTACCTACATACATACCTAAGTCTTAGGTATTAGATGGAGAAAGACGCGAGGGTGAGTGAATGGGTGTTGACTTACAGGCGTGACCCATCCATCATCTATCATCCATCTATTGACGTACCTACGGGGCTGGCGAGAAGCAACTCGTGATGAAGTCGTGCTACTACCGACTGATAAGAGAGAGGATCGGAGGAGACGGGGAAAAGGCGGTAAGCAGAAAGCGAGTATTCTCTAGATAGGACTTCGGTCGCCCGTTTACCTTACCATCTCGCTCTATCCCGAAGACATAATAATATTATTATTATTACAAGTCCCGTTCCGGAGCTTCCATCGCCTCTCGTTCGACATCGTACGTGCCCTGGTGCGGACAGTGAAGTGAGGGTTTAAAGAACTGCGGGAATAGAAAAAAGGAGGAAGCACCGGCTTAGATAGGTTTGATCTTATTAAGGACATAAATGAGGATAACATACGCTAAAAACTCACTTTAACAGTTAACTTTATTAAGAAAAGATCGGTATTAAAATAATAAAGGTAAAAAGGTTAATTATTAGTTAAAATTTATGTAACGTAATTCATTTTATTTATTTTAATTATTAAGTTTTTTTTAAAATGAAAAATTTTTTTTTTATTTAATAATAAAACGTTAATTAAAATAAAATATAATTAATAAATTTAATTATAAAAAATAAATAAATAATAAAAAATAATTATTAATTATTAATTAATTAATAATTAATAAAAATTATTATAATTAATAAAAATTATTATAATTAATAAAAAAAATTTAAAAAACGTATACGTAATATATATTATTTATATAACGTTTAATAAATTTTTTATTATATAAAATAAATAAAATAAAAAATATAATAATAAATAATTAATTAATTATTAATTAATTAAAATAATATATTTATTATAATTTTTAAAAAAATATATTATCGCGTAAAAATTTTAAAAAAAAAAATTATTTTAATAATATAAATATATTAATTATTAATTAATTAATTATTAATAATTAATTAATAAATAAATATTTAAATAAAACATTTTTAATTTAATAATTTTAAATATTATTTTAAAATTATTTATAAATTTAATTTAAAAAATTTAAAAATAAAAAAATTAAATAAAAAAAATAATAATAAATAATAAATAAATAAAAAATTTTAATATATTTAATAATTAATTATTAATTAATTAACGTTTTATAAAAAATTAATAAAATAATTAAATATTAATTAAAAAAAATAATTAAAAATAAATATTAATTAATCGTTTATTAATTATTAATTAATTTTTAATTAATTATTAATTAATTAATAAAACGTTTTTTTTTATTATTTTAATATTAAAAAAATAAAATTATTATTTAATAAAATTTTTCGTTAAATTATATTAATAAAATCGTTATTTTTAAAACTTTTTTAACGTTAAAAATATAATAATTATTAATAATAAAAATATTAAAAATTTAATAAAAAATAATAATAAAAATTTTAAAAAATTAAAAAAAAATAATAATAAAAACTTTAAAAAATTAAAAAAAAATAATAATAAAAGCTTTAAAAATTTAAAAAAAAATAACGAAAAAAAACTTAAAAATTTAAAAAAAAATAATAAAAAAAAACTTAAAAATTTAAAAAAAAATAACGATTAAAAAATTTTTTTAAATTTTCGTATAAAATTAAAACTTAAAATAAAAAATAAAAAAACTAAATTAATTTTATTATAAAAAATACGTTAAATTTAATTAATTATTAATTAATTATTAATTAATAATTAATTATATAAAATAATTTTATAATATTAAATTTATATATTATACGTAAAAATATAAATATTAAAAAAATTTATATAAATTATAAAATTAAAAAAAAAAATTAAATATAAATTATTATTAATTTTTTATTAATAGTTTATTAATAATTAATTAATTATTTAAATATTAAAATATTTATTAAAAAAATATAACATAAATTATAAAATTTAAAATTATTACGAATTTATAAATACGAAAAAAACGTCGATTATAATTAATAATTAAAAAAAATAAAAAATAAATATAAATAATAATAAATAATTAAATAATAAATAAATAATTAATAAATAATAAATAAATAATTAATAAATAATAAATAAATAATTAATAAATAAATTATTAATAAATAAATAAAATTAATATTATTTAAAAATTATTTAAAATAAATGAAAATATATTTTTTATTTTATAATATAATATAATATTTATATAAAAACTTAAATTTAATTTTAAATAATATTTTTTATTTATAAAGTTTTTTATATAAATATATTTAATATTTAATTTTTTTTATTAAAATATAATTAAATTTAACGTAATAATATTTATATTAAAAAATTAAATATTTTTATATTATTAATAAATATTATAATTTAAAACGTTTAATAAAAATTTAATTATAAAATAATTAAATAATAATTATTATATAAAAATTATATAAAAAATATTTTAAATTTTTATAAATATTAATATAATATTAATATAATTATTTTTTTATTAAATTTAATATTAATATAAATATTTTAAAAATAATTTTTATAAATAACGTTTTATTTATTTATTTATTATAATTAAATTTTTAATTTTTAAATTTATTTTTATAAAAAAGTAATTTTTTTATAATTAAATAAATTATTTTATATTATATATTTTTTATTTTTTAAATTAAAAATATTATTATAAAATAATTTATAAATAAAAACGTATTTAATTTAATTATATATAAATTAAATTATAATTTTATAATTATTAAATTTTAATAATATTATTTAAATTTAAATATTTAATTATAAAATTATAATGTTAATTTTTTATAAATATATTTAATATAAAATTTATAAATAATTTATAAATTTAATTAAATATAAATTATTAATAAATTAATAAATATAATATTAATAATAATATATTTTAAAATTTATATATATATTAATAAAAAAATACGTTTAAATAAAAAAAATATATATATATATATATAAATATAATATAAAAATTATAAAAAATTAAATTTTAAACGTTTATTAATAAAAAATTAATTTTAAATTAATTAATAATTATTTAAATATTAATAATTTATTAAGTTTTTTTACGTTAAAATTTAATTTTTTTTATTTTACGTAAATTATTAACGTTTTTTTTTTAATTTTAAAATTTTAAAAATTTCGTTTAAATTTAAATAAATTTTAATTAAATTAATTATAATTTTTATTTAATAAAACGTAATTAAAAGTTTAAATTCGAAATAAATATAATTTTAAAAATCGTATTAAAATCGAATATTAAAATTTACGAAAATAACGGTTAAAAATTTATAATTTAACGTTTTAATAAAAACCGTTTATTAACGTAAAATTAATTAATAATTATTCGATAATTAATAATTAATTAATTAATAATTAATTAATTTATTTTTACGTTTTTTTTTTTAAAAAATTAAAAACGGAATTTAAAAATTTAATAAATAATAATAAAATAAAATTTAACGAATTAACCGGTATTAAAGTTTTAAATTTTATTAATTTAAGTTTATTTTTAATAAACGATTTTTAATATAATTATTTATTAAAACGTGAATTTTTTACGAAAAAAATTAATTATTAATTAATTATTTATTAATCGTTAATAAATTATTTATTAAACGTTAATTAATAAAAAATTAATAAATATTTACACGTTATAAATATAATAATTTATAACGTTATACGTTTTATATTTATAACGTATATTTTAATTTTTAATATTTATTATTTCGTATATATTACCGTTTTAATTTTAATAAAAATGTTTTATTTTAATAAAAATAATTAATTTTTAACTTAATAAATACGTTATACGTTACGTAATTTTTAAAATTTATAAATTCGTTTTTATATTTATTAATTAATTAATAATTAATTATTAATTAATAATAAATATTAAAA